ATATTTGATAGTGAAAAAGATACACGTGTGCAAAACTTCTTTTATTACAAATTTAAATTCGATATAATGTAGCCAACTACTGTAATAAACAGCAATATACATATGTGTCGTCCTTCCTGTAGGCTTGACTACATGCATTCATAATGTACAGAAGGTACACTCACGTGTGATGATACCAATGAGTAGGTCACGACATTTCACCTTTGGGAAAATTAAAAATGAAGGCTCTCCCGTCGAGTTGGAACCACGTGCTATATAATTACAAGTGAACCAGTATTAATGGTATCAGTGGTTTAAGTGACTTTGAAATACAAAGGAGATCAGAATGTATCGACGCGTTTTCATTTCCCTTGAGGTGTATTGTTCTTCTCATTTGTTTTATGTTTGATAACTTATAAGACATTGTTATTTGTACATTCTAACCTAAACACGCATCTCCTACAGAGATGATATTCTGGTTCACTAGTTTAATGATGATTACTATCAGTATAAACACTCATAGTTTGTTACCGACTTTATCCTAAAGTTAAATGATCTTCCCATCAATTTTTATCATTAACGAAATATTTGAATTTCAAAATTGTTGTGTTTGATTGATTGGCGAATTGCAAAGTAAACATCAAGTCAGTTTAGACCCGGTCTCCTTGCAGAAGCAGGTAAATAAAACGTATGGAAGTCTCGCAACATATCGCCCAGTTCTTTATCAAGGAATTCTTTCTGTGCTTTGTTTTCTAACCGTATTGTCCCTCTTGACATCCGTCAAACAACGGATCAGTTCTGGACGTTACATGGATTTTAAACCCTGGATTAACATACACTTATCTGTTCGAGCTTTGTGATGCCCTAAAATGGTAACGGTATTAGAGTGTTCCTTTACGTCTCCTCGAAGTAGACACTTGGTATTAATGCCACATCATCAATCATCATGTAATTGCTCGATTTAGACGCGCCATTTTTATGAAAAACTACCTGGACTCTTTCCTATGTCCATATGCACACATTTTTGTATTGGAAGACATCAAACATGAATCACAAATTGTTTATCTCATTCAATTCAATATTTGTATCATTTATTGGCAATAAGAATTATTGTTGTATTCAATCACGTTTCGCTGGTGTTTCCTCGTAGGTAAAGTAGATGATGTCTTGTTGTTTTGCAGGGAATGTAATAATACCCAATGTGAGCGATACTTTATCATTTTGTTCCGAAAAAGGTTTTGCACGTATCTGAAACATTATTTTATTTCTAAGTATTACGTTAATAATATCTCAAATTAATAAAACAGTAACTAAAACAAAAAAAACTGTTTAAACGAAAAGTATGTTTGAGCTGTTCTAATCTATACAATGCATTCTTTAATGTTTTACTTATTCAGTGTATGATTCTACTCAATACGTCCAGTCATCAAAGAAAATGTCAATAACATAAATCGAAGTGTACAATAAGAGCTGAATCAGGAAATAACACTTTAATAATAAATGACGCTCGGATAGTTTTGAATTGCTTACTCTCTCCAAATGTATTCTAGTATGTGGAATCGGAAAAGCATATCTGATTTAACGTGGCATTCCATCTTAATATTAATCTTCTATAGAAATCAAATTAACTCGGTGTGGTTGAAAGTGTGTTAATAGTTTGTTCCGATATATTACTGCAGACTTTAATATATTTGATTGAGATGCTGTAATTGCAACATCACAAATATTAATTGTCATTACGTGGGATTTAAAAAATATATATGATCTGTGAATAACTTAGGAAATTGATCACATAAATAATTCTTATTATACAACGAGGAGATTAAACCATACAAAAGAGGACATTGACTTATATTATATTATATTAAGTCGCAGCTTACGTAAAAGGGGTGAAAGGCGAGTGCATTGCTACTGTGCCACCCAACCACACACATAAAAGAAACAATGACATGTCGATTCAACTGCCCGGCCATGTGGGTATTCCCATGGCACTCCGGTTGCATACCACAGTACGACATTTAGATCGCCTCCAACTAGACCAATAAGATGAATGTAAATTGGAAAAAAAATATTTTCAATTGTTATAAAATAAATAAAAGCCACTTTTAATTTTAATTGGTTTTCCTCAAGAGAAATGTTCTTGTTTTATTAATTTCAGTTCTTATCGTTTACTTTTGCAGGCTTAATTCTGGTAACAGTACGTAAATCATAATAGATTATTCCATGGGAATTATTCTGACATCCTGTAACAATTGTTTCACTCACGGCATCATATGTTAAATCTTAGATACTTCACACCAGGATTGATCAGAATTGAAGTCTGAAATAGTAGCGTCAATGTCTGCATTTTCCCAGAGAACTTCAAAGACCTTTTTCACCGTGAAAAACATTTTTATTGCTACATTTAATATTTCGATCTTGTCTGTGACATTGCTACTTCAAACGCCGTTATTCTATTCTAATTAGAGGTACAGGTCTGTGAATGTGAGTTGATTAGAGCGAATTACGATGAAACGTTTAAAAGAAATATCTCATTATAAAATGTTACTGTATATCGAATTATTTTTGCGATCTTTAATCTATGCCAAAACCCTGCCAATATTTATCTATTATAAAAGTATTCACAACTAGAAAATGCTCAGGTGCATATAAGGTCCGACAGCTTTACAATGAAAAAAGAACACATGCAGGTTTTGCAATTTTGATTTTTGCGATTTTGAGACGATCACGAAATTCGCAAAGATTAGATACAATCTGGAAAGAGAACGAAAAACAAGTCGGCCAAGAGAGGGGCACAATCTGTCCCAATATGTATGTCAATACTTCCTCGGAAGATGTTACCACCGAACTCGACGAATGTCAACTAAAAATTCGATCATGTTTATAATTTCGTCCTCCGTATATATATTTCATGAACGTATTGTTCAAGAAATACGCTTCAGTGAAAATCAACAAGTGTTTCTTGAATTCAATTTGACGTCAACTTGACAAATACCTTGATGTTGAGATGTCTGTTACAAAGATAACAATTGAACAAGTATTTACATAATAATCTGAACTTTTATGTTAATGACTGTAGCGGCTGAAAAACAACTGAATACCACGTGACTAAATTTGAAGTTGTGTTTAGTAGTATTATATTGTTATGCTTTTTATCTGTATCCCAATGAATCCTGCTGTTTTTACTCAATTCATACATTATACACTATCATGTAAATACTTTTCCCGGTTAGCTTTTATAATGATAAATATTTCAAATAAAAAACACACACACTCTACAAAGTAGCTGTTTGATTCAAGAGTCTAAAAACGTGCTTATTAGCATCCCATAGTGTTGATACATAACACTCTCACATAGATGGTGCATATCTTCATGTTACATTATCGTAACATCATGTTTCAATATAGAATGCTAATTAAATATTTATCGAAGTGATAATAGTGCATGCCGGGTTCATGTACACTGGTCTTTTGCACTTAATACCGTGTACAGAATTTCTTTATATTATTATAAAGATATTACGACTAGGTAAACAATATGTATTGTTTGTACTATGGGTCTCGGTTCTGTTAAATATAAAACATTTTTACAATATTTATCATTTATCGTTATAAAGGCATGTGCTCATCGACGAAAAAAGTTTGAAATTTTAAATATGAAAGCCTTCTGGAAAATGTATAGTCTCATTACTTTTGCTTACTCTCCCGCAACAACTGTTCATATTATTGCTGTACTTTTTCAAAGTTTGTCCTAGATTAATTAAATTTGATGATTATGTTGACATGCTGGTATTTTCTTGTTGGTTTTCGAACTGTCATCGCAAAACTTGTCCCACTCACATCAAACAACATAAAAATCGGTTTTAGCAAGACAATAAGATCTTGTTGTGAATAAAATACACAAGGCAGACCATTTTTATGCCTTTTATACGATACTTACACTACCAGTACACCAGGAAATTTACCCATTAAGTCGATGAAACTAATACACAAAACGTTTACTTTAATCGATGTTGTGAAGTGTACAATGTAGCTACTGACTGTTCACATCAGTGAATACAGTGTCTTGCTGTTTGCTATATCTTCACACAGTATCCCGGCTAATTGTCCATTGGGAACATTTTTGTGTTTCAATATCATGATTATTGGCTTTCTTTTGTTATTCGTTCTGATAGTCAAGTAATAACCGTTAAAACAAACATACTGCTCTACATGTTTAATAAAAGATTGATAAAGGATCAATGTTCAATGATGTTTAATCATCCTTGGATTTCTGAAACTTTAACAAGATCGCTACTGTAAGTGAACTATATGGTGTCGATATTTGATTCCTGTCCAGGATTCCAGAAGAAATATTTTAGTCATTTTCACTCTTTTATATAGCACTAAGGAAGTATAGCTTTGTTGTTTTAAAACAAATCATAGATGATAGATTGTACTCTTAAATCTCGAAGTCAGATAACCTTACTGACAAGATGAAATGCTTCAATGATATAACGCATCAGTAGTATTTTTTGTTATTTCAAAATGGCTCAAAATGACTCCATAATCAATCCCAAATACATTTACTCTCTCACAAAATTCTTAGAGCGGTCGCAACATGCCAGATTTATTTATTGTCAAATGTGATGCAATTATGGTCCTTCCGGAAATACAACTTTTCTCTCTGGTTATAGCTCCACGGTTGATGTACATATCGGTTTTAATTTCAAACTTGTTAAGGCTGTCTTTCCGCTGATTTTTGTTGGGTTGTTTTCCTCTTTCTCTTTGCCTTATACATGGCCTGTCTGCTTTCCCTATCTTGTGACCAAATGGGTTGTATTTGATAAAATCAAACCATAATGTATTAAGTTTAAGAGCATCACATTTAAATAAACTATTCATGCACATCGCGGAACTCGGGAGTAAACTAAATGTCACTTTAGTTATGACAATCAAATTGAATCGATATCCCTTGACGCAGGTAATGAATAATAAGGGTTCAAAGCCGATAAGACTCAGTTGTTTTGCAATGGGCATCCATGCTCTATGTACCTGAACAACAGGTTGATGAAAATGGGTTGATTCAGCATAAACATGGTATGTTTTCATCGACAATTGGATATTGCAAAGATCGAGGGCATTCGATGATAGATATAAAAATAGAGATCTGATGGAGATGTTTCTGTATGTAATTGTAAAGCCCCCATATGAGCTCCATAGTCAACGTGTTTTGTTGGATAAATAATCCGCTAGATAAAAGTACATTTAAAATATTAAAATATTTCTAATGTACCAAGGTGTCGTAGAGCGATCGTTGAATTACTAATCCTTTTGAATAACGCATGAGACACATGTTACCTGCCGGATTGGCTGGAAACATGTAACTTATGATTTCACTGACTCATTGGTGATAGAGTGTGATTAATTATATATATATCTTCTCACTCCTCCTAAAATGCCATTAAAAGTTATGTATCTGTTTGCTATGTTGTGTGTTTAGAGATAGAACATATGTATTTCTTTGTGTCAAAATATGTGTTGTCTTTATGTAAAGACGTGTGTGTTTCTTCTGTGTTTGATAAAGTCGTTGCATATTTTGCCCTTGGCCCTGTGGTATATCGAACTTTATGATAATTTAAGTTCTGTACCTGATTTCATACACTCTCTGACCATGAACTGCTAAACATCTGGTGTTGGTATCTAATCTGTTTTAATGTCAATGAATGTAATGATTTGAATTTGGATAAAGTACACTATAAATTCAAAAGTATTGAGGTCGTTTTAGATATTTATTTTATCACTTAACTAATTGATTGCTTCATTGTCTAGGTGTGGTAAGAGGACCATGCAATGCTGCCTGTGATAACCAGACGACTATAAAGAGCGTGTCGGGGTTGAATGCTGTCATAGCCGCCATGGTTACCTGGACATACATTGATGTATCCGAACCTTTCCTCATCCTAACAACCGGTACATTGGTTGTATTTAATGTTTCATCTTTATCACCGCTTATATGTTGAAATGATTTTGAATGGCAGACGTTTAGCTTTATATCATTTGACGGTCGTTCTATTGTATGGCGTTCGCAATTAACATCTCACAGTTTTCTTAACCATGACATGAAGCTGTGTTTTATGGTCGGCATATTGATTATACATAGTTGGAAGTTATAGCTTATACTTTTCTAAGCATTCCTTTTTTGCCCAAAGCCAACCGTAACATAAAGATGTGATTTCATGAACGACATTCGTATTGAAATATCTCTGGAAAAGTAACTGCCATCTGTTCTTTTTGTAACTTTTTAATCTTGGCCGAGATCCTCCTTATATTTTAACCGATCTCTTTCAAACTAGGTTGGCAAATATCACATGAAGTTTTTCCTAAACATATTTCGATAAGACAATTTTGAAATAAGGGTTGCCCTTGAGATATTTTTAACCAATTGAATGATTTTCAAAGACATGCTATCTTAGAGTATAAACGATCTCTATGAAAGGTTGACACAAAGTTATTTTCCATTCACAGTTCATTTCCGTTCCAAAATGGTAGTTATTGTTTGTTAACAAAGGTTTCCAATCTTGTCTGTAAGACCCCTCAGTTTCCAACAACTGAGTAGACTGAAAGGAAAAGTATTTTGATTTGCTATGTATTGCCTTAATGTTATCCATTTAGTTAATATTATACATTTCACTTTGGTATAGATCAAGTAAATTTCGTTCATCTGGTGTTACTCTTGCTTGCAATATTAAAGGATACTTTTAGTTTTGTCCCAACAATTGTAGCGTGAATGGTGTTGTGCAAGTATTTTGTATTTATATTTTTTCGTCAGTTAATAGTATGGCAGAAGATGATCTTGACATGATATTGCTGTTGGCGGAAGTCGACTTTCATCTCAACATCTCGGTTCTGCTGCCAAACAATATCCCAGTTCTTCAGTGGGTCACTCCTAACACTACCGATAGTTACGACAGCGACCAGATTTCGATCGATAACTGTGGTTCAAGTACAAGTTCAACATTTATGTCACTAAGTAGAGAAAAAGGAGATGCAGTTGACATTTGTCGTACCGAGTCACCAACAGAAGTTCATTATCAAATTGATAACACTCGTCAACTTTTTCACCCAATCGGAAATGCTTTGGTGGATATCATATCGTCACTCACACGCCATCTGATGTGGCCATCCACCTTCGTGCTTACTGACAACGGTAACTTAACATACTACTAATAATTATGAAATGATTTGCGTTTTCAGTATGAGAAGCCAAAATAATCATAATTCTTTTCATATCAGATGCCACATATTATGACACCTTTTATTTTCCACTTAAGCTAGGACTTTCAACGCTAAATTCTCTCAAAAAACCAGTTTCTATATTAAGTAAAGTTTTGTGTATTTTCTGGCCCTATTATCAACGATCCAGGCACAAAATAATTATGTGCAATGCACGTAGGAAATTGCATCAAAGTTTAATGCCAAACGATGGTTAAAACTGTTTTGTTCTTAAATGAAAAAATTAATTAAACGCTTCGCTGTATTTAGTGTTATGGTTTAGCAATGCATGAACCAATGTAATAGCCGATTAAAGTAGTTTATTGTGAAGTCATGGCTAGTATTACTATTCAAAGCAGAATTACAATTCTGACCAGGGATATTTTGACATTTGATATGAATAAACAAAATTGATTATATATCAATGAGAATTTATTCAATGGTTCTCTGCCATAACAAAGTATAACTGAGCTGTGTTTGTGGCAATTGACAGTACAAATCATAGGATAATTCTAAAATGATTGTTATGTAACGCATTTTTTAATTGGGTAATTTTTATTATCTAATCCTAGATATACTCATTATTTCTGACGCAATCCCAAAGAAAGCGTCCGTTTGAGACAGATGATTGACATTTACATACTAAAAGGTGTCATCGAAATGTGAAGGGGAGAGAACGATAATGAAAATTTTTTATGACATAATCCAGTTCACTTTTCTCTGCATCCAATGAGTTTGAATGTAGGTCTAATGTCAGAATGTCGATAAAGACGATAACCGTACAGTAGGCATATTCTCAACCCAGGGACCAATTTCAGTTAAGAAATATCACAACGAAGTGAAATCATATCACACAGTATTGTTTCCTATATTCACTGGATAATTATATAGACAAATTTCTAAAAACAAAAACGCACAGACAACTTTGGATGAGTTTTCTGTCATGATCTCTTGTTGATTCCTCTCCCCGGATGCCCGCTGTTTTATCGATCTAATTAAGTGAACACACACCTTTACCGTTCAGAGATAGACCTGACGAATTTAGGGTATGTACACAAAGAATCAATATAAATAACAATTTAGACAAAAAAATCTACTTGACACTATGCCAGTGCTAAGAAAAATCAACAAAATTTGATGAGAAATTGAAATGATCCTTATTTGAAAACCGGATGAAAACGACTGTTAAAACAACATATAAACCTTTACTAAATCTGTAAAGAATAAACGTCACATAGTATCCATATTTATAAACTGCATGCCTTAATTTACTGATGATATTAATGTATTATCGGAATTTCATCATAACAAGACATTAGTTATACTATCTTGAGCAATATCTTTTAGTTAAGTATTGACAAGCATACATATGTCTTATTATATAAGCTTGAAATTCAATGATAATATACAAGGTAATATCACTATTATATATATAACACCTGTTTATAACAATGATTTATAAATATAAACTTTATTTATTTTACAACAATTGCGAAACAAGTTATGTCAACATATACTAATCACTCTTGTTGGCCCGGATGTAAGCGCGCAAGGGGTCTTATGGTGGGAGGAAACCGGAATACCCGGGGAAAACCCACGTGGTCGGGCAGGTGACCCCTAATAATTTATTGTCGGTATACAATGCAAATACATACAAATTGTAATAATTTATTAATGTCAGTCCATTTTTATTTAATTGTTTTGAAAGACGAACATCTGGGTAATCTCGTCCGTGGTCTGTCTGAGTCTGGTGTGTCCGTTGTGACCGGAATGATGCCAGATATTCAATCTCCTCGATTTGAACAAGAATTGCTGTCTAAGATTGACTTTGCTATACGGGAGTTGCCAAATATTACTATAGTGTGTAGCATAGAATGTGTTTGGACCATACTGAAAAAGGTAAGAGAGAGAAAATACTAAGTGTTTTATTGAAATTGCAATTTGAAAGTATGGGTATAAATTTGTTAAACATAGTTTATAATTATACGCAAGTCATCTGCAATACTTGATGCCATTGGCACACAACCAACCAAGATGTTGAATAACTATTTCTAAATAATAAGAATAAGAGGGAGAGGGTGAAAAAACAAGCATTCGACTAATGTGTTACATTTTATTTCAAAATTTCAACATGAAAATAATACGGACAAGAGTTTGAACATTAGCGGCCCATAATCTAGAATTAAAGCAAGACGATGCCATTTGCATTTGCAATTGCAACTCTGTGCAGTCATACAAATGTTTGTTTTCTTCATATTTTGCCATCATTTTGGGTTTTGATTTGGAGTTTTTGTTAACATGTCGGTTCTTCGTCGTTAATCTAAATGTATATCTCAACTTTCATGGAACCCCATGCTTATATTCACATCGAGGCAAAATTCAAATGAGATGTGTTATAGATATTTTAATGTTTTATTGAACACTTTTGTTATTTGGAATTACATTATAAAATTGCTGTATTTTTCACATTCCTTTTTAGCCATTTTCCATTGCGCGCTGGGAAGTCCACAGATACGCAATGCGCCACATGACTCGATGGTTAATTGTTACTTTTGGTGATCGCATGGCGGCTGACCAACTCACTAACCTTGAAACCAACTTGGACAACGTTGTGGTCATCGTACTACCGGACAGTGTAGTTCGCAATTCTCTTTTCAATGGGAAAGTAAGTTCCCTAATTGATCAAACTGGAATCAAAGAATAGAAACTGTCAGATAACAAATATTATTGCAATTCATTAATCACATGTTGTAAAAAGTTTTTTTGTAAGGTGCGCCATTCCAATTATTAATTAAATGACGCGAAAGGATGGTTTTGAAGCTGTATGAAAAGCGTGATGGTTTCAGTTTCCTTATAGTGAGTTTTCTATTTCGGGTAAGCAATACTGCTGCCTCCCCAACTACGGTGAAATATGAAGGTGGCCGTGTTTGATGCTATTTGATTCTATTTTGTTTCATTTGGGAAAGTGACACTACTTACGGAGACTGAAATGATTATATATATACATAGCTGGTGTCGGCGATGAAGCAGACACTCGTTCTTTATACTGTTCAGCAGTCTCAATATATTTAGATATCTTTCTTTCTTTCTTCGAATTTCTGTTTGAATTGATATTTTGTTACCATAAAGGTATTTTCTTCGGTTGTTTTTCTTTCACATAGAACGTAATGTACAAGTGAACGTCTAGTAGTCATAACTCATCAATTCAACGTCTAACAGCCATATTGATTAGCAGGTACAAGTATAAATAAAGATACAGACACTGGCATGTGAATACAACAAACCAGTTAGCTTTGAATAAAACCGACGAGGCCTTTACGAACTTTTCACCGATTTCCGCTGGGGATCTATATTTTCTGACTTAAACAAATTTCCGCCGGACATCTATACTTCCTGACATGCAAATTTCTGATGGGGGCCTTTATTTCCCGACATACAAATTTCCGATGGGAGTCTCTAATTCCCGACATACAAATTTCCGATGGGGAACTATATTCCAGCCATACATATTTCTTATGGGGTATCTACATTTTCATGCTAAAATTCAAAATTCCATTTTGTGAAATCTCGACGAAGCTATTGATGTAATAAGCCATATTTTGTAACCTTAATTGACTTGTCACAATATTGAACCTCAAAAATACTGCTATGTTGAACCTAGAGTCGTTTATTTGACCTTGCGTGGGTGTTTGTTACATACATATTACGTACTACATTAAAAAAACGTTTCGTTAAAGTCGTCTCCACGAAAACTTGTCATCTTGTCAAGTAATCAATAACCAGGTATCTTACCATGATACGTTGTTGATATATGCTTGTATTCCGATGGGTCTCGTGATCACAAAACGGAGCAGCATTAATACCTCTTTGAACTTTTCACCGGCGCAACCTCTACCCGTATATCAGACAACTTAGTTCCTACTTACCTTTGTAAATTGATAAAATAATGCACAGACATAAGTGGAAGCAGTTTTTAACGAAATATAGATAAGTTATTATTCGCACAATAATCAGCCAGGTTTTTGTTAGTGCACATGTTTTCACACAACTTTGCGCGGGAAATTCAGTATTGTTTCCCTCATATTATTGTTCATTATTTTGAACGCAGTTTGCATTCAAGTGTCAATTTAATGATATATACTCTAGGAAATGATGCACCGGTACATTGTTTTGGGTAATAACAAAGCTGCCCCTAAATTTTGGAAATATTCAGTGTTTGGATTTACTCCATGGCAAGAGTAACTAATAAATACGTCGCAAAATGAATTACATGCTGTCTATTTTGACATTATAAAACTACTACAGTACTCCTTGATTTCTACGGTATTATTCCAATAACTGAATCGATAGTTATCTCCAACAATTGAGCATACTTGTAAGACGAGTTCTTTTCAAACCATAACAGAGAATATTGTTGGAATGTTGAAACATCACGAGTAGTAAAACTTGAGTTAGGTGGTAAACTTACCGTGCATTTGAATATTCATATTTAAACTACAGTGATTTTCGGTATCATTGTAACATTATCATTTCGAATGCAACCTCACAAAATACGAAAATAAATAAATAAATAAAATTTGATACAATAACGCAAATAAACTGGTAGGTTAGTCAATTCATACTACACACGGCCGTTGTTAACAATGTCATTAAAATGTTGATATTGCAATATGTATCCTTTAATAAATACACTAATGATCCGCGGACTTGCATGCACCATTAACTACCATGCGCTCGAATGAAACGGTCATAATAGATGAGAACTAATGAACAACATATAATACCGAAGGGATTCACCACATAAAACATGTTGATAATCGGTTATCGATACTTTACTGACACAGTGATTGCAATCATGTTAACGATACCCGAGCATGAAAAGACATAGAGATATTTTTGTATTCATGTACTTGGGACCTAAATACTCATCTAAAAGTTGATAGACATAATTATCAGTAGGCCATTACTAGACAGAAACATTTGATAATATACTTCAGAACCATTTCACCATAATCTTACAAAAAAAAAACGTCTTCTGTTTTTTTTGCTGATGTATATCAGAATTGGGAAATGAACACAACACATTCTAGTTTCAGCAATACAAGGGTCTGTGTTAGTTTTCAGGAATGGCAAGTTGTTACTTGATCACATTTTACTTGAAATAACCGTTTTGATGATATTTGCTGATATATTAAAATGTTGTTTTATTCTAGGAGGTACAAACGTACATACAGGCTGTTCTCAGCGACATTGGGAGCAGTTATAACGTGTCTTATGGCGATGAAAACAACACAACATTTAAGTCAATGACGATGGAACGAATTTTGACGGTAAGTGTTTTTGGCCAATACTACTAGGTGAGTCAATCTTAAATGGATCAAAGTATCAAGCTTGTGGATTGAATTCGAAAAACAGCTTCATTGAAAAGATAATGAAGCTGTAACCATTCACATGATGATCCTAGGTAATTGTTCACATTAATAAATACCTTACTTTTGCAGGGGTTTTGTTTTGTATTGTGTATCATCAACAACTTTGACAAATTAAGGACTACTTCTCCATGTATGCGAGATGAATATATGTGTTAAGTGAATGTGGTTAAGGAAGGCTGAGGTATTTTCGTGTAAGTTGCGTTGTGATAGTGCACCCTGAAACGACTTTATAGTGTTACCACATTGAAGTATACTATCTAATGTACTCAAGTGATCGTCCCACCCGATCGCAATATATTGATGGTGGGATAACCAGTTGATAAATTACCATAATACTGAGCGTTAAGTAAGGGGTAGTCACAGACATTTCAAAGACTTCGATATGTTTCAGCTAACCGACATAATCGAAAGCTTTCCTCATAGGTGTGAGCGCTGAACTGAAGGTCAGATATAAAGTTGTGTTAATTGAGGGTTACGTTAGAAAAAGGAATCGTCTAGAGAGCAAATATATCCTAGATTAAGTAGCTTCTACGATAACGCAATGATAGAAGTGCAATATTTACATCCTACTAACAGTGTTGTTTTAAAGACTTGTCTCGCTTTATCTAGGTCATTTGTACATAGAAACACACTTTGTTACTGATTAAGAGAATATCCTGAGGAAATAGAACTATAACTGGATTCCGGTCCTAATGGCTGTGCATATTCATATATGCCTGGGATAATATGGCTCTTCATACAAAGACAATATAAGGTACCAATAACTAATCACACACGAGTAAACATATGATATGTCGGCACAATACCATTATTAATGTATGTTTTTACTAATAGATCCTTTGTGTTTTGTACTGGTATACTACAACGGTCTCTAGATAGCAATGAAATCATTCTTATTTTTATACCCTAATGAGTTCACTACAAATGATAACAAGCTGTATTTTGTATCATTATACCTTTCAATCGTCCAAAATAGCGTGAATATGACATACGTCGTTAACCGACATAAAATAACCTATCTGTCCCCAGTTAGTCACTATTCAATCCTTAACGCTCAGTATTTAAGGAGTGTATTGTCGGTATAATCTGACCGCATAATTGCATAATCCAGGATGACAGCACTATAAATTAGGCTTTAGTTCTGTAATATCACAAGGAGGCTTTCGTGTATATACCGCAGTCATCCACAAACAAATGCACTAATCTCGTATACATATTGGCAGATCGTCCTTAAATGTTCATTGCTGATCATAGAACGTTAATCTATATAAAATTGTATCAAACCAAACCTATATATTATTTCGACAAACAATAATTTTATCTATTTTACGTACGAAATACGAAGAATTGTCTAAATCAAAAGAGCTTCAAAATGAAATTCATGGAAAAAACTTGGATTTTGGTATGTTCGCAACAGCCCTTTAATATGTTGCATGACTATCATTTTACTTCCTCGCTGATTGGTCAAAACAATTCCTATAATTCAAAATGTATCGCGATGTTATACCAAAACAGGCGGAATACTTTTAGTCGAGGTGGATATTGTAACAGGCTGGTCACCACCAGGTTATGAAAAGATTTCACAAACTTCATATGATAGTTCACTTTGTTTTAATGACATTGTGTATTATGTATAGGGATGCTTCAACTTATCATGCATCACTGTTACTGTCAAAAGTCAGTGTGGTAGGATACAGTCGTGTACTGCATATATATAAGATATTATAATTGATTAATATATCCTAAATCAATTAGAATATAATAGACTGTATTGTATAGAAATGTCTGTAACCGTAACTTAATCTTATCCTTAAATTGTTTGTCTTATTATCCAGTAATATTAAGTACCATTGATTTCCTAATAATGATAAATCAACCTCGATAAACACTTATAAACAGAGTTTCTAAGCTTTAAAAACATATCTAATTCTCCGGGTTAACTCCCTTTCGAAAGTAAAGAAGTGAAATATAGCTACTCCAGCAAATCTAGATTGTCTGACAGAAATATTTTCCCTCTCCCTTTGATACCTTTCTCACCGCATCACATGATCCCTTCAAGCCAATCAAGTCTCCTCTCACATCCATACTCGAAAACAAAAGTAACTTACCTTGCACATTCAAATAAAGTATTTTGTTTGTTACAATTGTTGAAATTATGTCCCTTTATTGTCGTTATCCATCTTTTCATATTCAAACGTTCTCTGACTAATGAGGTCAATTTAAGATATTACATTCATTACAATGAAAAGCATTGTCTATACTCAGCGTCTCGTAGTAATATCCGACGACATGTGTTATGTCACACAAAAATAGCGATGGTAAGAATTACAAAGTTCTTGTGATAGTTACTATCACAGTAAATTGTATAACGAGACTTACAGATAATAATGAAAAGTCAACTTAATTCGTATAATAAATATTCTATAATTTAATGGAAATGTTTTATAATGCTAAATTCACAGGGCATTCAAATCGGCAACTCAAGTTCGGTTTACAAGCAGCAGCTTCACATATGTTTGATATAAAAACAAAACAAACAAAAAGCAAACAAAAAAAAATGAAAATGGTTGGGTCCAAATGTGATTCAAGTTTATAGTTAGACATCCCGCATAAGGAGGGTCTTCCTTAATATCATTATGGGTTTGTTTAGCATTGTTCCTGAGAAAACAATGACTCTCACAAGGGAAAATAATTTTTGTACAACACAGACTCTCGTAGTAGACACAATGATATGACCTTATTGTGTGTCGTTTACAATAAAACAGTCAAGAATTCTGTCAGACATCTCAAAGGTGAATTCAACAATCCATAAACATGTGATGTAAACATATCTGTGGTGTTCACTGTGGAACACTGAAAAAAACACTTGTGTAATAATTAAACACTTCATGTGTAGTATAAGTTTATAAACATACAACATACAAACACTTTAAACTGCACAACATGTCAAATGTGAACCTTTTTGCCAAAATGGAACTCACTACATATTTAAGTAAATAAGCACTAAGGCCCAACTTGTTTGGTACACATTTAAGTATAAAAATATTTTGCCCATAATGAAGCTGAAGTATTGATAAGAAATGGGATCAATATGTCGCAAAATGCCTATCAACAAGAATAAAGTCTTTAAACAGGATCACAAGATCAAAGATATAAATAAACAACCGGATGATACAAGTTAATATCGAGGGAATTAAATCACACTATTGATAAACATTCGCATTGTCAACAGGGAGAGATGAAAAAGAATAATCCCATGTTAAATAACCCAAAGACAGGATTACAACAAACATCAATTAAAAAAGGAATCTGTGTTTTCCGGAGTTTGCGTTGTAGTTTTCGTTGAGATTCACGCAAGCGCGAATTAAAAGGATGAATTAAATGTCGTTTACTTAAGCTTTACTGCTGATGTTTGTAAGTATTTCATATATACGAAATGTATCTTCATCTAAAACATTTTCCTGTTTCGTGATTGAACATGATCAAGTATCTTTCATATGAATATTTATACTTAATAAACAGTTGCATTATTTGGTCATGTAATAAGTTATATTTTTATATTTTGTATCATTTTCACTCTAAATGTATGCCTATATCTATTATTAAAATGTAATTACATATAGGTACTAGATATATATCATAAACTACATGTTCCAACGATAGGATAAACCGGAACACTATTAATTTGATAGCGTTTTGTTGATTTCATATCATATTTTCAAATGTCCAGGCAATTTCACTGTTTGGTAAACAAAAATGACATCTTTTGGTTTTACTGTCGTCTGTTTTTAGCAGTACAACAAAATGGTGTGTCATTGGGTATCCATAGAGGCGTTGATGTGGACCCAGACAGGAAGAAAATTCCAGACAGTTGGACACATCCGGGATTCGGGAAGGCTTCTCACTTCCGGTGACATATTTCCGAACACCAAATTCGGATTCAATGGACGAAAACTTCTTGTATCCACTAATACTGTAAATATTAACACTATGTTTTTCATTTCGATTAAGAAAGTCACGTGACAGGTCAACTATATTTCTAGTCATGTATTGGTTCCTCCTTTACCCAATAGATAATTTTATTGTGCAAAGGTTTGATATTAACCGAAACTTCACATTGAAGTACTAAATTGTTAAGATACTAATATTTTATATACACTGGTAAATGATCATGATTGCAGATTTACATTTCTTCAGAGATTCATTTTCAGTTATCTGATATAATTTTGTTTCTGTTTTTCGCTTTCTGAAGTGGTATCCGTTTGTATCAAAACACAACGAGACATTTAGCGGTTTCTGTATTGACATGCTGGACCATTTGGCCATCAGTTTGAATTTTACGTAAGTTTGAGGTTAATCAGACCATACATATCTAACACGTGATTTTGTTGCTTCAATTGTGCCTCTAGTCTAGAAATATGTTAGTGGTTTTTTCGGGTTTTTATTCACTCAAAATCCCATCAATAAAATGATTCTCGAATTGAATTGCTTGAGGTCTCTACTGTACTCGCATTCATAATTTCATTCGTTAATATAACATTGGTGGAATAAGTATTAGTGATTCATCAGCAAAAGATGAATCCAACTTCTTCTTTGACTTTGAGGTTATTTACTGTATGTTACTGACGTAATTGATAACATATAGTTGCATCAATTAAACACTGTCTAGGTGCGTTCACGTTCTGCTTGGTAACCTGCTCCTGCCAAACAATAAACAACGTAGCCATGCCTTTATCAGAAACTTACCATATGATCAGGTGTGATAACAAGATAGTGACCTAAATGATGGTGCAGTTTGTTCTGGTCCAACAATAAATGTTCTATTCGATATTTATGTTAGAATGATCCACGAGAGAAAAAAATCACTAATGCCTTATATAAATATATAAACCATCAAAAGGACATTTATTGAACTAAACAGATTTGCTCAAAACCTTTTAGAAGATTCTTGTGTTCATTACTCCACTTAACATTGGTTTTTAACTTTAAAATTTACAACATTATTCTCGGGATCATTTTCCCGCTTAAATCTCACTCATAAAATTATCGAAATGAATTAACATAATAACTGCACGGTTAAAGTCCAGGATTTTATATAATATGATGAGATGAAGAAGTACAATATGTAAATTATTTTTATACATACTCAATCCCTAAAGAAGCCCTCAGAAACAGAACTCACTTTTATGAAAACCATACACTTCATTGTGTGTCTATATCTTATCCTCATGTGTTTTATTTTTATATGTATACGAAGTAGAATAATATTACTGGTAATGTAAATCTTATATATTGTGTCAATGTATACCGAAACGATGACGTATACGGTGCAACAAAGCTGTAATGAAATATTCATTTTGTTTTTTTTTTTTAAACTATCTCTTGTAAAAGATTTGAATATTGATCAGAAAAAACAGTATGAATGTTGACTAAACATTTGATGGACCACGAAATTGACTTTGATCATAGACAAATCATTTCATAAAACTGGAAGTATCAACATTATTTCATGAGTAAAAATCTTTTCAGATATCGCTTGACTATGCCAGCTGATGGGGCTTGGGGAATGGAGTTCGAAAACGGCAGCTTCAATGGTTTGGTCGGTCAGATGCAGAGAAACGTAAGTGTGTTTTATCATACAGAAACTAATTTAGCAATCACTTTAATTCATGTCGTCTTCGTAATTAATGTTATTAGGCTCAATAGAATTACCGAGTTCGAAATTCCGAACAAAGGCACATTCCGTATGTTTTCATTTTTTTTTTTTTTTTTAATTTGTTTGTTTCGTTTTCATGTTTGCGTTTCTTTTACAAAGGAGGTTGACTTGACAGTAGCCCCAATGTCAATACAGACAAATCGGGAGGCAGTGATGGATTTTTCGTACCCATACTACTTCGAACCAACTATTATGCTCCTGAAAAAACCCGACCCTTCCGAGACAAAATGGCGCACTCTAATTGATCCCTTCACAACTACTGTGCTGATCTGCATAGGGATTTCTCTGCCGACAATGTCATTTGTCATGTGCATGTTGGAGTATCTGAGTCCCTATTACAGAGGAATACCGGATAGGGCTTCCATGAGGGGCCTCCATCACTTCTCAGACTCTTTTTGGTACTTATATGGAGCCCTCCTCACACAAGGTAGTTCACTGTTGTAAGCTCCAACGATTCAAAATTATATGTAAATTACTATAATTTTCTTACTCGTGTAGTTTTCTAAATACGTCTTGCCAATGTGAGGAAATGAATTTTTGATTTTCTGTTGACCAATGGAAGACCAATGCAGTCATTAACTTATTATCATTTAAGATCCGACATAACTTACGTCAACTGAACACGATTTACATGTCGGCGTTAAAGCAGAAAACGCTCATCATTCCAGGACACCTCATCTCATTCTTTCACAATTTTTGTTTTGCCCATACTGGTTTTCATATCATCATTTTTAAGTTTTAATTAAAATTCAGTTGACATATCAGTATTTTATTGGTGTTTGTCGATCAATATGCTCCATGTACACTATGCCAACTATGAGAACATTTCAATTTGACAGGAGGAGAACACATGTCGGATGCTGTATCGGGGAGGACATTGCTGAGCTTCTGGTGGCTATTCTGCATCGCCATGATGGCAACATATAGCGGCAATCTGATTGCTTTTCTTACGGTATCGAAGGAAAGGTTGCCATTTGATACGATCAGTGGCATGATCAAACAGGATATATATAAGTGGGGAACTATCGGGGGAACTGCCTTCATCGATATTTTCAGGGTATGGTACAGCGAGGCACCAGAAGGGAAAAATTTCATAAATATATGTTTATTGAAATAGATGATAGAAAACTGAAATATGACTGGAAAATATCCATGATGGTTTTTGTAAGACCTGAAAAGCGAGACAATGTCATGGAACGATTATCAGAGAATTTTCCCGACGTAATTAATGAAAACTAATCAATTAAAATGCTAGATACGTAACGATTTCTCACTGTTAATTGAATAACGTGCCGAGTGTGCAAGTTTGATGATAATAATTGTTCTGTAACGGATCACAGATCGCTTATAGAGAAACATAACACAGGGTCGTGTATTAGAAGGCCACGGTAACATGCTTAACTCTTTCGTTACATAACAATGTAGCTTTCAATATATAACTTCAGAGATATTCATGATGTCATGATGTCCCGTTAATTTCCGTTCAGAATCTTTATTGCAAGTCAGCCATATGATGGTTAAATGCCTTTTCGTTGTTTTAACTATCGATGGATCGTTCGTTTAGTTCAGGTTCAAATAATTAAAGTCAATGTGATGGAGATTGACTTAGGATGTATGGGATGAGAGCGCATGGTCGTTTTAGTGAGAATCATGTTTTGCTATTTCAGGCATCCGAGCAACACGAGTTCCAGCAGGTATGGAACGGAATTGTGTCGTATAACCAGTCGGACAGAAACGTACTGAGTCCTGATCCTGAAGTCCATATCTCCAAGGTACTGTCTGGAAATTATGTATTCTTAGCAGACAAGACCTATAGCGAGTTAAGGATGAGAGGCCGCAAGGAGTGTGATCTGGTGATGACGAAAGAGGAATTTCTGCCTTTTCAGTATGCTGTGGGTCTTCCCAATAACTCTCCATACACAAAGCTGTTTGCTGACGCGTAAGTGGTTAATTTGATCTGGTTTTAAAGATAAACATGCGAATATTTATATTCTCACGGTAGTTTATTGCAAATCAATTCCTAAGTCCTATAGTAATTAGAATTTGGCGTTTTTCGTCCGTTCATCCTGTTTATCATTTTTGACAATTGTTTTCGACATTAGGAAAGCGGTATCCTTATGATCTGTAGCTGGGCTGTTGTTTAAATATTAATGTATATACCAAGAATATTTACATAGGCTGTGTCTGGGACCTTGTACCATTGTATATTATGTACAATAAAATAGGTCGAAAGGGACAAATAGAAACACCAAAATAGAAAAATTACAGTAGAGTCATAACACCACAAATACATAAGGAGATACAAATCAGCTGTAAAGTCACAAGGGTTTCAAATTTCACCGCCGAAATCGTCATAGAAATGTCAATATATTGAATCCTAACTATGTAACAATTACTCGATCAACCTCTTACACTTACAAGTGGATAGCAAATATATTTTGTAAAGAAATTCGTTAGAGTCGGATTGTATGTTGAATGCATTTCATCCTTTAACACTTTTCGATGATGACTTCCTGTCTTGTTTCAGAGTACTTACCATTCACGAAAGTGGCCTGTTAGAAATATGGAAGCTAAAAAATTGGCCTAAAAGGAGCACATGTTTCAGTTCTATGGTTCCTGAAGCTACTATAGTGACCTTAATTGACATACAGAGTGCTTTCTACCTGATCGGAATAGGCATAGTGATAGGTGGAACAGTGTTACTGTGTGAATGTGGATATTCTTACTGGGAAAGACACAAAGGTATCAATGCAAATAGACCTGCTGTAATACACAAACATACCAAACGCATCACATAGGATACCATGTAGATACGAGATTCGTGAATCAATGTGTGTCGGGATTGTGTGAAAGGGATTTAATTTTTCGATTATTTCTTTTCTAAAAGTTAAGTAAAATTATCAACATTCAACATCTATGGTGAGATAATATTGTTTCTGGATTGGGGAGAGGGGTTGTGTTACGGAAGTGAATTAAGATATGGTTTTAATCAGATTGGGGACAAAAGTAAACGGTGGTAGGGAAGTTTCCGAACAACAGCAGGAAAGTAAGCAGATCGATATGTAATGACATGGATTTGAGGACAACTTATTGACTTTTGCTTTTCGGTTGTAATATACTGCATCAGTGGACTTGTTTGTGAGGTTTAATTGCTACATAATGTGTCTTGGTTTAAACAAAATAAAGGTTAAACTTGATGAAAATCACATTGTTATCTTAAACAAATAAAAATGGAATGAAGCTTTGATACGTTTTATAATATAAAGTTGAACGTTGGTCTTACTGTTATGTGGAGCAGGCATATAACATGATGCAGTGTTATTGATTATGAAATCAATTTTATGTGTTCTTACTTAATTAAATTTGATTATACTGTGATTGTAGGAAATAGCAACATCAACTCTAATTCTAATTGCATAAAACTAATGAAGGCGCGGTACATATAACACAACCACCATGCGTACTAACGAGCACCAAAAACGTCATGTCAAATAGGGTAATAGAATGAGGCCATTATGTCGAAAAGGAAAATCTCGTCGAATACCAGTAAACAAGAATTAAATAAAAGCTATTTTTGCATGCATGGCATTACAAAACAAACTGACATCACAACAGTTTGCGTCGTTTCTGATTCAGATTGAAAATAGTAAGGAGAATTAGCAAATAGTTTTAACATACAGTTGATTACGTGCAATGGCAAACTAATCTCGGAACCTTCCTCACGATGTTATCATACAATACCATGGGCATGGTCTGGCTGCGCAATGGTATCGTATCCGCCGTAACTTAGATCTCCAGAACTCGGTTCCTCGATTTAACCATCTTGCTATATATGAAGGTTAACAAATGAAATGGAAGTCAGGCTTTTAATTTCAAAGACTATCGGCATGAGTAGCCAACAAGAACTAGGGAAACATCGGAATACTATGAAACACTCCATAGAGCCTGGAGATGAAGCTGATAGTTTTGAATAGATCACATGTCTTGGGATATACATGTAATACGAAACAGGTCACAGATAAGACAATATTGAAGTAACCTATTGTCCAAATAGTGATATATGAGATTCTGAATCTATACATGTGATCCTACACATGTGGATTATACAAAGGGATTTTATAAAGGATATGGATCACATCAATCAACATATTCATTACGATTATTAGAATGAACCAATGTTGAAAATACCAACACGTCTACAGAAGCTTAATTCAAACTCCACACACATCATTCACACTGTCACAGGAGGGCTCTCATTCTCAACACAAACCATTCACACTGTCACAGGAGGGCTCTCATTGTCCCCACACATCATTCACACTGTCACAGGAGGGCTCTCATTCTCCACACACATCATTCACACTGTCACAGGAGGGCTCTCATTCTACACACACATCATTCACACTGTCACAGGAGGGCTCTAATCCTCCAGACACACCATTCACACTGTCATAGGAGGGCTCTCATTCTCCACATACATCATTCACACTGTCATAGGAGAGCTCTCATTGTCCACACACATCATTCACATTGTCACAGGAGGGCTCTCATTCTCCACACACATCATTCACACTGTCATTTTTGGTTAATATCTCAGTATTATATCATTAATTTTCATGAAATACGAACATATATTTTCTTTGATTCTCCTCTAGAAGAACAGAAGGTCATTTATTTAGGTAAAGGATCAGACGTGAAACTTTATCAATCCGGTAACACATCTGACGCCAGTATTGGAAAACGAATTGCAGCAACATATTGAGTTTTTGCTTTTTAATCATTTTCCAAAATATCACCTTTCAGTAAATCATCAAGGGAACAAAAGTTAAATATTGGATCGTTTTTACTTCTCATCCTTAACACCCTGTCTTATAAGATTCTCTGTCAGCTGTTTAGAGATATACATCCTTAAAAGTCTGTCTTGTGAGTTAATCTGTCAGCTGTTTAGAGGCATACATCCTTAAAAGTCTGTCTTGTGAGTTTATCTGTCAGCTGTTTAGAGACATACATCCTTAAAAGCCTGTCTTGTGAGATTATCTATCAGCTGTTTAGAGACATACATCCTTATAACCAGTCTTGTGAGTTTATCTATCAGCTGTTTAGAGATATACATCCTTAAAAGTCTGTCTTGTGAGTTTATCTATCAGCTGTTTAGAGATATACATCCTTAAAAGTCTGTCTTGTGAGTTTATCTGTCAGCTGTTTAGAGGCATACATCCTTAAAAGCCTGTCTTGTGAGTTTATCTATCAGCTGTTTAGATATATACATCCTTAAAAGTCTGTCCTGTGAGTTTATCTGTCAGCTGTTTAGAGGCATACATCCATTTTGAATTTCGGACCTGCCCAAAAATATCAACACTTAGTCCGCACCCTACCGGATCATTCATGGCATGTTTTAGATCAATTCCACCTATGTAACTTTTAAGTTTTAAATTTGTTGTTAAAAAATGCATACTTGGTAATCATATTACAAAATGGCCGCCATGGCTTCCATGACAAATAAAAAAAAAAAACTTTGTCAGCTTCCCTTCCTCAACATACCCACCAATTTTTTAGTTTTTGTTAAGACCATCTCGGGAATATTCCTGGTCAGTTTCATCTGGATCTCGTTAGTGAAATTGGAGAAGTTTAATCTGTGAAAAGTCTGCGTGGCACGCCGTAGGACAAAACAGGATAGGTCTAGGACATCTTACAAAGGTTACACTTTCCTAAATCTAAACATGTAAAAATGCATATTTTCCTATATGAAATAATTGTGCATAAAGTAAATGCAGAAAAAGCTGTTAAGACGAACCCTTTTTAATAAAGTTCTGTTGGTCAGACGTTTGACAGAAGCTAAATGACAAATATAGTATTTTAATAATATGGCTTATATGTCAATAAAATTGGCATAATTTCATTGTTTAGAAAGAATCCGCAGTGAACAATTATTAATGCGGAGATTTATTTGGAAACATTTAGTGACTTGTGTTATTGCTCTCAGCAGTAACACCAGCTGTTCAAGTACATTCCTCATCTGAAAGGACGTGGGCGGTATCGGAACGTTCCACTGTACATACACGTGATACTAGTATACACACAGGCTGATATCGGAGTGTGTAACAGGAGTAGGGAGGATCTGTGTAAACTATATACCAAAGTTTGTAGTAACTAAGCGAACATATTTTCCCCTGTGATTAGTATACATTGTATAAACGTCGTCAGCAGTTTGAGACACGAGACAATATTGACACATTTAATTCGAGCTTCTTTACTAGGTAGAGCCGACACAGATTACCAAAGAGAAAGTCCAAGGTCTTTGGAGGTCAAGTGATACACTCTACAGATAGCGTAACATATATCTGGATCACCGACCTCGGAATAAGGACATATAATCCCCTTGTTATATAACTTAAAACAAGATCAATTTAACACTTATATTTAACTGTTTTCTTCCTATCAATTTCCACTGATAAAAAAGTTCCTTAATATACAACATACACAGTGAACGGAGCAGATATATGACAGACATTATTTTCTTTTTATTCCGATGAGGATCTGATGTCATCGCAAATCATAAGACTTGGTGAGAAAATGTGCCTGTTGGTTTCGTTGAAGAAAAAATTCTGGTGAGCTGATGAAGGAGGGCCTGCAGTGTCCATGATTTCCTATTCTGGTGGATACGTCCGTGTGCTTTGGGGATGTGATGACAACACAGGACTCTTAAGAGTAAATGACTTTGTAAACATATTGTAATGTTCGTCTCATAAGTGCATACGTAGCGTTTTCATTAGCAATAGCAAAATTTAATCAATGGAATAACTTGACGTTAATTAAGTTCATCTGAAACTGAATGATAAATATATTTTAATAATAAAAAAAACAAATTGGGAGTGATGTCAAAGGTTAAATATCTTTTCTGAAGAAACCATCGGTTGAGATATTGCCGGATATATTAAACACGAGTTATCGTTCTTCTCGCGTTACAGATAAAGGTACTTGCGGCTGATACCAAACATTGATAACAGGTGTACGGTCAAAAGTTATCTGTTTAAACAGTAGACTGAAGTTCATCGTAACTAAGTTTGCACTTTTGTTTATTGGGCTCAGTATACATACGTCATCTGATATGTATGGAAATTAAATAACAAAAATCTCATATACAAAATGCATATAAAAACATTACATACTGTTTATTTCATTTGTTTTTATAAATAGTATATATATTTCAGATTCTGTTCACTATCCTTTCGAATCACGTGATCCTAGCAGAGAAAAACTCGTTATTAAAGTACTCTCTACCTCTTAGAGCTGGTCAAAGCTGACGCAGCCATATTATGTGGTTATTAAGGAGAGGGTGCAATGTCTTGTGAGGTCAAGTGATAGTGTTACATATCTGGCTGGACCAGATATATATAGCTCTTACTGAATTCCAATAGCATATTTATAAATAGAACAATTAAGTACATGTTAAAGGATCTCTTATAAGTCGTTCTCTATCATTGAAAACAAAAATGAGTATGGATGAACATGAATGAAAGGGTTGAAATGAGGTGTGTTAAGTGATACTGAAACAATGCGAACGCACATTGAACACAAATAGGAAAAATAAGGAAACACTAGAAAATGTCTGTAAGACATAAATACCTCCGACCGCAAGGCCTGGACGTTGGACCCCTGAAACACAGTGTCCAAAGTATACTCATACTTGAACTTCGCTTAAAGTTTGACCAAATATCGTGAAAGTTTTCAAATCTATTCGATTAATGATTCTGCATATATAGCAATGGTTACCTTGGTCTTGACGTTGTGTCCGTAAAATACATCGACGTCCGAAATATACTAATAACTTGCCTTTGTATATGGTAAGACAAAATGTAGTCAAAGAATGAAGTTGTTATGTGCTGACGTTGAATCGGGACGCGACGCAACGCGAGGGACATGGACAAGGCTAAATGGCCCCCACACCTTATCCATATGTTATGTCGGGCGCTCAAAAAAGAAATTTTAAACTGAATAACGATGTTACAGATTTGTTGATTTCTTTTTTGATATACATAGGGTACACTATCAAATAATGACAATGCCTATTGATAGCAATGTATTAGAAATACGTTCAGGCGACGGTGAGAGGATACACAATTGAAGAGTACGCCATTTTGATTTTTCCCCATTATATGACTAAAAAAGTAAACAGTATCATGTTTAAAATAACATTGTGTATATCTGCATTTTATCCTAATTTCATAATAAGACATGTTGTAAAAACTGGTAATATATAATGTACGTTTGATTACGTTTTAAATTTGTAACATGTTAAATAAATGTATTGACATGGCCCAGAACCCCGATACTTTCTCAAATTTTAAGTTATTTTGAATCATTTTGATTACTTTTGCTGATTAAAATTGACCTCCTAATAGTACATTTTATCAACTCAAGTGTATCACTTATGTCAATGACATTCTATCGCTTATATCAGCAGGTGAGTGTTTAAACATCTGCTCTGATCTGGAAAAAAACGGCCAAGTGTTAAGTTGGTGATAAATCGAAGGCCAACGGAAATATGCCACATCAAGGTTATCAACATCTATACTTATTTGGAGAAACTATACTGAGGTAAAATACTCAAATGTTTAATTAAATCGTCCGATTTTTTAATATACTGTAATCTATTGCATTAGATGTAAACAACATATATAGGGGAAAGAATTATGCTGCTTTCTAGAAATGGAAAGTTCACAATAGGGTAATCAAACTCGTAAGAATCGTTGTAAAATCTAGGTAAGCGGCATATATAGAAAAAGCTTGCCGTGTCCTTAATTTCAAAATCTGCCGGACACATAGGATCCAGAAATGAAAAGTTCACAATAGGGTAATGCGAAGGAAATGGTCTTTCTCATAGCACACTTGATCAACAACTAAAGTATTCCAAATGAGTTAACGACCCTATATAGCCTATATCACAAAGCGACTGTGCCACTGTCCGCACTGACCTGAAAAACCAAATGTTAAGTTGTATGACACAGCAGTACTATCAGCGAGAGGTTTTATTAAATACACTAAGTAAGTACATTATGTGTGATTTAAATCAAGCGATATCTAAAGGTAATGGAATAAGTTAATCACTGATACACCTCCCCATCTACATTTAGATAATCATTGATACACCTTCCGATCTAGATTTAGTCAATCATTGATACACCTCCCGATCTAGAATTAGTTAATCATTGATACACCTCCCGATCTAGATTTAGTCAATCATTGATACACCTCCCGATCTAGATATAGTCAATCATTGATACACCTCCCGATCTAGATATAGTCAATCATTGATACACCTCCCGATCTAGATTCCGTTAATCACTGATACACCTCCCGATCTAGATTTACATGTTTCCCTTGCCCATTTTCCAACATTAAGGTACTAGAAATCACTGAAACCCTACAAGGATAGTTTAGTTTATTATTGGGATCTACTGTATACAGTATAAATATTAGATTTCATTTAATCTTTTATGTCTTTTCGTATAATTAATCGATATCTTTCACTGACATCGGCAGGGTATCTATATCAGATAAATAGTATGACAATGATAAGATATAGACAGATAGGTTTTGATGATACCGTTTACAAATAAAAGTCGTTCGATTACTTTTTTCTCTGTTAAAATAAAATCAAAACATTCACGTCCACTCTCTGAAACCATAACCTCGTTTATGAAATATATATGTCTAATATTGACCTATTTAACTCAGATAACATCATGTTGGTAACACTAACCAGAAGCAATTAAGGCATGAGGGGTGAAAGTAGTAATTTTCATGCCCTTGTAGTGAGAAATGAAATGCCTGGGGCATTGACAGATGCCCTTAACCATCTTAATTTCGTCTTCGTTCATTTACTCTAGAACGGATGAAGAAACATATATTAAACTGTGATTGATCATCAAGCTTATAACTGTAAATAACAGTTCCAGTTCCGATTTGTTAATCTTTTTCTAGATTAATAGTCGATTTTCTTTGGGAAATTTGAGAAAGTTTCACTGACATGGCAATTTCAAAAGCTTTCACAGAAATAGATATGACAAAACGTGCAGGACCTGTCTCGCTTTTTCACAGAAAAGGGTATAATCAGAAGACCTTTGTCTAACTGAAGTAGAAGAGTATAAAAATACGCCGTTAATCCAGAGACAATATACTGTCCTATTTTTTCGCATGGGTATTCATCTTAATCTTGTTTGTTTGCTGTGCTCAACTAGTATCCATTCTAAGCTGTAGGTTCAGCTGGCATAACTCAAAGTTTATTTCAGATTCTTTACCACAGATTTTGCAAGTAGATCCAGATTTTCTACCAAATCATTTGCAGATTCTTATCAATAAAATCTGCTACAAGATCTATATTTTTTCGTATTTTACCTTAGAAGCCTCAGGTAGATCTCATATTTAATTTATTTTAACCATGTAATTTGCAAAACAAATAGTTACATATATTTCCAATTTATCGCCATAGTACATTGTATTGTATTAGCATTCACCCAAAATATTGTTATTTTCTTCTCAAAAGAGTAGTGTCGTACACTTGGAACAGTTTTGTTCTTGTTGTCCGAAATCTCGACATAGTGCTATTTCCTTGTACAATGCAGCAGTATAACGTATGAAGTATCATGATGTGTGTTGATCGTTCGGTAATCTCGGAACATTGCCAGCAATTATGACATGCTTGCTATCGAACAGTGATGATATTGTTTACAAATCTGTTTATCAGAACATAATTTTTTATTTCATATTTAATCTTCCTGAACACAATGTCTTAATCTCCTTGTACATTTTCTGGAGTCTCCGTGTAAATATTTCTTTTGTTCAAAGTCTGCCCTAGTTTTATTGAATTCGAGTTGGATTATGATCATGCTAACATGCATGTATTTTCTCTTAATTTTTTGAAACATCATTTTAAGATTATTCTGGATTTCTAAATTGTCAGTACCATTTCGTAAGCCGTCGGCATCACTGACGAATCCTAGAAGGACAAAAAAGGCTGTATGATACAGATTACTTTTACGCTCTACCGTATCTAACTTACATTAAATGGTCTTCTTTATTTGTGTGTCTTTTTTTCCAATCTTCGTGACTGCAGTTGGTGAATTTTAACCCCGAACATTGCCGTACCTCGCAAGTCAAGTTTATCTTTATTTGGAAAGTGACACGGTCCAGAATATATACATGTTTTTGGTGCTCTCCTAAAATTATCATGAGAAAATAATTAAAATTAATGAAGTAGGGGACTTTTGTCCCTGCCCATCTAGTTTTTGACTTTCCGTTTGAACACTTCAAACTTTCCAATTTTAGGCCATTAATATCACTGACTAATCCTAAGAAGTAGGAAACAGTTGTTTGATAAAGTTTAGCTCATTATTTGTCTCTACGGTATCTTACTTGAAATTGGTATTAAAAAATGCTTATTCACATGTCACATTTATACAATATTCGAAACGACTACTGGTTCAAAACGTTGTCAGAAATTGTCAGTTTTAATGACTGGACGTTATGCGTCAAATCAATAAATCATAACATATGTGTTTGCCTTTTACCTCACCTCGGGGCATTCGTCAAGTCCTCATCTTACACGTGGTAAGAGTGAAAAGGCGTTTGATCAATAACCTTTGGTGGTTGATATGAATGTTTGCTAAAAACAAGCAGATGGGGAGCCGCTCAAATCGTCATCCTGCCTTAGGCCTGCCGTTGTTTATTTATCAGGACGTTGTGTGGTTATGGTCAAGAAATAAATTCTGTTTTTTATTTATCAAATTCCAAATATATCATGGCAACCATACATTAAGACTGGAAAATACTGATTTCACTCACTAAATACTGTGAATGTCTTCTCTAAACTTAATTTTTCCCCTTTTAGAAAAAATAAATTCAATCTCGTAATTATGTTTATAGAGTATGAAGGTCAGTCTGATTAAATAGCTTAACGATAATTATGATATAATTTTTCTTTTTAATATGAGTATGTTTGTTTATGTGACCTTCCAGTAATATCTTTAGCAATTTGTCAATACTAATATCAACAGTAACATCGCAAGCACGTTTACTTGTTCAGCTTACCACGTGCGGTACGATAGATTTATGTGTACTAGTGTACTTGAACTTGAAACCCGATCAAAATCGTTTAGCATAAAATCCTTTTAAATATCCCGTTCAAAGTTACTCTGTGTGTATAAATACACAGTGAAGTGTGTCTAGTTTATTATCAGACGTATTCGAAATTCATATCAATATTCATATATATTAACAGTATTCTCCGGTCCCTAGTACCGACAAAATTCGTTACAAAAACACAGCTGTACATATAGTCATTTGACAAACGTGGTTATAACTGGTGTATTATAAACATGAAATACAGTTACAAATGATGAAGATCGTTCCAATGGAAACACATGGACTAACAATAGATTTTCCGTGCGAGGCGGTCAGGAAGAAGTACATCCCGATGTTTGAGTAAGTGCGCATGTCCAATGATCAGAGGAAATGTGTGTTTGGATACGGGGTCAGCGTTCATAAACGTACCTTGTCTACACGATAAGTGGAGTAGTATCAGCGTTACTTCATCTTTTCCCGTGGAGGTTAAATATAAGGTTGCTATCACGTGAGCAACGCGTGTGATAAACTGTCATGGTGTGCGACAGTAGCAGACGACAATTGCAAGCACAGAACGTCACATTTATGGATTGTAGATGCTGGATTTGTGTGAGTGAATTGTTTAAATATTTATGTATGTAATTAATGCGAGCAGCTTCAAACAATCCTTCATCAAAATGCTATTCTTAGCTTTGTAGGACATAAACAGCTGTGCCAGCGAATACCGAAAAGTACATACACCTTAACATCAAAAGGAATACAGTTATGAATATCATTGTTGACAAGTCTACATGCTGAGATAACCAAACCGACAGTAGGCAATGATCTGTGACACAGCTGTGAAGCCATTCTCACTCCCATGTGTGCAGGGCGTGGGTCAATTGTAGCTTGGCGACTACATTCTGTGTGAAACCACTTGCAAATCTATGCCAGAATTTGTAAGCCAGAACGGCAGTGAAATAATATGTATTTTCTAAGTTCAATTTGTGTAAATATGAACATTTTTATAACGCTTCTATGTTTCATGACATATATTTAGTATGTATTATTTCAAGTATAACTTCCTATCTTGTATGTTTCAACCACTAAATATGAATGGGCTTTGTGTATATTGTTCAATGACCAATCAACAGCTATAATTGTTTGAAAAGGCTGTGTGTAGGCCTCCTATTGATAGAACTTCAGCCGACTTTATAGTTCTACCACATGGAAGCATACTGCCGTAGACCTCCAACAGAACATCCCACCCAATCACATTTTACAGACAACGGGTAAACCGGTCCTTACACTATCGTAATACTGAGCGTTAGGCTAGAGGTTTTCATTATACTTTTAAAGGATTTGGAATATCTCGGCCAGGGGACAGAAGCAAAAGATGTCCTCACTGGGGCAAGCGCTCATCTGAAAGGCAAACGCGAGACAGTGTCAAAGGAGATAATTTAAAGGAAGAAAAAAGATTAATAGAAAATAGAGCAAATAAAAAGCCTTAAGTTCAGTCGCCTCGTGCGATCTTTCAATGAGGATAGCAGTAGGACAGTTTATGCACGTAGACATCAGTACTGGTATAACATAGGGTAAGATATTTATGAAGAGATATGTAAAACTTCCATGACCCAGCTCGAGACCCAAATCAAATGTTTTCTTTACTTTCTTTTTATTCAATTGGAGTCTTTCAATAGCAAATTCTATACCCAAAATAATTTTCTAGAGCATTTGTGTTCTTAATTATTTGTTATCCAATTTACATAACCCAGAAGAAAGGAATTGGATCTGTAAGGGAGACCCTTCCATAGATGGATATTTGGGAAGCTGTGATAGGATTGTGTAAGCTTCTTTGTAATAATGCGAAGCTGATGTTGATTTTGTAGTGCTATCACACTGAGACATACAACCGAAGGCCTCCGGTAGGACAACCACCCGGAAAAATTATACTGAAACGAAGAACTGATTTTTTATACCAAGAGTTATTACTTCAAGTACAAAATATTTCCTCATATAATTATATGCATTATGAGAGAAACAGTCTTAAGCCATATATCCATGAATGAAATCTTAAATGCTTAAGAGCCCCATAAAGGCTTGCAGTAAAACGAAATCTAGTGTTTGCTGAATAAAAGTTTTATACAAAAGTAAAGACCTCTCGCATATAGGGATTTAGATGTCAGTTGATAGGACCACAGTCTGGTGTACATGTAATTAAAATGCAATCACGCAGAAATCTCCTTTTATAAATCACGGTATCATGATGCCCCAGCCCTCCACAGTATAGGGTTAATGCCACCTAAAAGTCGGTAACATGATATACCAACTAGTTACTGTCTAGTGTTTATTATTTAGTAAACTAGTTCCATTGTAATTGTATTAGAATCAAAGTAAGTTTATCAATACGATCATATCGCTGGTATTGGGCCTTTTGCCATCATCAAACATTAGATTCTTTTCATTTTTGAGATCAAGTGGTGACTATTTTCTCCGCTACCTTTATTTGTACAGCAGATCTGAAAATCCAGCACAGACAGCAGTCAAAAACTGCTGCATTTTGTCATCTTTGTCTCTATGTACAATTTTATTAGTGAAGGTAGATAATTCTACAAAATACCTAGATACCTAGGCGCAATGTTCATCCCTAAAAGGTTAACGATGTTTATGTATGTGTACAGCTGTTGAAGTACAAATTAGTCATTAACTCCTTTTAATTGCTGTGTTCCACAACTTTAATTTTCGTATATTATGGTAGTGCTAAGTACCATTCAAATACCAATTATGCTTGCCATTCACGATCAACACTTTTTCCTTCTACCTAGTATATGTGTGCATACACGAGTTAGGTATTACAAAATGATTATGCAGACTCGTATATAGAACCCAGGTGATAATAGAGGACGGTCAGCTACATCCGGTTAAATCAACCTTTTTGGTTCATTTGTGAAGGTGTTACCTCCGATGGCCATGGCAAATATAATGTTCGTTACTGACAAACGATTTTCTTGATGTTTTAATTAAGCCACTTATAACAATGTAGTTAGTAGGCGAAGTTTATTTCCTAGTTATCTTTCGAAGATCTTTTCAAACATTTAACCGACTGTTTAATGTTTTCTAGCTCATAAATATTTAAAAGATGACGTATAACATGGCAAAGTAATGTAGATTGTGTCCATAATGATAGTATTATCAACAGGAGAGTGGGAAATTTAGAAAATCTTCATCAGAAATGGAGATGTTCAAACGGGGTTTCGCAACACCTGTTAAAAATACACTAACTAGAAAGCAAACACACCTGCTAATAATACCTGTGACCGTTTGAGGTGTCATGTTACTGTGTCAAGGTTAGAACATTTCAGTCTAAAGTCACATTAAAAGCGTCTATCAATAGCACAACCCTCCATAGACAATCGTAAAATTAACCTGACTGGTGCGAGGACATGCAACCGCAAACGAAAGAAATAAAAACAATATTGCCTTTTCTTGTTTAGCCAACAGTTTCATAGAATATATGCAAATACAGCTCAGAACGACTTCTGGTCAGTTATGTCACAATTTGAATCAAAATTGTGCTAACATATCGATATTTTCTCTTTTGTTTTCCGGGACCTGTCAGTGGTTTTGGGCCAATGGCCCAAGGTTTTGAATATATACATTGAACCTTGATAAATATTAACTACGTCGAATGCATATATCATGAATTGACAAGACTTTATTTAGTTTTTGTTTAGATCAATACAGTACCGACACTCAGCAGCGGTGTGGTACATATTAGACAATTATACCCACAATTTAATGGTGCTAATGTCATTCTCATTGTTGATTGATTTGCAAGTAAATTAAAAACAATTGTGATATACCTGTACATTTTTAAAGTTGGATTCTGAAAAATAGTGACAGTGCACAGAAGGAAAATAGTTTGTTCCTATTTCCTGGTTTTAAAGAAAATCGTTTGTTGTTTTTTTCCTGTGATAGGATGTTCCTTGCACTGCAATAATGATACAATAACATTACATAACCTCTTTCTAGATATTCTTAACATTGCACTTGATATTTCGTGGTTTAGTAGCATGCTATTAATTGATGGAATTATTTTATTCAATGTTTGTTTTAGTGGTATTCGAGGTCCCCTCACTGGATTTGCTCGTCCATCAAAGAGTCATACATGACTACACTTAATGACGCGTTCAGCTAGTTGAAAATTTGGAAGCTAAAACTATTAAAGGAGATCTAGGACGACGCTGGCGACACCATGGTAAACAGATGCGCCACGAAAGACGGCAATAAATGCCTCAGTAATGGAAATTGCCAACAGAACATGAACAAATCGAAGAGTTCATCCTGTGGTGATGTTGAAAATGGAAAGAAACAGATAAACAACGATGTCGTGACAGACCGGACGTCGAGCAGTGATGTTAAAACTGATCGGCAAAGAGCAAAGGATTTTTTGCATGATAACCTTCCGGTGGATCATGGATGGGCGTGGATGGTATTGTTAGGTGAGATTGATTAGATCTTTTTGAATCTGATTTTCACACATTGTAAGAACTGCTGATCGACTTCAGTTCCGGATATTTGCATGCATAGTCCTATTTTAACATAACTTCCGGCCAATTTTAATTTTCGTAATTCACCTCCTTGACTTATGCCCTTAGCATTACTGACGAGTCCTAGAAAGACATATTAGCCGTATGATGTAGTTCTATTAATTATCTGGCTCTTCCCTTTATCTTTCCAAACAACTTAATCATTTCATTGGTATGCATCAATAGCATAAGTTGTAGAATTCATTGCTTTGCAAATCTTGGAAATTTCCTTTACGTTTCAATGATATTTCATACAAGTTTATTACTCTGACTCGCATTGTGTTATTTGAATTTTGGATTGCCATCCTGTTGTACTCAATGACAACATCAATTTAAACAGTATTATAACATTATATTACAGCACATAAACGTCATCAGATTTGGCATCCACACAACAAATATCGATGAATACTATCCATGTAACCACAAACAAACATTATCTCATTTATTATCGATAAACAGCTGGGTTGAGTTTTAAAATAATGTCAACATTTAAGTATTTCTTCGGAAAATTTTACATGACCGGAATATGCGGGTATTATTTTTTCTGTGCAAAAAATATTGGCAAACAATTCGTTTGGAAAATCGCGCGTCATACTTTTGATGCAAGAATATGTCGTATTTATTTTGATGATATAAGCAGATGTAGTTAAATTGCTGTCCACTAGAAAGAAATCCACGTTTCACATTTTGAAAACCGATATTGAAAATACGCTAATATGAATGTATTGATGTCTTACTTCAGTATGTGCCATTTAAGATTTACATTTTACAGGATGTACTATAAACATGGCCCTTATCTTCGGAACCCTGAAGGCATTTGGAATTTATTTTGTCGAGTTTATTGTGGTATTTGACGCTGATGTGTCTGTAACGGCATTGATATCGGGTATTCAGCAAGCAACATACTCCGTGTTTGGTAAGTAAATGATTTTCTCCGTGATTGATATAAGTTAATTTTCATTTTTTTGTTGGATATTGGTAATCAAATTGTAGTTTGGTATCAAACTTTGGTATAGCATACTAGATTCTGACATTACTTTTTATGTAAGGAGAATGTGGACAATTTTCGTGGATTTTTCTAGGATTTCAATATTTTGCCAATAATCTCAATACCAAATACAAAGAGAACAAGATTGAAGTAGCACACCGAGATATTAATATTTCAGACCTGAACTTTGGTGTACTTTATATTAAGGGTCAGGAAAATATCACCAGGGTTGTATTATGAGAGCTACTGTTTCCTCTCTTACAATATGTATCAGCTTATATCAATATCTTCTGTTGACCCGGATGGACGCGCACGTGTGCACTTGTTGTGGGAGCAAATTGTAGCATCATGACGTTATTTAGTGAGAGATTACTTAACTGTGAACTAGAAAACAAAATTTGTGCATTATCATAATCAACTCAGCTTCTCAGTACTCTGTATAAATGTTAATTGAAATCTACCAAAGATCACTAGAGTTATCGAGAAGTACCATGGCAACGAGAAAACGTCGATTTTGTTGGCGCTAATAACCATAGCATGCCGTTAAAAATGTAGTCCATACGCGCAATATTCATTAGAAAAATTATATAAAGCGCCTTTTTTAGATTACATATTTAGATAACAAAGTACATAAAACACCAAAGTCCAAGATATTTCATATCGAATTACATTCTATTCCCGGTCAAAGATCAGAGTACCTCCTTATAATGTGTAGATATATCATAACGAAATATCATTACGTCCAAAGGAGGCCATGTTAGAGGAACGTATTTATTGACCGTTGTCGTCAATACAAACATAGGTCATTAGAGTTATCTCCCCTGTGGCGTTCAGTATACATGGACTGTCGCTGAAATGCAATCTAATTCATTGATATTAGTTGGCAAAAACATTTAAGTGGATAGGTTTTACATAACAGATAAATGATGTTGTTAACTTGCACTGATGATAAATGCAATAATACTAAAAACAATTAACACATCCACCGATATACCACGTTTATGTCAAATTTACTAATGAAAACAGCATGAAAATACCAATAATAACCATTGTCCAAACTCAGAATCAATTAAACTAAAATAAGAAATAATAAGGTATTAACAAAAATAGAGAGATTTACACGGATACTGCCGAAAAATTACAAGGACAATTAGAGAAGGGTTGCAGAGGAGTAAGCGTCTTCTGCTTCATACGCAACACCGGCAAGAACAAGATATACAACGACGGCACCAATAGAAATGCTAACGAACATCAAACACGTCAAGCTACATGTCGCATAAAGAAATAGAATATTTCTCAATGAGATCACTTTGACAACCATAGAATTGTTTTTTTTTTCAATCTGCATCTATTGAGACCTTGTGTTACGAGTTTGTCCATAGCAATCACTTGCAAATTTACAACTGGTTCAAGTAATAACAAGTAATGACCGTATATTCTTGTGCAAGCGTAATCACCATGTGAAATATAGGTAAATACAAACATTGGGATTGCTTACCTTCATATGGATACTACACAACTCAAAAACGCTACAGTAAGCAAGTATTAAGTGCTTAGAAAATGAGAAACAAAATAAGTTTGAAATCCTTTTAATCGTTTCTTATTATAACCGTTTCTTGATGATACAAAGGAACAATTTTGATGACCTTGCCAAGCTATGAGATTCTCATAGGCTTATGTCGTCACTAAAATATAAAGCCCTAATAACTATGCGCTAAACAGGTATACAAAATGATTAATGTTAACTGAAAACTATATATTTAGCGTTTTTATTCCAGCCCTGCCTTTGCTGACCTTCGGCATGAAATATGTCAATTGCCGGCAGGCATCAATGACCGGTGGTTTCCTAGCTGGGGCTGCTTACATACTTGGAAGTCGTGCAGTTAACATTTACATGTTAATGGCAACGCACGGAATTCTTTACGGTTTGTATCTATACTGATATCGATAATGCTCTGTGTATTTAGCAATTATTCTTTATTATCTCATTTTTCGTAGAATGTCGAGTTCTCTATTGGCACATATCGAAAATATGTGTTATTTATTTTAAATCCTTTCACGTGGTTTTTTTCAACCGTGTATGTCCATGCGGGAAGGATACGAAATGTACCGCCTGTACTCTTGGCATGGTAACAAGAAACAACTACACTTGAACCATTCTTTCTTTTTATCGTTTGAATCGAAGGCATCACTTTTGACCTTAGGGTTGAGAATCTGCTCTAGCAAGGATTGCGATGGCCGCTGTCCCTGACAGAAACAGTTCTTCTTTTATTTTACACTTAGTACTAGTTAGCAGTACGACCTGTGTCAGTATTATGGAATGTAATTACCATCACCATAACACCCGCGTTTTCCTATTTTCAGGTGTAGCCCTGTCATGTATATTTCCGTCCAGTTCTTACCTAGTGGGACTTTACTTCAACCGTCGCCGTAGCTTGGCTAACGCTGTCGTCCTTGCGGGAGCAGCTCTCGGTGGGTTAGCTTTACCTCCCTTGTATCGTTTTCTCCTCGACACATATGGCTTACGAGGTGCTCTTCTAATCACAGGTGGTTTTCTACTTCATACTATGGTCAGTGCTATGTTAATGAGACCAACAAATTTCTACACATGCATAAAGCATGATGAAGGTATCAGTGACAACGAAATTGGACCAGATTTATCCGATGCCAATAAACAACATGAAACAGAGCAAGAAAAATTATTGTCAAGTATATCCCATGACACACTAAGATTGGGCCAAGCCAAACAGGACCCTACTTTACCTCAAGACAAAACTCTTGTGTGTAGTTTACCTCGTGAAGATAAACAAAAAAGCCTACAGGTCTCTAAAGCAGAAGTGTCATCGTTGCAGCTATCGCCCGTTTTTCATCACATAAAACTTAACTCCTTTCCTCATTCGAACGGATTTCTTTCATCTACAGAGAGTGTCATAGAACGTCTGTCACGTTCAGATATTATATTCTCAGCTAGCAAGGGAGACCTAGTGCACATGTCCGTACAAGATCTAGCCACTTCGAACACACAGCTCAGTTTTTACAAAAGCATCGACACCTTGAACTTGGCGGCTGACAACGAAAATGGGAAGTCAACAAATATTTTCGATGTTTCGGTTTTAAAAAGTGGCCTTATGCGCTTATTCTTAATTGTGTATATTCTAGGAGGCGCCTCTGCTGGGTATGTTCACGTCTTTATACCTCCATACGCAAGAGAGCACCAAATCAGCGACAATCATGTCGCGATGATAGTTTCCGCCACCAATGCCTGTGACTTTATTGGTCGTGTCCTCGGCGGAGTGATAGTAGATCGGCAAATTCTCAGATCTCACACAACGGTCGGGATCACACAATTGTTAGCTGGAGTAATCATCCTTATGTCCCCGATGTACGAACAATTTTGGTCGATGCTTCTGTTCGGTATATTGGATGGTCTCTTTGCCGGGAGTTTGTTCTCATTGGCCCCTGCTGTTGTAGTCGATTTCCTTGGTATGGAAAAATACAGAAGTGCAATGGGTATACTGCTAGTCGCCCAGGGAGTGTCGCTAGGGAGCTCTGCACCAATAGCTGGTAAGAGTGCAACATAATGTGTATGTATAAAAATATGACGATGCCAAATCAAACTTGTCTTTCATTTGTTAATGATATTAACTAATAACACGTTTGTCGTCTTCCACGACAATTTCATTAGTACATTAACAGCAGTATATTTACCTATAGGTGAATGTCTCGTTATTGTAAATTATGAACATTTTTGTAATTAGTTGGATGGCAACGACGTGACAATATTCAACATTTCTTATTTTATCATAAAAATTTTGGCATGTTAGGGTAGCATCCTTTCTCTGTCTGGTCTGCCCTTTCGTTACTCCACTCTTGCTCTTGTTGTTCCTCTTGACATTCGCCCCCATTTCTCTGGCTGTTGTAAGGACGCTAAACCCTGTAGATACAATTAAGCAAACAGATGACAAAACGATAATGTTGCATGCACGTGCTGTGCTGACGAACGAAATGGATATGTACAGGTCTGCTATCACCCTGTTGCCTTTCTGTTAGTATAAAAAAAATCATTATGGGTACCATGTGACCTGTTTCGTATTAAACTCTTCATGTCGTGATATAACTCTGCAAGGAATTATATGTTTATGGCTAGTTGACAGTGCTGAAAGTCGAAACGTGTTAACAAATACTTGGAAATTAGTTTAAGTATTCAAATACCTTTTCTACTTGATTTAAAATGATGTGTTTTGTCTCTTCAGGGTTACTTAGAGACTTCAGTGGAACATACACTACCTCATTTTACTACATCGCGTGTAGCGCTCTCGCAGGTGCTGGACTGATTCTTGTTGTTCCGGTCTTAATGCGCAAGTACAAGAGTAAATGGAGTTCACCTGCTTCCATCAGCAAGGAAGAAACTATTGTACGTATCTCAAAGCCAGTGAATTCTGAAAATGTTTAAGTACAACAACATGGAATATTAATTTCTATTTATACTAAATTGGTCAAATGTTATTCGAACAAGTGATGAGTGAGCGAATGAGATGGATTCCATATTTGTTGATAGCATAGCCCTTCTCAAAGAACGTATATTTACCACGGTTTGACTACCATGTTTTATGTCTAAAGTTCCTTGTATTCTTTTAAACCAAGCAGGACTCCATTAAGAAGCTTTATGTTCACTGATCTGTTACGATGACGGTATTTGTTTAAGACGATGCAATATATTAACAGATGAGGAATGAATGTAATTAAAACACCGTAAGATTGGAACGATGTCCATATGTCTTTGGCACAATCTGATCACTATGCCAAGAAATTTATCATGTTAGGAATGTTTTTCAAGAGAATTGTTATATCTGACGTCTGTCATAAATAGCTTATCTGATGTATATGCCCAAAGACAAAAACGATTTATCTCTGTTAATGATTAAGATACACACGTTACAATAATACCATACGTAATCTGAAGTATAGGATCAAACACATATGTGATATGTGTTGAAGGATATTCCACACTTCAAAATTATCTTCATCCTGCAGTAGATGTAGATTGTGGGAATGTCTGAATATTTTTATTCTTTGTGCGATATGAAGCTGAAAGTGTTTAGTGCTCGTTAATTTGCTTGTTAGTACCGTTGTTTTATAGCTTGTTCTTATTTGAAAATATGACATCACTTACTCGGATTGATCAATATTTACATGGCCGGTGTCGTCGATGAAGACGAAGACGTTTACTCTTCCAGAACATCTGGTCTTCTTCTTGTACTTTTTCCGCAGTCTCCATGTTTTTCTTTTGTTCATATTATGCACTAGTTTTACTAAGTTTGAATTAAGATAATGATTTTGTTGATATATTGGGTTTTTTTTCCTTTTTTGTACTAATGCCACGTCTCGCTAAGGTTTAGCATCAAGTACCTATGTTATATACATCAGTTTTATTAGTGCTGCCAATTAGTGTTGTTACAGCTGTTTGTGCTCCGTTTCCGTAATATTACAGGTGTTTGTTATGAAATCCTTGTACATATACAAATGTTTATCAATGCATGATTTTACTGCTTTTAGTCTTGTTAATGGAAAACGACAAGATGAGGTATACTTTCTGTGATAAATGATGTAAAGAAGGCTCATGTTTCAAATAGAATTATTATGAATTCCTAAATTATGCCATTGAACATGTTTTCAAGTCATGTTTATCACACTTAATTCAGGGATATAGCAATACCGGAAAAAAGAAATTTATTGTATATTTGTATATGTATACTGTGATAATTTCGTTTGTTTATATGTGTGCTATTGTATATTGAAGTGTCTTAGTGAATTACGGGAAAATACCAATTATATTGTACACAGTATATCTTTATTGTGTAAATAGTTTTATCTACTCAGACACTGTTCAACTTCAAAAGACTTATTCCCAACTGTTGAACTATTATTTGTTAAAGCAAAGCGAACAAAACTGTGTCAAGTATCTCGACGAATCCTTCATGTTTATCTTAGAAGTATTTCTGAAGGAATCGCTTACCATAACTTTTGTCTTTAATAATGCTATATTTTTGAAAATCAATTTATTTCCTGAACCACAATGGTGCTTTCCTCTGGAAAATAAGTTAAGTGCAACTGTGTTTGACGCTTGGTTCTTCTTTAAACATTCAAATTTCCCAGATGGCTGTCTGTTTTACGGCTCAAAATACAAGCTGAAGAGTATTTTTGACGATGCTGGATATCATTGCTTAAGCATCTGCTCCTAGCAGATCCTGAAAAAGGTATAATATGTAAATGTAAATTTTAGTTAAATGGTCTTACGCGACTGCTTTGAAAGTACTGTAACTGGTATTTTCATAGGTTCGGTTTTTCGTTTAGTGGCCTAGTCGGCAGTATGGCAGCTCCTGGTTTGCTGTGTATCTGTCTTTTAGGTTACAGATGTGTTCATTTTATTCATGATATAAAACGTTAGAAAAATGTACAAAAATAATTTGGTTTTCTTATAGATTTGTTAGAAATAAATGTCGGTACATATTTCTTACCTAGACATATACATCTGTTGAATTTGGTTATTTTACTTTTAATATTGATGAATGTTTGAACGTACTTAATGCTATTGATGTATGAGAGAGATCTGCCATTTTTAATTTAATACATATTGCATTCTTTTGATAGTGATGATCAAAATAGTGTCAAAATGTTCTTTACCAAAATGTTTTCTTCCTTTTGATTCCCAATTTTTATAAATTTTCCCAATTTTTTTTTTTTTTTTTTTTTTTTGAAGTTTTACTAAAGAATGTTAAGGAAGGTGACAATGTATTAGTTAATATGGCTTTGTCAACTTTACTAACAGATCTATACAGTGAAGTCTCTGATATTCGTAGTTTTTGTGTGTTTTAAATCAATATATCATCAATTTAGATTAAAATTATTTCACTATTGCGAAACAGGTTATCACAACTTAAAATAACCACGCTAGCTTGTCCAGAGTGAATCGCATTGGAGTCCTATTGTGAGAGAGGAAATTGGAGTACTGGAGAAAACCCGTGTGGTTGATCAGGGACTCCCATATCTTTTCATGATCGGACACAAAGTGAACGGCGAGTGCTTACCCACATCACCATCCGACCACTCTCACATATGCAGAATTGTTGCTACTTTCTTTGATATTAACGTTAGAGGCAGATTTTACCAGGTGTCACGTAAATAGCTGTACATTTGCAGTTGAAAAAACCCACACAATATCTGATTAGTACCTGTTTAACCCAACATCAAATAGTGGGCCAACAAAATTGCCATTCGTGAATCCGTCCGTCCTTACACAATTTCTAGCTATCGCCAATTTTGGAATATCATTAGGCGGATCATTCTGAAATTCCATATGAAGGTTTGCCTTGATCTCTAGTTGTGCAAAGTCTTTGAGGGTGATCGGGAAAACAAAATGACCGACAGACGACCATCTTTGATTTTGACAATGAAAGACACTTATCGCAGATTTTTGAGAAACACAGGATTGATTTTTCGAAAGTTTTTAAATTTCAAATGACTATTATTGTAACGTTCCGAAAGCGTCTCCTTAGTGTAGGACGTCACTGATGATACTGCATTTATTTGTGGATGAATAAATAGAATCTGTGGTGTAGGCTTATTCTCTATTTAAACAGTTGAAAGGATATTTATGTATGTATATGTTATGTCTGGTGAAAATAAACATTTTGGTAAAAAGAAACCTTGCAGCGTGTGTGTTTTCTTAACGATAAAAGCGTGTTTATTATTTCTTAATAGTTAAAAGGTATCAAAGGCAAAGTGTTACGTTATAATCACAAGATGACTGATAAATGTATAGGACCACCTGCAATGATATACATGAATATAAAGACTAAGACTTATAAAAGAGACAATAGTATTCTTACTTAATAATTACCCATAAATCTATGTTGCCGAAAGTGATGATGTGTTGAGATCGGGATCGCAATGTTGATTGAATAATACAGCGATTGAGAAACTGATTTGACGGGAATGAAACCTGTAGCGCCTGAAACCGTTAATACTGATAAGCACCTTAAAGATACTAAGGTATGAAAGTGAGTTTACTACTTTCGGATGAGCATGGGAGCTATCGTGTCTCTCTAGTGGTCGACATTAGGGTAATTTTCCCCGCTCATTTGTAAGAAGAATATGGCTTTGATGTAGAGAATATCTTAATAGAAAGTGTAATATCAAAACAAGAAATTAGATATAATGATAACAAAACCAAACAAACAAGAAATCAAAACGGAATTCTTTTTACTGAGGGAATATACATACATCATCGTTATATTGGTTGAATGTGGACATTTCCTTGTAACATGTTAGCCCATATCTAATATTTTCATTTCTCTCTAGATCAGTAAAGCCCTCAAGACAATGTTTCTCCGGCGTTAATATTTATCTTCATACATATCAAACCCAAGTGCTAGTATACCTACCTATCAAACACAACTGATAGTATACCTACCTATCAAACACAACTGTCAGTATACCTACCTATCAAACACATCTGCCAGTATATCTACCTATCAAACACAACTGTCAGTATACCTACCTATCAAACACATCTGCCAGTATACTTACCTATCAAACACAACTGCCAGTATACTTACCTATCAAACACAACTGTCAGTATACCTACCTATCAAACACAACTGCCAGTATACCTACCTATCAAACACAACTGCCAGTATACCTACCTATCAAACACAACTGCCAGTATACCTACCTATCAAACACAACTGTCAGTATACCTACCTATCAAACACAATATCTAGTATACCTACCTATCAAACACAACTGCCAGTATATCTACCTATCAAACACAATATCTAGTATACCTACCTATCAAACACAACTGTCAGTATACCTACCTATCAAACACATCTGTCAGTATACCTACCTATCAAACACAACTGTCAGTATACCTACCTATCAAACACAACTGTCAGTATACCTACCTATCAAACACATCTGCCAGTATACCTACCTATCAAACACAATATCTAGTATACCTACCTATCAAACACAACTGTCAGTATACCTACCTATCAAACACATCTGTCAGTATACCTACCTATCAAACACAACTGTCAGTATACCTACCTATCAAACACATCTGCCAGTATACCTACCTATCAAACACAACTGCCAGTATACTTACCTATCAAACACAACTGTCAGTATACCTACCTATCAAACACAACTGCCAGTATACCTACCTATCAAACACAATTTCTAGTATACCTACCTATCAAACACAACTGCCAGTATACCTACCTATCAAACACATCTGCCAGTATACCTACCTATCAAACACAATATCTAGTATACCTACCTATCAAACACAACTGCCAGTATATCTACCTATCAAACACAATTTCTAGTATACCTACCTATCAAACACAGCTGTCAGTATACCTACATATCAAACACAACTGCCAGTATACCTACCTATCAAACACAACTGCCAGTATACTTACCTATCAAACACAACTGCCAGTATACCTACCAATCGTACCTAGCTCTCATTATACCTACCTGTTACCGTCTTGAACCAAAGATATGATATATAATTATTATAATATACCTGCGTTTTGATAATACTATGTACGAGACCTTTGTTATTACAGTTTATGAATTTATTGACGTCTGTGTTGTAAACAAAGGCAGACACACTTGAAGGTCTGTCGATCGCACTTCCGGCTGCAAGCGTGCCGCTCGCTGATAAAATTCGCCTGCACCTCGTCTGACAGCTTTCTTGTTATGTAACGTAGTATACACCCTTGACTGTCTGTTTCTTGGAAAGCTATGTACGTGGTGTTGTAGTGAGGCATATCAAAATTTACCAACCAAGTTTAGAAGAATTAATATGACAGATCAGAAATGGAATGATGAAGTCTGAATGTTTTGTTATGTTTAATCAATGGCTTTGCAGTAGTCGTTTAATAACAGTCTTTGCGGTAAATGCCTTTTAGCTACTCCAGACCATTTGATTCTTAGAACGCTATTAATGGTTAATACAAGCGGAACTTGCTATGGGGAAAAGCTATGCCCAATAAGAGGACTGAAAGGATATCATTATTCCAAATGTTGACCGAATTCTGTAATGTATACACAGAATGAACCGTATCTTAACCATGTATGTACTTAAATGTCCCTAGACTGATCACAACATGGTAGACATAGAGTCTAGATGTACACATTTTTTCACTTGATGTTCGTCAGAGGAAGGATTGCACTTCACAAATCACAAGAGGCCAATGTCCGGCCATCACATCAGTTGTGTAGGTCAGTTTAGAATTTAGAATTAGAAACAGCCCAACCATGAAATAAACTGTACCTTGTAGCTGTGTTGACCTTCTAGCACTCGTCATGGAAGGAAAGGCTCTAAATTTTGAAACCTATGAGGCGACTAAGAAAAAGTTAAAATCTAGTTGAGGAGGTGCACAAATGATTTTCGTAATATCACGTGTAAGATAATTTTAGAAAAGCGTCAAGTACATACAAAGTAAATATAAAAATTATATATGCTTAAGATTATTCAGTTTAAACATTTTGAGGAAATCATTAAAGCATTTTGCATAATGGCCAATCAGTTAATTGGGTGGATTTCAACGTCACTTGTATAACCATATATCGCAGCTATTGTCAATTAAGGAAGGCTAATGTTCCACCAAATACTGAAGTCCTTAAACGGTCATTCATACTCTCTGTTTGTTGCTAAACATTACATGGTGTGCTTAGAACGGATTAGCGTGTTATCTGTGTAGTGTGTCTTGATAGTGTGTCACGGTACCTTATTCATATCATGATATTTCAGTTTAGGTACGAAACAGCTGTATGTTGCAGTTAGATTCATTATTTGGTTATCCTAGGTCTAATTCTAAATTTGTGTTGAAAGGTGTCATTCACTTGTGTGAATATTTTACAGTTTACTTATTTTTAAGAATGAACTTAGATAAATTAGTGTAGATAAATTACAATTCGAGATGTTATTTTTTCACTGAATATTATAAGAGGTCTCTCATTAAACTTGAAATAACATTTAGTCAATTTTTTGGACATGGAGTTTACATGTCGCAGGTGATTCGATATTCAAAGGCTAGCTCCCATTATCACGCTTTTCGTGTAAGAAGTTGTGAAGTGACGGACCAACTGACAGATGCTGCTTTATGAAAATTATGGCAAAGTTGTACGGTCGTCACATTGATCTCATTGAGATTATTTTTTATTGTTCAATTTGAAGCTGAACGTGTTTTATATCCGTTATTCTGCACGTTGGTTCCGTTGTTTTATATCTTGTTCTCATTCAAAAAGTTGAAATTATTTACGTGGGTTGACCAAGGTTTACATGGCGGGTACCGCTGGTGAAGCAGAAGTCGGTCATTCTTCTGGAACGCATAGCCTTATTATTCTTGTATTCTTTCATAAGTCTCCGTGTAGATATACCTTTGGTTCAAATTTACTCTTATTTTATTGAATTTAAAATTGGATTATGATTGAGTTGATATTTACTTGTTTGATTTAAACAATACAATGATACTGAAAAAGCAAAAGCAAATACGGTCAGGCAACCCAGCGGTTTGTAATGAACTGAAGACACACACACAAAGCAAACATGTGTGAATCCTACTAATGTTGAATTCTTAAAAAACAAAACACATTTAATTTAAACTTACGAGCATTTCATATCATAAAAGGATTTGTCATCGTGTCATCGTGTTATCCCGTCAACTTGTCAAGGAAAGCATGATATGGGAAATATGATTTAGAAAATGACATAATCTTGTTCTTCTTGTATGTGAGGAACATTCGCTCAATTTGCAAATTCAGAAATAATGATATTTCCTAATAAGGATAGTGTATAAACGGTGAGTCTGGCTTCCCCCTGTACGCAGAAGGCTGCGACCCACTCGAGAAATTGAGGATCGAGGCCCATTAGGGGAAATAGAGGAAAACAATACTTTAAATCACTCACCGTTTTATACCCTGATTGGTCGGTAATCAACACGATTTTCTAACACACAAGGTTGTGACTAATTCGAGTCGTTTTCTTGTTTCAGAAACATACTGTTCACTTGTGGTGACAATCATTCAAAGGATGACAAAGCTCATTGATTGGGACGAAGTCATCGTATTGGCTGTCACTGATGGCGCCAATGTCTATCAGTAAACTTTATAACATGAACAAGGACGTCAGGAAACTTAAAATTTCGCCGGAGGCCCACAAATAGTCACACTTTAGTGTGGTATACAGAAAAAACAACTTAATAAAATGAATGTATTTTGACAGAATAAAAGTCTATTCTCATTTTTCAGTTGACTTTGAATTTTTTCATTTATGCTACGAAGATTAAACTTTGAAATAGTAAATATATATGTGTGATGTTTTTATTAATATAATGACGGGTCATGTTCTCAAAACGGAAATCGACTAATAATCAACCAAGGCATACAGAAATTAGCATCTAGCAAATGGAGCTTAAGAAGAACAAGAAAATAACAACATGTCAACACAATTATAATCCAACTCAAATTCAATAAAATTTGGGCAAAATATGAACAATAGAAACAAGGAGGATAACAAGAGGTGTTTAGGAAGTGAAAGCGTGTTCTGCTTCTGTTTCATCGACGACACCTACCATGTTAATCTAGGTTAATCCAAGTGAGTAATGTCACGTTCTAAAACGAGAACAAGGTAAATACCAACGGAGTTACCAAGAAAACTAACGAGCAAAAGGGAATAAATATTATTCTTAAGGGAGAAGCATTACAACCACAAAATTACTTTGGTTCATATCAACTTTCCGCTAACGAACCCTGTCTTGAAAGTAGCTTTCAATCAGAAGCTAGTACCTATCATAATTATCAATGTATTAAAAATATCCCCTCGAATAGTCAATTGCAACGTACAAATGCCCTATTTCGGAAAAGTAAAGAACTTCACATCACATTTTTAAAATCATTATTGTCCTCCTACGCCTTTACATGCGATAGTCCTGTTTGTTGCGTTGTACGCCTTCTAAGTAAAAAATCGCGAAAACAATTTATTTAAAGTGAAGCCCTTAAAAACATTCCATAACATTAGCTCGTGTTTGGAGGTCCACGATAAGTTAACATACGCAACTACCAAGATAAAGTTTTTTTAGCATCTAGTCATTTCAAAAGGGTAACAAAAGTGCGTTAGGAAACAAATCCAGCAAAAGTGAAGAGGTTTAGATATTTCTGAAAAGAAGCGAAAAGAACAAACAAACAAAAAATAAATATAATGATGCCGGTTTAGAATTAAAACAAGAATGTTCGGGTGCTGACAATGGATCACAATCTCCTTCTGGCCGACCTATGTTTGATATGACCTTTCCATCGAGCGTGTGAAATATTTTCACATACCGTAATATATTAGGCATGGTCTTGTAGTGTCGGTAACGTTCGTTAGCAGGCGATGTGTCACGCATGACAGGAACACGGATACTTATCACAGTCATTACAGATAACCACCTTGCGAGTATTCTGGTAGGTCTTTAAAATGAGGTCGGAAGGTGTGGCTAGGATTGTTCGCAGAATAACACAACGAATATAAGGACTAAACCTTTCAGGATTATTGACTAGAATTGATGTATGTAAAACGTAAAATAGAGGATGTTCTGTCGTTGTTGCAAACTTTGTGTGCTTGGAAATTGATGGTGTGATGCATTAATTGTTTTGTGAAATCGAAGGTATGAGATTCGTTGAAAGGATGGCGATCGATGCGGACCCTAGGTCGTACGCTAACTTAGTGGCATAGTTCTGAAGTGACACATTAACACAATAATCCACCAAGTAACATTATACTGACAACAGGCTGGCCAATATTTATCCCTCATTTAAAGTTGAACGATAAAGACTTTGGTTGGTATCGGTCTGGGGACATAACCAAAAACCTACAGACGTTCATAACCGCAAAACAATGATGCATTGCCAAATGAGGCGTCAGGAACCAAGACATTGTGTAGGAAGAAGAGATGAAAACATATCAATTACAGATATATACAGGTCTATCAGAGGCAGCAGCTAATGTCATCCCTTGGTAAACTTTCTATGTAAATCCCAGTCAGTAACAGACGTTGTGAAAGTGCTTATCAAACAATGGCAAAAATATACAAAAGCTTATTTAAAGCGCTGCTTTTACACTCCATGTGACAACAGGCTGATTTTCAAGAAGTTGCATAGAATTCACCATCCAGTTTTAAGGTGAAAACGCTACAGGATTCAGATATTTTAATTTACAAGCATTAGATGATTTTAAAAACAGTAATCAAATTATAACCTCTGTCAGGTACTTTGTTGATGTGAACTAAGTGAACAAAGTAGGTAACGTGTAATGACAAAACTCTCTATGTTAACAGAGTGAGTCGATCTCAATTATAGGGTCATCAGTATCACTGTAAGTGGCTTACAACGTCAATAATGGGGACAGTCTTTATTAGTTTGTCAATATATATGTCGTTTGTTCCTGAATATCATTATTCTTGTATTTTAATTGCATTATATCGTTCTTCCACTTCTGGTTATATAAGGCACACCTAACGCCTAAGTGGGATTGATTAAATCTAAAACTATTACATTTAACAGATTCCATCAATCTCACATTGGTGCACTGATTGACCTTTACTATTATGACGTCACAATGATATGACTACCTTATGAGTAATACGACATTTCATTTTGAAGCTAGTCAAACCGTTGCTTGTCTACTATTGATGATCTTGCCGCTTGCAAATGACTACATCTCGCGAATAAAAGAAATCCTTACACAAGAAACAACAAGAAAAAGCCAATATATCAACGTAACCGTAATTCAAACACAAATGCAATAAAACAACTAGGGCAAAATATAAACAAAAGAAATATTTGCATGGAGACTCCTGACGATGCACAAGAAAAATAAAACTGTTCCGGAAGAGTAAACGTCTTCTGCTTCATCGACGACACCCGCCATGTAAACCTAGGTCAACCCAACTAAGTAATGTTACATTCTAAAATGAGAACAAGGTATACAACAACGGAACCAACAGGCAAACTAACGAGCATCAAATACGCCCAGTTTCATAGCGTACGTACAAAGAAATAGAATATCTCTCAATGAGATCACTAAGATGACTATAAACCTCACCCATAATTTTCATCAATCTGCATCTTCTGAAACCCTTTGCTACGAGTCTGTCGGCAGTGACCGACTTCTCGTACGGAAATCGAGAAAATGGGGTGACAGGCCCTTGAATGTCGAATGTAGAAAAGTCTGCAATGTCCTTGTGTTCCTATTTCGGTGCAGATATACGATGGACATGGTAAAAAAAATCTCTTGCTATTTAAAGACAAGACGTCATCTGTGCATGTGAAATTAAACGTCTTTGCAAGATCTTTATAACATGATTTGATATGGTCTTCGATAAATTTAGCCTCGTATGAAAACAGGTCGGCCAACAGAGGGGCATACTAAGTTTCCATAGTTGTGCCAAAACTGTGTTTGAAGATCTTACCAATATGTATAATTTTATCTTATATTTCTTTTTTGATTTGGACGTTTCAGTATATTTCATCATACAGAGTGGAAAAAATCAAATGTCAGATAGAAGAAATGTTTTTAGAGTATTGAAAAATGGTCAAAAGCTCTTTAGAGCACATTAAAAACAGCATACAATAAATCAGTAATCAGTATCCTAATAGGACTGAACTTAGGGAATCCAATAAAAATGGGGAAGGTCCGTATCCTTATCATCATTAGGTAATTTAAATGATTGCAATAATAAAGCTTGATTAGCCAGTATGTCTTCTTTGAAAAGACTGCATGATGTAGTGGAATTTCCTTCTAGCTATATGCAGTAAATGTTATCAAGTTTGTAAACTAGGATCAAGTTGTTGGACGCCTTATTTGCAGGCAAAATAACATACCTGTCATGTAAATCTTGAAGTATGGTTTTAACATCAGTATCGAGGAATGCTGACCAGTGTTTTGTATTAATTCACATTTCAAGCTGCTACAATGTAATTATTTTATGACTGATGAATCCAATGGATTTAAGCCAGCCTGGAAGTTAATCCAACGCAATATCTTCTCGTTTCACCCATTCTCTGACATATCTTTTATATAAAAATTGAAAAGAAACTTTCTTTCTTTTTCAAACACTAGTCGCCGTTTAACTAATTTTCCATATATGTAAGTGGTTTTACATTAGAACATTTTGAAATATAACCCACCATGGCTGTTATTTCCTCAAAACCAGGAATAATTAATTTCTACCGAAACCAGTCATGACCATTATAATTAAAATGATAAATAAGTATAAAAAAAAACCATTCAAAGTGTCGATAACACTTTTATTGGTATACCATCTATGAAAAAACAAAGATTATATTTGCCTAGACAGTGTATTACTTCGCTTTATCCCCTATATATAGTAAAAGCCGTAATGTTAAATTGCAGTGAGACATAAATGCTGACATTCTTCACATAAAATCATGTGTTATTGCTTTATAACTAGTTGTAAATCTATTTCTTAAATTCCACATCTCCTAATCAAAGCCTTGGACAGGAAATGCATGCTTTATTTTCGTGTCTGCGACTACCTACAACAGCTTGGAAGAGATTTGATAACGAAGCGATAATTCAATGAAATATCATTACAAGTTTGGGATATAATGTAACACCAGAGTATGTAGCGGTCATATATGTCAATATAAAGATTATACTTTCTGTTTTCTTAATATAAAACAGGATAATTTAATAATGTGATAAACAGCCGTACTATAAAAGGTAACATCTTGATATATTTACAAATTTAGAGATAAGCAAATATTGCCAAATACAAACACTGCATAACGTCAACAAATATTGAGGCACAAGCGTATGCAGTGTACACCGACTGCTATTAGATGAACCTGTTCGCTGTTTACGGTTGTTTTCTTGTGTTTTCATGTGCTCTGTTCCTATGTTAGGTGAGTCAAAATGGGCCCTAGACAAACTACTTAAACCCATTGAACCTGTTAAGGATCGTTCCTGTAAGATACAAACATGACATCATCACCAAAGCGAATCTATAGTTTTGAAGATAACGTGTGTTTGGATAACTTGTTTCACGAAAATGAATAAACAAAATCACATTTGATGAATTAATACCTTTACAAAATCACTTAAACCATCCCTTTTGTACTTTATAGATAAAAGTGAAATAGGCCAATCAAAACATGAAAGTACTAGAGACAGTTAATTGTTGTCTCTGTTGATATCACTCCCTTTCTATTTCATACAAAAACAATCGTGCTTATGTTTAAACCGACACTGCTGGTGAACAGTTCTCAGTACACGAACGAATTAACAGTGTATATATAAGGATATTAGGAGTGTTTGACCACTAGATTCCCCTAAAGTGCCTCTTCCTGCCAGATGATGATGCTGCTCAGTCACCGACTGGATGTCTATATAAACGAAAGAAAAAGTTCACTGTAAAATTATACCTTACATAAAAGAAACACAAGGTACAGAGTACTTTGTATATTAGTAGCAAGAGAGAAGAATATCATCATTAAGTGGACTTACACGAACTGGTCACCATGACAGTTTGCTTCCGGACAATACTTTTCACGGTAATATATAGTTTGTGAAAAATATTATTGTCGTGTAAATAATCTAAATACATCTCTTGATTAAATGTTTTTGTATATAATGGTGTGATATTGCTGTATAGAAAAGTGATGTAAATAGTATAGAATTTTGATAATATCATTTTAATAACATAATTTTATCCTATAAAAGTGAAATTGATTTTAACTAATGACGCTAAACTTTAAAATATTCAGTGTGAATTTAATTTGATCACAACGTTTCTGTGCTCTTTACCAACCATTTATTACGACAATTGTCCTGATCAGACATATAGCTGACATATTTTCTGCTTCTGGGGTCCAGTTTACCAAGACCAGAAAGTAGTCGACAACAATATGTTGCCATCTGTTATTGTTGTTTCAAAGTAGTTAACGTATATGATATTCATATTATGTCACTAAACACACACACTTCCTGTCGATCTTATCGGAATTAATACTGATTGCGATAGGGGTAATACTAGCTAACTAAATAATATACATTATTAAGGAAAGATTGTGGTTCCAATAGCACTGCTATAGAGATAGAAGTGCGTCTCGCTGCATCTGTGCTGCATCACTACAAAGTAAGACCTGTATACTCTACCGCCCTTCAGTGATTGTTTATCTAACTAATGAAAAGTTTACTAATTAAATTAGAGTTTGTGTCAAAATGTCAAACAGCACGTGGCAGTTGATGACAAATATGAAACATGTTGGTATGGGGTGTCATTGTTTTAAAAAGTTTAAAATAATTTCTAAACAAAACAATAGTCAATACCAATAACAAGTTCATAAAATTCGTTCATTTGATATTTGTTCCATCTGCTTGAAATGTCTGTTTGAAATTTTACTTTGAAGTTGTGTCAGAATTTTGATGTTTGTTGTTTATTACCACGATTTTAGATCCAGAAACCATATCAAGCAGACTATTATTGGGTCTTTGGAATGCCTGATAATGGCACGCATCATTAGCTTCTATATGTATATACATAATGTAGCATCACATTATTGTCTATATGTAACTACCATCTTATGAAGAAATACATATTGTATATATATATATTAATATCTATCAATCCCCAATTAATGTAACTAAAATACATATCATGAATACCTATTATGTTTAATTTTTAGCTTTGTACAAATGCAGTGATTTCGTCTTTTAAAGACTCGTCAGGGGATTTAAATTAAAATTTTGAAACCATGTTGCAATTGCACATAGCAAGCAGTTAGCTGTGTAGGCGGAAACTTGCTCAGTATTGCCTCTCAGCGTATTAGGGTGAAAACCACGATTTACGTACTCTAAAGTGTCGTATACTTATATCGTTAATAAATCAGTTATATAAAGTATTGTTCTTCCGGAAAAGTCATAAATGTTTACCGCTTTATACACTAATTTATTTATTTGTTTGTACTTAGGATTTGCATAATTGGTGTCATTTGTGACGAATTGGTTGGTAACGATTTGATTGGATCTTTGTAGTTCGTTGTCAATTGTGACGAATTGGTTGGTAACGATTTGATTGGATCTTTGTAGTAAGTTGTCTAGTGTGACGAATTGGTTGGTAGCGATTTGATTGGATCTTTGTAGTCCGTTGTCTGGTGTGACGAATTGGTAACGATTTGATTGGATCTTTGTAGTAAGTTGTCTAGTGTGACGAATTGGTAACGATTTGATTGGATCTTTGTAGTTCGTTGTCTGATGTGACGAATTGGTTGGTAACGATTTGATTGGATCTTTGTAGTAAGTTGTCTAGTGTGACGAATTGGTTGGTAACGATTTGATTGGATCTTTGTAGTCCGTTGTCTGGTGTGACGAATTGGTTGGTAACGATTTGATTGGATCTTTGTAGTCCGTTGTCTGGTGTGACGAATTGGTTGGTAACGATTTGATTGGATCTTTGTAGTCCGTTGTCTGATGTGACGAATTGGTTGGTAACGATTTGATTGGATCTTTGTAGTTCGTTGTCTGGTGTGACGAATTGGTTGGTAACGATTTGATTGGATCTTTGTAGTAAGTTGTCTAGTGTGACGAATTGGTTGGTAGCGATTCGATTGGATCTTTGTAGTTCGTTGTCTGGTGTGACGAATTGGTAACGATTTGATTGGATCTTTATAATAAGTTGTCTAGTGTGACGAATTGGTAACGATTTGATTGGATCTTTGTAGTTCGTTGTCTGATGTGACGAATTGGTAACGATTTGATTGGATCTTTATAATAAGTTGTCTAGTGTGACGAATTGGTAACGATTTGATTGGATCTTTGTAGTTCGTTGTCTGATGTGACGAATTGGTTGGTAACGATTTGATTGGATCTTTGTAATAAGTTGTCTAGTGTGACGAATTGGTTGGTAACGATTTGACTGGATCTTTGTAATAAGTTGTCTAGTGTGACGAATTGGTTGGTAACGATTTGACTGGATCTTTGTTGTAAGTTGTCTGGTGTGACGAATTGGTTGGTAACGATTTGATTAGATTTCTATAGTTGGTTGGCTTGTTTGACGAATAGGGTAGTAACGATTTGATTCGATATTGATAGTTGTTTGGCTGGTATAACACCTTGGTCGGTACTTGATGTTTAATAAGTGAACGTCTGTTATCACAGGAGATTGGTGTAGTCAAAGTCAGTCCACGATACAGGGTGTGGTAGGAAGGGACTTTCACAAGTCATTATATTGTTTTGTTCAGTGTCAATGGAAACGTTAGGTCTAATTTTAATTTGAATATGTACATTTTTGTACAATTCACTAAAATCCCTGTTTATTATTTCCGAAACTTCTAGTCAAATAGTGTCAGTGCAATGATCACTATATTAGTAGATCAGTCTTTAAACGCATGTGTACCCACACATCCTCGCCCTGGCATATAGATAAAACAATTGAGAATTAAAGAAGTTAATTACCGTAACCGAATTAAGGAATATTACGTATTGCCAAATCTCCTGTATACTACCAAGTTACAGATGTGCCAATATTATCTGCTAAAAGTGCGTTCCAACAATACAACAGCTTGTGTGTGTGCGGGTTTTTTTTTTTTTTTTTACTGTTTCTGCAGTTTTTTTGTATAAACAAGACAAAAAGGCTGATTTAGCACGTTTTATCAAGCATATGACGGTGTAAGGTAGCATTGAACATCTCCAGGTTAATTATCTTTGATCTAGAAAGGCTCGGTCGCAGCGACGCACTTGGCGTGTCTTTTTATTCACTTCTTATCGTATGACTCAGTTCCAATTTAAACTTCGTTAAAATGTGATTAGATGTTAAACAGTATGTTCCTGTTAGAATATAAGGGTCATGTAGTCTAATCTAACATAGATTAGAAACATATATGTCTTTATACATAAAAAATAAACTTAATATGTCTATATATAAAAGAAAGTATGTATGCTATATATATATTGTTCTTTCTCTCTCTTTTCAGGTATGGTGTGCCATAGTCTGTGTTTATGGTCAGCGGGACAGAAAACCATTCACAGATTTGACCCTTGACCAGATTATATCAAAGACTATGGGCGATAATGAAAGTACGTATAGTCTCCCAATAACGACACGAACTTTTGCCAGCGAAACTATTAATGAAATAACATTTCTTCTCGAGGATGGCAATGTCCTCATGTGATAAGTCATATATAGAAAATAAAACCAGCGGAACGTTGGCATAAACTGGAGTCCAATTAGAAGATTGGAAGGAATTTCAAATCTGAATCAATTCCGCTTCTGTGGGGTTATGTTGGTTATTTTTGGTTCTACCCTGTGGTTGTAATGTAAAATAAACAAAATTATGATATCAATATAATCATAATCCAAACTTAAATACTATTTTCTAGCAATAAAGTATCTGCCTGAAGGTTCAATTCAAACGAGATATTTTTCTCAACTTAATTATAAAATAAGAAAAATAATGATAAAGTGGTGAAAATTATGGTTATTATTTTAATAACCATCTCATGAGATTTTGCACATTAAGCAATAAATCAGAGGTAGGTTATAATAAAGATGACACCTGTTAGGTTAAACCCATCCATATCCTTTATATCTGTATCTTATATTTCTTGGCACCTGTTTTTCTTTAAAGTTCTTTAGTTCAGTAAGGTACATTACAACTATACCACTTACATGAATGCCGCCAAGATCTGCTACAGGCAGAGGGGCCATGTGATCCGTCTGGATAGCGTGGAGGTGTGGTAATTAACCTATATATGTGGTTAGTGATAGCATAGATACTGAAACAACACCTGAACAAAAACTTTCATACAGTATACAGAATGAAAACGCTTAAATTTCGTTTCCGTAAGATAATTTTTGGTTATCAATTTAATATGCTAGATCGGATCATTATCAAATATGTAAAAAGATATACCAACGAAATAACGTAAGATTACACAACATTAAAATATAGGTTTTCCTGAAAGAATAAATTGAAACTGCCTGTTTCATTATATATATTGATGTAAAAGTGAAAAAAATCGATTAAAAAATAATTAACCTTATTAAATCGCTGGATGCGTTTCAGATTATGTAAATTCATGCAGATTTTTATTCACGTTCATTTCGCGCACACTTTTAATTCACGAGAGTTCAAAATTGACATGGATGATTGGTGATAGTGGGTGTCGTACGTAATATCTCATTAGGTACATACAATTAAGAATATTATAGTATTACGGGGCTAGTGCTTCTCCCTGTATAGATTTCGACATTTCTGTTAACACTTTTGATTTTTCTCAGACAGTGTTGAAATGTGCTGTCAACTTGTGTTTTTTTTAACACTCAAAAATCACAGTCATATGACACGAAATAACATTTAAAAGAACAAATAAAAAAAAAAGAAAAATTTGAGATTTCATTGCCATGAATAATTAAATATTTATTTATTGAATGCACGTACACATTCCAATATCCGCTGTACAGTGATATACATATATATCATATAATATTGATGTATCCTTGTACAAAGGGATTTGGTGTGTACGTTCAGGCAATGTACTGTGGAAGTAGGTTATTGAGTAAACCCGCGCCGAGGTATCGCCGATCATATTAGTCATGTGCAATGTTTGTTTACATCTTACGTCTATTGTGAAACTTTAACACTGAGAAATTGGGAACCTGATATCACATTAATCATAACGGAAATATGTAGAGTTTTCGGAGTGCCGAAAGAGGTGTGCATGCTAACTATTAGAATCAATGTTTAAGTGTGTAAGCACAGTCAGCTTTAAGTTTTAGAAGCTAAACATACAAACATACAATGTTCAAATAATAGCCACGAAAAAAATGTTCTTTGTTTGAGAAAACATAATTTTTGTAAATACTTAGAAAACATATTTTACTTCTTTGGTAGACTTAAGATTTGAAATAAAGAAATAAATAGTTCAGTAAGGTGACGGGGTTCTAAACGAGGGGGACCAGATGTTTTTGCTGACACGTATATTCTGAAATAAAATCCACATCTTGAAATGAATATCGTAGGTTTCTTTTGAACTAAAATCAACCCATAAGTATCAAATTATCAATTTCTTCGGATGAAACAATGTAGGGCGTTGAAAGAGTTCCTACTGAGCAATGCACTACACATGCATGTGGAATATCTCTTTGTCATGTAATTTCCAATGTGTTAGCCGCAGTATGGTTTGGAGAGAATTAGTCTCGCATTTGATTCAATGCCCCCTCTGATTTTCCTTGCACCTTTTTGTACTTACCTAGGTACCGTACACATGGTCCTATTAATCAAATTAGAGATCATTGATAAAAGTTCTGGGGTAAAAAAGAATATATGAATTTTTGAAATTTCCTAAAATTCTAAATTCTATGATTTTGGAGATTTAACCCAAAAGTTAGAAAAAATAACATCTATAATAATTTTGAATGTTATTTGTTTTATTTCACACTTAAACGTAACTGATGTTATGAATGTAAATTCCGTATAAGACCAATACATTTATAAAAGCTACGATAATCTTATATTTTGTCTAAATGATTGTGTGTTCGATTCCTGTACTAAATTAAGATAAGGTCATGCGCATTGGACTTTTCTTTTTGCCTAGATATACATTGTTCTCAAATGGAACCAGGAACTGACGGAACCAACTTCAGACCTGATCAGACTTTTTTTAATCCCCTATCAAATTGTAAAAAAAAATCTGTGTATGTATTACAAAGATAGAGATGGTACTCAACAGAAGTCGTTTCCACTTAATTACGCATCCATCAGGTGGCAGTTTAATCTTACTTTCGTTATGCCTTATATTTACCTTTGCTTTCTCCAGTGATAGCCAGTCTAGTACAGGTCCCAGACGGTAAACGACTCGCAGAATTGGACATGATGTTAACTCCAGAGCAGTTTGAAGCCTTTTATCCAGATCAATCAGCGAAAAGGTACATAATCATGTTGTGTACTATGTGGTTTGTTAAATAATTTCTCATAAATCTTTCTAAATTTGAGTCAGTATTTTAAGCTTGTTTTACTTGACAAGGATAGTTTTTTCTTTAAGTTGTCTATCTCGGAATTCGCATGAACATTTGTTTAATAATTCGTAATTCTATTGAAAACCGAAAGGACGTACGTACATCAATGTTTCGGAAGTTTGGAAGCTCAATATAGTCTGACATTGTGATAGAATAGGAAACAGTTATTCATATTCTAAAGTGTAGACGAACATTAGGATGTCTTAGATGAAGAAATTATTTTATACTTCCTTAATATGAAAATGTGACATGATACTCTTAATCATTACCATGACGGATAATCAATAAAGCTGCTGTCTCAATATGGCCTCTCTTTCTTATATGATATCAGACGTATTCGATAATGTCTCAAAAAATATATATATATATATATTACGGCGCAACAGACTGCATTATCGTTTATAATATATATTACCACCATGCAACACCGTTCTTGATGGCATTGGGCAGAGATAAGGTGGGTATAAAATATCTGTTTTATCTTTGTAAATAAGCACCTGACGAAGTGAGTGTTCAAAACATTATTTTATACCGTATTGTAATGCAAATACATGTTATTAAATAATTTACGTTGTTATAGGAAGAAGAGGAAAGCTGTCAGAAACACTATTTACCGGTGGCCTGAGGGTGTCATGCCATATGCATTCAGAGAGGGGGCATTCAGTAAGATCATTTTTTATTTTATATCTAACATTGAGTTCGATAGTCTTGTTTGTTATGTCTGTTTGTTTGTGATTTCTGTATATTAATATACATGCGATCGACATAAATTTTTGCTTTTGGTATCAGTAGTGTTTCAGCGGATAACGAATAAATCATAGGTAACATCAAAATTGATACAGGTTTTAAAATTTTCAAATAGACTCAAATTTGAACCGCAGCATTGAGTATGTAGTTGTTTAATTGTAAAACCAATAGGTTATCATGGGACTGGTGAACTATTTTAAAACGGGTTATTGAATGTTTACAAAATTGACGCTGAATCGTTGGCCCCAGCTAATAATTGAAACCAGTTGAATCTAACATTTAACCGATTTATTCCACCACAGAATAAGTATTTCAAAAGAAGTCATTTTTTTCTGATCATAATACCTTGTAGGTAATGAAGACAAATACATGATCAAAGTGGCTATGCGTGAATGGGAAAAATATACGTGTGTGCGATTCAGGGAAAAGGAACGTAGTGATGTCAACTACGTGTTGTTTAACGACGGATTTGGGTAAGCTCCTCTGTGATATCAGAGATGGTCTTCTTCATCTCGGCAAAATACGGTTTGTCTATTATTGTTGATAAATTATTAAAATCATGCTGAATTTGTACATATGGTATCGGATATTTTTTTATTTTAATTTACTGATAGTTTAACTACGACTGGAAAAAATCCAATTTGTCGGGCCTTTCTATGACCTACATATGGAACAATGCTGAGATTATCTGGACCTGTATATTGAGCACAACGAAGACAAAATATGTTTCATATGATAAACATCCTATACAAATGAATAGTATTTTTAGCGTCTGACGTTCATCATTTTGTTGTTGTTATTAAAGATAACATAATAATGTTAATTATAACAATAGGCAATAAAGAAAACACCAAACTCTTTTATAGACGTCATTTTCTTTTAAAATTATCGTCTATGGGATCCATGCCCTTTTAGCTGTTTCATATTGTACAATAATAAATTGAAGAATGTAGTGAGATCTGCGGCTTGACAAATTGGTGTCATGATTGTACTATTCTTTTCTCGCTAATAATGCACGGAGATTTTAATAGCCTACGTCATTGTCATTCGTTCGGTTCAGGGACACCTTTAACGATAGATTTGATTAATCTGAAACTTAAACCCTACCTTTCAATTTGCTCAACACGACATATTTTCTTATTTCAGGTGTAATTCACAATTGGGGATGGTCAGAGGCGAACAACTGCTGAATCTTGATGCCAACGGATGCAGATGGGTCAGTTAATTGTTATCGATTTAGATCGATTATTGGTTGAAAATATTTGTAAATCAATACCAACTATCATGATTTTAAAGATATTTATCGATCTTGGCCATAATTACGATTATCAGCAAATATTAAAATTGTAGCATTAAAGATCACATCACACCCTTTTATCACGCCATTTTCTTTTTAAAAGATTTTTTTTATAAGATCCATTTCATTTTAGCTCTGTTTTACATTGTAGAATAATAAATTGAGGAATGTAATAAAAATCCATGAACATATGATATATTTTAGGCGTAATTATGTTAACCATATATCGTTACAGAAAGGTCTGTACTTACACGAAATAGGCCATGCCCTCGGTCTGATCCACGAGCATCAGCGACCGATTAGAGATGGTTTTATTAGGATCCTGTCCCAGAACGTGGAACCGTCAATGCTACGGTGGTTTAATAAGTATCCAAATGGACAAGTTAATCCGTACAATGTGTCATACGAATATTCCTCCGTCATGCACTACGGTATTACGGTGAGTGATACTGTCTTTTAAACAAGACATTATTAAGGGAGGTTTATGACTTAAAGGGAGCGCTCGCTATAAACCTTGTTTTAGACAGTTTCCATTTTCATATTTTTCAGTTGTATACCATTCTTTTCACAAAGATTTTTTGAGTAAGTTTGTCGACACATCGCTATAACAATTTCATGAAAGCCATACCAGTGCAATCTAAAGGAACGTGAGAGTATTTGAAATATTTGAAATGAACAAGAAGATTATTTTTTTTAAATGAACTTGAAATTGAAAATACTTGTATAAAAAATACATATATTAACAGAACAAAACATTACTTGCTACATATTCTAAATAAAGCACAGAATATTATGTCTTATACTTTAACGGTTGTTTTTCACTTTAGATTTATGACTTGTGTGAATTTTTGCAGATATTTTGATGTCTTAGATTCTGACTTGTATTTTATGATTATTGCAGGCTTTCTCTAGAGATGGAAAATCTCAAACCATCCAAGCAACGCAGTCCAATAGAGAAAGTGAAATTGGGCGAGTGTACCTAAAAGAGCTGTCATTTACTGATGTTGAGGTCGTCAACAACATGTATGGATGCAATGGTGAGTTATGACGTCAGCAATATCTCAACCTGGTGATGTCAGCATCATGTATGACGATGATGGTGAGTTGTGAGGTCAGCAATATCTCAAACTGTAATAGTGACTGGTGATGTCAGCATCTTGTATGACGATGATGGTGAGTTGTGACGTCAGCAATATCTCAAACTGTAATAGTGACTGGTGATGTCAGTATCATGTATGACGATGATGGTGAGTTGTGACGTCAGCAATATCTCAAATTGTAATAGTGACTGGTGATGCCAGTATCATGTATGACGATGATGGTGTGTTGTGACGTCAGCAATATCTCAAAATGTAAAAGCGACTGGTGATGTCAGTATCATGTATGACGATGATGGTGAGTTTTGACGTCAGCATCATTTACAACTGTAAAATTGAGTTGTGACGTCAGCAACATGTTTAAATGTAAGGGTGAGTTGTGACGTCAGCAATATTTATAACTAAAATGGTGAGTCGTCGTGTAAGCAAACATGTTTGTGAACTTAGAGATGTCAAAATTGTAAGTTGCTTCCTATAAAAATACAATCAATATTGCATCGCCTTAAAATCCCATTGTCAATTATATGCTTTCCAACTTCAATCTTTAATTTCAGATCACTGTGATAAGAAAAGTACAATTTGTATTAATGGAGGTTTTCTGGACCAGAATTGTGAATGTCTATGTCCAGATGGCACCTATAATTGTCAGCAGGGTAACACACAGCCTGGGGACCGATGTAAGTGAAAAAATTAATCGCTTTACATTTGATTAAAATTTGAAGTATTTAAAGATAGAGCTATCTACGGCTGACAGCTTGGAGTTCAATGTTCTCATCACAGGTAGTATCATAATTATTCTAGCAAAATACTGACTGCATCATTTACCATTAAGGCATGTTTTATATTGTTCTATGGGCCACAGCGGATAATTAACACGATGATGGCTTTAGAAATTGCTTGATATCACGTGATCCAATTAGGGTTAATTCTTGATTATATTTTATCGCGTGATATTGATCGCTTTCTATGACGATATTCATTATGTTGTAGCTTGCGTCAACACTGAAGGAGACTGGATATGTAACGTGTGGGCAACACAAGGAGAATGTCAAAACAATGCTGACTTCATGAATAGTAGATGCCGTAAGGCTTGCCGCGTTTGTGGACCGACGGCTCCAATTGGTGGTAAGTAAGGTAGCACGTTTTACAATAAGCTATTGCGATTTTGCCAACTTTTCACTATTATATCAAAAGAATGAAACAAAAATATGTATTTTCCACAAACTTTGTAAAATGTTATCGTTATGGGGACAAAAACTTCACCCTTCTATACACGAGTAACTTCTAGGCCAAGACTGAAAATGTGTCGAGGGATTTATAAAATGTTTCGCAAGAATCAACGAAATCACAATGATTTCGAGCATAGGACAGCTGGAGGTCTATAGAAGTGGATACAAAGTTGGCAATTCTTAGAGGCGATGTTGTACCCATGATCAGACAACCGCGCACCATATCGCAATATCAGAATCATTCCTTAAGATATGCATATGTATGAGATGTTCAATGTAATCGTGGGGATCATTTTGAAGCGTGGATTATGTTGGCAAATATGATTCGTATTTGAATATTGCATATCTATCGTGAATTTGCGACATGAATTTGGTTTTTTAGCATGTGTTCTGTTTTCATACAATGAGTTTTCTTTGTTTTTTCAAGGTGATGGGGCTGAGTGCATCGACTTATTTGACATTGGCGCTTGCACAAAGTGGAAGGCCAATGGTGACTGTATCGTTAACGAGGAGTGGATGAGACAATACTGCAACTCAACTTGTGGGCTGTGTGATCGCAATGCAAGTCCACCAGGAAGTACGTACTTCAAAGAGAATAAAGCTAACTGTTGTCGTGTATATATATACTGTGTAAAACATGTTTATGCACATCTACTCATCCTACTACTATAACAAAACAAAAGCAAAAAATCATTAATGTGATCCTAATCCACATTACATGCTGCAAGTCTTCAACAAGTCATAAACAATAATATTTAAGAGGAGGTTCTGTACCGAATCGAAGTTGAAACAAAAACCAAAACAAACACTAACAAACAAAAAATATGGGATTAATAGGGTACACACTCTTTTTTAGCGGACTGTGAAAATAGTTTCAGCAGCGATAGCCAGTGTGAGGAATGGGCTCGTAAAGGAGAGTGTCAGATTAACCCGGCTTGGATGCCTGACAACTGTCAGAAAGCTTGTCGCACATGTCCTATCACAGATCGGACAACCTCTCGACCACGAGTCACCACTCGACGACCACGAGTCACCACTCAACGACCACGAGTCACCACTCAACGACCACGAGTCACCACTCCAAGACCAGGAGACACCACTCGACGCCCTTTCATAACAACTACACCTTTCACGACTCCTACGACGACGGCTCTCCCAAGAGGTAGCATATTCGGTCGTTCTAGTTTAATTCTAAGCGTACACATTAAAGAATATATTAAGCATTTCCTTTACTTACGATTTGTTCTCATTTGATCACTATCCTTTATTTCATTAGTCTCTGTTTTAACTGACAAGTTTGAATTTGCATTTTTTCCCCATTTTGATCATAATTACTATTCAATAATCGAAGTTTAGGTTCTTCACAAATTATTGAGATGGTATCGTTGCATGATCAAAATAATATAATGAAGCCATTTTGTCAATGACACCACTTCAATTTTATCTTTGAACAGGGAGGTGTGTGAACCGTTTTCCGGATAACCAGTGCGAACCATGGGCACAGCACGGACATTGTGATTACAATCCGTCGTTCATGGAAGTCAATTGCATGCGCTCTTGTAAACAATGTACCAGCAACTGTAAGTTCAATGTGTAAATTGGTGTTGCTTGATTGCAGTTATACATTCCTTTGAGCTGTGTATCTGTTAGAATACCAGTGCAGCTGGTTGTGGAGGTTAAGATATAAGATGTTGCCAAATATATTGTTATACATGTAACACGTGGTTTATAGCTCCATAATATACTGAAAAAGGTCATTTCTCATGAAAACGAAATAATCCCGCCAGATATTAAGACATCTAGTGAAGCACATGTTCACACCTGCTTCAACAACTTCAGATGTTACATTCCAACGATTCAGATGTAGCTGTGAAAACACGTATGATATCGACAGGGGTGTTGAATACATCACATTTTTGGACTTGTTCAATTTTAACAAGTCACCATTGTATACTGGCAAGATTTTGCCCGTTTCGCAATAAAGTGAAAGATTTCAGGATAACTAGGACATGTCAATCAATAAATTAATAAATGAAAACAACAATTTTTCATATACAGTATTTTAAATATACTCAACTCTATATGACCATGCTTGCTATGTGCTTCATCAAGGAATCCCGTGTCGTTACATGTTCGTAGCCATCAATTGTATTTAACTGGTTTTGATGATTATATTGATTCTTAAATTGTCACCAAAGATTCATCTGTTTGCATTTCGTTCTCCTTTAAATACCCGTCCTCTACATCTATATCGAAGCTTAACCAGCTTATTGAATAATGTTGATGAATTATTATACTAACTTAGCGTCAAGAACTTTGGAGAAAACAGAAAAAAGTAACATTGTTGAAAGTTAAAAATCAGAATTTATCCCAAAAGTCAGAACAGCAATCTACATATGTATCATTAAAGATGGGGTAATTTTATTATTTCTATTTACTCCAAATTCTGTCACAGATAGGATGGATAATGCAACATGCCTTTAGTAATATAACTTCCATAATTTTCGTCTTTTGATGTTGAAATATAGCCCTCACTATAACGATATCATGTTTCAGATCCAAATTGCAATAATACAAATAAGTATTGTGATGATTGGGCAGCCCATGATCATTGTAGGATAAACCCAGGCTATATGAAAACGTTTTGTAAGAAGGCTTGCAATTCATGTTCCCCAGGTAAGTTAATTATTTTTCTATTCGCATATCAACACATGGAAGATGACGATGGAATGAAGTTCATAGTTTATTTTTAATCTACATTGAATGCTTTGAGAAGGGTTTACTCCATTGGCATAGGATACTAAAACATAGTAGTGTACACAGATAGTGTCTTCAGTTGATTTTATAGTGTCAATGAGACAATTTTATGGTTTAATTGCTACGATGTTGTCAGATATTTTACAGTGGAAATGAGGCAGCGTTTTTATTTAAGTATTGAACTGCTTTCGGGCAACCGCAATTTGTTTAATTACTTGCAATATTCTTATGGTACCCAACTGATTTTCTGAAACAATGGTAAACATATGTCTTTAGCTTTTCAATTTAAACGATGCCTTCTGAGTGTTTTACATAATTTTAATTTAGAAATGACACTATGTCTTAATTAGTTTTTCAGTAGTCATTTGACGATGTGATCAGATGTGTTTACAGTGAAAAATATGGCGGAGTTATCAGATAATTTTATAGTGAAAATGAGACAGGGACATCAGATTTATAGAGGAAATGAGGCAGGACCATCAGGTAGATTTACAGAGGAAATGAGGTAGGACCATCAGGTAGATTTGCAGAGGAAATGAGGTAGGGCCATCAGGTAGATTTGCAGAGGAAACGAGGTAGGACCATCTGGTAGATTTACAGAGGAAACGAGGTAGGACCATCAGGTAGATTTACAGAGGAAACGAGGTAGGACCATCAGGTAGATTTATAGTTGATTATTCCTCGATAGTTTTGCATTTCATATTGGACATTATCTTGTAGAAATTCAGTCATAGTTCAAGATTATATAAAATGTGTATATAAAAGGAGATAGATGCCATCTTTAACTATTAATATATTTCTATGACTTTCCAGCGTTACGTCAACTTGGTAAAAGACAAGCTATTGCTGAAGGCGTCATCGATGAGAATGGTTCAATTTTAAACCAGGAAAATCCTTTCACTGTCATGCCTCCAGAATCAGGAGCTACTTTATGGAAATCCACCCCCAGCCTCCTCTTGGTGACAGTCTGCGCTCTCCTCATCCATTAGATAACCTGCATCTGTGATACCCTTGGTTAATTTTTTGTTTGGTTTTTTATGCTTTTTTTTCTTTTGTTTCGTACTTTTTTTATAAGATTTTTGTTGTAGATCTGTTATCAATTTTTCTTAAATACTTTTTTTCTATCAAAGTTGTAAATAAAGAAACATTTGCCATGAATAACAATTCATTAAATATCAATTGCATAGATAGGTGCAGTGCAGTTTATATAATTTTATCAGTTATTTTTCAATGGCCACAAAGAAGGATTGACTGTGATATTTTGTCCAGTTTATTTAATCAGGCCATGTAAAATACATACTTAAATGAACACATTTATATTTGACGTATACAGAATCCGTTTTTATAAGCATTATTTGAAGCATACTGTTTTATAAAGTCGGTTAAAAAATTGTTGATTTATTCAGTAAAACAATTGTGTTGTTGAACTAGTATTCAATAACACAATTGCGTTGCCAAGAAAATCATATTTTTTGTCATATCACACTTGAGTGCTTGTATGTTTTCTTACTCTTGAAAACTGGTAAGTTTGTGTTGTACAAATTACCCTATACATACTTATTCATGCCATTGGCAGCATATGTAATTGAAATATACATGCATACAACTTTTCAATGTAATTTAATTTTGCCAGTGATTTTTGTATTATCATTGTGTCTCACATTATGTCTAACTAAACATAATTTTGATTTTTTTTTTAAATCATAATTCTGTTTCTCTTAAATTGTAAAAAGTTGTTTTACATCAAGACTATACATGTAATTATATGTCCATCATCTATATATATAGCTTCTGGATTGATACTCATTGTATCCATGGCACCAGATAAATGTTTTAAATCAGACCGGTGACCTACAAAATGTTTTGTTTTTTAAATGTTATGTGTTTATCATGTATGTTACTCTTCAGCTACAAAGGATTTCAGAGTGATCTTTCTACAATAGCATTTTTGCTCGTTCCCTTCCTCAGAGCCATTATAAAAATGTTAGGAATCTCTGTATTTTTCATTTAGTTTATAGTGTGTTATTTATTTTGTTTTTTTCATCAGTATTGCAATTGTAAAACGGTAAATCTAGATCTCTCATCCCCTCTCTTTCTCTTTTAAAGACAGCTCAATTCCTGCATTTTGCATTATTGGCTCCCGTCAGCTTTTTGCTAGATCCTCTTACTGGTAGAGAAAAGGGAAAGGAGGGTAATTCTAGGAGACTAGAATGACCTTTATGTTATTACATCACTATTAGATATGACTGCAATAAAAATAATATCGCCCAATTAGTAATCATATCATATCAGTGTTAAACATATCACATGATGATGGGGATAATGAATGCTAAACAATGGAGTTCAATGTGATAACTTAATCAGAACACTGCACTTTTAACACAGGGACAGGTAATAATGATCTCCAAGAAACAATGTTACATGCCCTGTGCAATTAGCATTAGTCATTAAGGAATACTGATGTTCTGGTAATTTTTGTAATTGTAGAGATGGCATTAATTTACAAATCATGAATTCAAATCTAATTCAGAAGACAATTTTAAAAAAAAATTCATAACTTTATCTAAACAATTGATTTAAGCAAGATTTTTAATAAAATGATCCTCAGACCTACGTCACTGTTGTAAAGGTCTGTGGATTACCTTAGCCAATGACACAACATATTAATCAAATTAAATTTGATCTCACAAAACGTCACTATAATCATTCTGATCTGCAAATATCATGTCAAGTTTTATACTCAAGACATATATTTAGTTTTCTTTGAAAACATGATATTTTCATCATTTCCATTGGAATTTAAGCATTTGTGGTATATTTTTTTTTACCTTGGTGATATAAATATGCACATCGTATGACTATAAAGTAGATTACTTAGGTTTCATCTGTCAAAGGTACTGTATAGTTGATTATATTCATGGGTCATTTAATTTTATAATAAAACATGGAATTAAATACCCTGTAATAATTTGATATCAATTGAAAAACATAAAGAAACAATGTTGTATCTGTGTACATGTACACTAATCTACAGCCTTAAGAAAAATTTGATCAATGAATAGCCCAGTCTGGGACAGCCACAAAATATTAGCTCCATGTAATAAAACACCTGTACAGTACATGTTAAGTGAAATATTGAGCTTTTTTGTCAAAAATAGCTAAAGAAAGGTCAATTTAGGAAAAAGAAAGTGAGTGAAATGTAAGTAACCTACAGTAATGAAAATTAAGGGATATTTGTATATTTTTGTCAATAAAATATTTGTACAAGACAACATTTTTGAAATATTTTATTATCAACTGATTGCAGTAATTTCTATTAATATCACAGACAGTGGTACAACTAAAATACATACAGCTGATTTATATGATTCTATCATGTAAATAGATATAACAATAAAACTTACAGTATAACCATAGGTTATATCTGTGATTGTGACCTCAACAATTGCATTTTACTTTTAGTATTGGTAATTCAATACCCAGTACTTCACAACAAGACCCAGTACTCCATAATACCTGGTCCTCCACAACATTATTCGGTACTCAAAAATAATACAACATACTCCACAATAGTACCTGGTCCTCCACAACAAGACCCAGTACTCCATAATACCTGGTCCTCCACAACATTATTCGGTACTCAAAAATAATACAACATACTCCATAATAGTACCTGGTCCTCCACAACAAGACCCAGTACTCCATAATACCTGGTCCTCCACAACAAGACCCAGTACTCCATAATACCTGGTCCTCCACAACATTACCAGATACTCAACAACATTCTTTTACAGTACTTGTATACTCACAACATTATTCTAGATAAATAGTGTTCATGAGACAGACATCTTCAAGGTCCTTATTTTACTTAAATCAAAGAGGATTTCCAGGAAGCCATGAAATAATTTACTCTGATGATTATGCTTCCTGAAGGGAGAGCATAAAGTTGTTGTTTGTCTGTCTATGCATTCATTTATTCGTCCGTCCATTTGTCTGTCTGCCATAATTTTGTACGGAGCATTACACTTAAACCATAAGAGGTGTCAAACTTCATAGGTAGATAGATTTCTACAGGGAGAAATGCAGTGCACTGGAACCTTCACTCTCTTTTGCATAATTTAGGAAAAGTTGCAATTTTTTATTTTTCATACTGAAATTTTGTCCCATACTGTGTACTGGGAACCTTTTGCCTTCTGACAACAAAAAAATGTTTCATCCAGTTTAAAATTCACCAATTCATGGAGCATCTGTAACTTTGATAAGTTTGTCTCCTTCCTCTAGTGGTTATTTGTTGAATTTATCACTCTATGAACAGCCACAGTCATTTTGAGACAGGAGATCCTTAAGAGTAGGTGGTAACTACCTCTTCGAACAACAAACAGAAGACCCATCTCATGACATCTAAAGCTATTGAGTAAAGGTGTCTTGCCTAAGACACAACCACAATAGCACAGACCTGTTGATTTCTCTGCTTCCTTAGAAACAATACAGGGCAAAAATAGCAAAAGTCCAGCATTAACAGTTTATAGTTTACATGTATACATAATGTAACAAATATATACTGTTTATGTCATATACGTGCCAGTGATATATTTAAACTATTATTGTATGCAATGTTACAAAAACTGCTGCATCAACAAGTACTTGGTTAAATCTTTACAGCAAAATGACTCAAAGCTTGGAGATAATACAGTCTTTGTGATGTCTGTTACAAATATTTTAGATCTTAACGATAATATTAAGTTACTTCTTTTGTATCACTCAAAATACAACTAACACAAACAGAAACGATTAATAACAGTACAGTAGGTACCCAGAAAGTATCCTGTCCTAAAATTAAAATGTCCAGGAACCAAATTTCTATGGTGGAGATAAAAAGAAAACAAAACATACAAAATTGGAAGTCTTATATCACAACTAGTGAAAAAATGTATGTGGAGATCTCTACAAATGATCAGTGGAAGTTTTACAACAAAATGTACAACTTTTTGGTGAAATAAGTTTCCAAATAGATCTGAACAACTGACCTGATACATGTCAACATATAACTGTGATATATATATATATGGTCGTTAAGGATCACCACTAACACTGATTGACAAAAATTTCCCAGATTGGTGAAATTCAAGACTTGTACCCCCTTTTTTCAAGGACTAAATAGTATATAAATACAATGTTACACTGTACACTGTTAAAAAGTTTATTGTACTGGGTGTGTCAATGTAAAGAATAACACACTTTCTCAAATACCACATAAATATTGATTGAATTGTGATAAGGTAACAACAGTCTAACAACAATTTGGCAAATTATTTATCCTCTAACAACAACATTTATGATAAAATTCACCAATTTGTCTTTTGGCAAAACTTAAATATGGCATCCTCAGTGTAAAAAGAAATGCAGTTCTATTATGTTTACATAAATGATTATCGATACTGACATTTTTCTTTCCATTTTGGCAAATCCAAATTAAAAACACTTTTTATGAAATGTATACTATAGGTAACATTTAGAATATCAGTAAAAACTTTAATGTCAACATGTCATCAATGTTACATGTTCATGCTGCAGATTTCATTTGATGAAAGGAAAACACAAAAATAATAATGTACCTAACAGTATTGAATTTTATACACTGTCACACATTTGTAAAATTGAAAACACTTTTAAACTATTTGGCAGTAATATAATAATAGACTTTATATGTGATTCAATATTTTTCTCAAAATTAGTTTAAGAAATAGCTCTTCGGGAATGCTTACTTGTATTCTCCTTGTAACATCTTTTGTTCCTATTTTGCCATGGTTTCATCAACTTTGAGTGCAAATTAAAATTCTGTTTAAAAAAAAAAATGTTTGTGAATTGTACCCGCAATCACTTTATTTTACCTGTTTTTAGTACATTAAAATTTCTACAAAATGGCTGTCTATATATATCCTGGATGATAAAAATATTTCCTTCAGTTTTGAAGTGCTCGTTTTACACATCAAATAATTCTACAAACAATTTACAGGAATTTTTTTTACATGTATTTAAGTGTTTTCATTTCTTACATAGAGATAATTTTTTTTTAAATTGGATACAAAAACGAACGAAGTTGATTGACATATAAGGATTTTTAGGGTTTTCATTTCTTAATCTAAAGATACAATAACAAAAACTAGGTTACAGAAATGATTAAGTGTTCTGAACACAGAAATGTAAAGGAGTTGATTGACATAAAAAGGATTTGACTGTCCAGCATTAAATGTTCTGTTTTCTTCCAGTAAAATTGTAATCCCCTATCACCCCCACCTTCTTTCTTTAAATCCTAATATAAGCAGAAATGAATAATCTTACAAACAAAGCTGTGACCATGTGAAGTGATAACAATCAAAAGCAAAGCCTTATGTTTTAGCTCAAATACTGCATGAAATATGAGAAAACAGCATCACGTAATATTTACGCAGATCCTGAAGATAACAAGCAGATGAAGAAAACAATGGAACCTTTTATGTGAAGGAGACATAAATAGTATCAGAAGATGAAATTAGCACTACACAGTATTAACCCAGTGTCTGGTGATATCGTATTGTCCCATACACAATAGAATACTGGTGTTCCTGTGACCAGAGAGGACTTACAGCCTACTTCCTGTAAGTAACCATGCTACAAGTCTTTTACTTATAGCAAAAAAATTGAGTATCATCTCAATATTGCCATGAAGTTGTTAAATATTTTGGTCACATAATAACAATACAAACAATTAAGTAGATTAACTAATGAAGACTTTTATGTAAACATCTATTCCCCTTCCTCTTCCTCCTCCTCCTCCTCTTCCTCTTCATCTGTATGTCCTTCCCTTGCACCATAAAGTATCTCAGAGAGTGTCTCTTTGCTGCTTTTAAAGTCCCTGAGACAGTGTGGTGAGCACGCACGAAAGATGAAAGGAAGATTTATAATGCCGTGAAGTTTGCTGACTGGTCGAATAATCCTTAAGCCTGGGCCATAAAGGGGTCCATGACAGCAATCACATGTAGATCGGCTACAAAACACAAATACCTATTAATGACATGTCATTGAATCATTTTTATGCTTTTTAAATCTAAAATTTACTTTTTAAAAATAAAATTCAAGAAACATCTTATATCAATTATCAGTGACTCTTGATGGCCTGGATCGATAAACACATATGGTCTTAATGTGACCAGACTACCATAGTCAGGCGGGTGACCCCATACCTTTTCATGTCTAAGGAAGGAACCAAATCCTGGTCATTTGGGTACACAAGCTAAATCAAACAACATAATTTATCAAAAGACTACAGGACAGAAATATTCTGAAGACATTTCATTGAAATAGTACCATGAAGTTTTCAGGAAACCCTAATTACAGTACTGGTAACTAAAACAGGGCAATCTTCAAGGCTATTGCCATAGTTTTCTGTCTCTTCTTATTGGTCTGGTACCCGTATGTTAAGTCTGACATCCAGTGCTATTACCTTTACAATGATCACATTCATTTGTCTTTCTGATGTATAACTGAACAAGGGAGATAATCTAATCTAATTGAAACATTTAAAACGAAGTCAGTTGAGACCATTTTATGTCCTTTAAGTTAAAAATTGCTTGTGAGAAATAAAATTAATTAGCTACATATGTTAGAAACCGAGCTATCAAGCAAAAGCCAAAAATGAAATGTTATAGAATGTCAGTCCTCAACTGAAATAAGTTGATCTGAAATACTGGACAAGTAACAAATTCTATTGACCTTAAACCTACTGTTTACCAATGTAAATAGGAAAATCAATGATTACCTGGACAGGACATTGATGACTGATGGTGCCAGGTTCTCTGCCTTTCTGTACATTTCAGACTTGTACATAGTCAGAGCTGCCATATCAATCAGTCGCTACAAACAACAGAAAGTAGTACTGAAGATATTGTTTTTTATTGTTCAGAATTAAACAGTTTTACCAGACTGTTTAAATGGTTCTGATTTTAACAGCTTTACTAAAAGCCTGAAGCAAAGTCTTTTTTTTTTCCTAAACTGAAAATTCCTCCATATCAGAAGGCATTAACAGACCACATGAATGATGCATGTAGAAATTTTGTCAAGTTATCTTGAACGGTTTTGGAGATATGTTCTGGAAACACATTCACACAGATGGAATCATTTGTATGTCAATCTCCAACCTTCATTTGGCAGGGAAGAATGAGATAGTTATTTTGATTTGAAATATTCAATTTTAAAAATCCACATAAACCCTTTTGAATTACCTGAGGCTGGTTACGGGTATTCTCTTTCCAGAACAGTGGATGCATGAAATTGTTTTTGACGTTGAGATAGTTGAGCTCCAGAAGTAAAGCACCACAGGGCATGGCTGGTAACTGGTTTCCTTCCATATTAAGTTCTCTCAGGGACCTAGACAGAAGAATCATTAAATCCATCTTGAAGCTTCGTCACTTACTATAATCTAAGATAACTAAATGTCTATGGACATTAACTTAGATGTAACAAAATACTGAGTGAGAATTATATAACAATATTTATATTACATGTACATTCAATGTATAAAATGCATCTATCACATAACAGGCTTACCAAGCCCGAGGTCATGTCTTAGGGGAAACTAAAGTAACAATCTGAAACCCAAGACTTCAGGTTTACTAATCTGATGCTACAATTGAGCTAAAGAAAAGTTCTCTTCAGCCGCGTGGAATATTATGGCTAATATTCTACCAAGGCTGACTACCATTTATCACATAACAGACTTACCAAGTCTGAGGTCATGTCCTAGGAAAAACTAATGTAACAGAGCTTTTTTCTTTATTAGTTTATGTCAGTGCCTCATCTAGGATTCAAACCCAGGACTTCTGGTTTACAAGTCTGATGCTCCGAATTAGCTGAAGGAAAGTTCTCTTTAGCCACATGGCACATTGAGGGTAATACTTTACTAGGGCTAGCTACGTACTCCCACTCCAGGAAAGAACTCATCCTTTAGCTAAGGTTACACTTATTAGAAGATTTTCCTCAAAACCTACTATCAAAATGAGTGATGAGATTGAAAGAATTGTATATTTACGTCTATTCAAATCAATTCATTAATGAGGTCAAAATATATCTATCAATACAGAAAAAAAGAATAAACAGAAATATACCTGAATTGGCTGATTTCATTAGGGACAAATGTGATTTTGTTGTAGGAGATGTCAAGATGTCGCAGCTTTTGTAAAGAAAACAAGCTGAAACAAAGTCAATCACAATTATGATAAGACACAAATAATTTTACATGTATTCATAGATTTTCATAAATGTTGTTATAGTTTTGATTAAAATGTAAAGCAGTGAGTGCCTAAAAACAAATGTAAGAAACATGTTTTAGCACAAAGGCATGTTACTTTGAAATAAGAAATACATAATCATACTCATTGAATAAATTTAAGAATCTAAAAAATTCAAAACACTTTTGGCAGACATTAAACAACTTTGTTTTTCCTCTAAAGTAAATCAGATAATATGCAGATTTGTTCTTATATTTTTACAACTTCAACCACACATAATGTCATGAAAACATAGCTCATGTTTAGTCCAATAACATACAGAAAGAGGTATTTTAGGAATAAACGTACCCCAGAGGTAAGGTCTGTAGAAGACAAAAAGACACCACCAAGGTTTTAAGGTTCTTGAGGCGTTGTATATCAGGTGGAAGCTCCCTTAGGGGATTGTTCCTCAATTTTAGTGTAACTAACTGTTTAACATCCAGTATGGAGCGAGGAAACAGCTAAAAATACCAATATCAAGACTTATATTTCACACTATTACTTGTAAAAAGATTTAAATGAAAAATTCAGAATATGCAGTAGTATAAGTATTACTTATCATAAATATCATTTCCAAAAACAAAAGATACTTAATTATATTCATAATTTAGATAAAAAAGCATTTATTATGTAAATACTAAGATCAAAATGTAATTTCTGTTGAAATTGCAGAAATTCAAAGAGAAAAACAGTAATTTATGTAAAACTGTGTAAGATTCAAGGAGAATTATAGCTGCTAGGGATAGAGAACACACATACCGTGAAGTCATTGAATGAGAGGTTGATGTAGGTCACTGTTCGTATGAGAGGATTGATGTCAGGAAGCTCTGATATAAAGTGTGCCTGGTAATCAATAAATCAAGGATATCAACAATAAAACCATACATTATCACATTGTATACAAGACTGGAATGTAAAACACATAATTAGTTTTGGCTGGTGAAAATTATTTTCCATTTATTTTTTAATTTAACTAAATCTGTTTTTTTATATACATTTCATCAGAAGTTGTCTACATTTAAACAACTTAACATACATTTATATTATCAAATTTACCTTCAAACTTAGAGCTCTGCCACCGTTGATAAGTGAATCTAATATTGCGAGTTCTGAAGGGGAGATTACTCCATTAGCATCACCAGGTGCCGCTATTAACAAATGAATGAAATCTTTATAATTTTACTAAGCATTACTAAGTTATTGAAAACAAATGTTTCAAAAAATCTTAACTTAAATATTATTTCAAGAGATAAGTAATATGAGAAATGCTAAGATGTATTAAATTTGTACATGAATCAATACGCAGAAAAAATATGCAATCTAAAAACTTATGTTTTAATTTAGATAACTTGTTATTAATCAAAATTGAAAATATTAACTCTAAGATCAAGATATTATAAACAAAAATTTTAGCTAGTCTTGCAAATGATTAAGGCTCTTCATTTATCCTCAAGTATTGACTGTACTGTGTTAATTGCTGCATCAGGGATTTGTAATGATGCAACAAACAACTGATAGTTAATACCTAGAAAACTAAACAATTTAATAACTGAATCATTGAATGATTGTTTTTCCTTAAAAGTTTCCATAATGAATATGTATTAAACATTAAGGTATAATTAAAACAACACATTGAGCAGAAAACTCACTAAAAGGTGACTGACTGCGTCCCGAGCCTTGGAAATACCGAGAACGGGCAGAGTGGAACATGGAATCTACAGACGGAATCTCTGTATCTCTGAAAAAAAAACAAAAAAAAATCACAGCACATAATACCACGAGAAATTTTGATATACCAAGGAAATGAAGCATATCTGTAGATTTAAATCAATCATTTTCATTAAATTTATGTACATTGTGTTTACATTTGTGATTGGAAAAAATACAGATCATTGATACTTTGACTGCCATGAAAAACACACAATAAAAAGATGCTTTGATAAAGGTCTAAGGATTTCATGTTTAGAATTACATGTAGATAGGAAATACTAAAAGAAGAAAAATTAGAAACATTTGAGGGTAAAAAAACAGATGATATCTCCTTTGGATTTGTTAAGAAAGTAACACATACTGACGAATTTGTTGACTCCTACTGGCCACCTCTGTAGTATCATCCTCATACAGTATAATCTCTGTATGTGGAACATCTGTGTCATGGTGGCTAGGACTGTATCGCTTCAGTGGTCTAATTACAGATTTTACTTCAGTGTTCATGAGATCACGGACATGTTGCTTTATCATGGCTGCCATCTCAATTAGAAGCTGCTTCTGAGGAATTCTTGGTTCAACAGGAGGAATACTCTGTCCTGGAGGAGAAACACAACCATGTCAGGTACTTTGAAAAAGATACTTGTAGGTAAACATTAGACTTATCATTAAATATCTAACAATAAGCTCATGCCTGGCAATAAGTCTATTCATACGTATTGTTTTTTCAGTAAAAATAACCCACAAAATTTAACTTTTAATTGTCCTGTAGTAAGCACACTCTCTGACTTTGAGTCTGAGATAATGTGTTGGCTCCCTTAGCTTATTTCAATGTGATTATGATTTAATGTTAAATATAATCTGTAACCATATGACATTTTGATTTACATACAAAGCATATATTCACAATGTTTTGATGAATTTTCAAGTACATATACTGCTTCAATTCTACTATGACAGGACCAAATTCTCATTGAAAGAAAGTTGCCAATTGAGCCTGCCTCACTCATCTGGTATTTAAAGCTCTTAACAGATACGTTATCATTTCACAGCATTGACATGCATCCAAGGGAACTACCAGCAGAAACAATTTAAAGGTTTCAACAAATTTGAGCCCTGTGACCTTGAACAGACTTGTAGTTCAAGGTGATTTCTCTTGCAAATTTTTTCTGGCTTTATCCTCTGATCCTACAGACTATATATCTTATTTATAGGTTTTTGGTTATTGAGGAAGGCATCGTTTGTAAGCTTTGAAAAATGGTGACGGTTCATATGGATTAAGATTAATTAATTTGTAAAATTCTTCTGGCTTCATCACAGGAACTTACCAGTTTAAAAAAAAAAAAAAAATCCAAGCTTTAATCAGGAAAAGTTGTTTAAATCTTATACCATATTTTACCCCTGTAAACTTTAATATGGATCAAGTCTATTTGTTTGCCCAGACTATGTTAGATTTCATCCCAGGAAGCTAAAGGTCTTCTGAATTATCAAAATTCATCTGAATGTTTAAAAAATGCCCCTTCTGATTTTGAATATTGGTAAAGGTCACTTCTTTTCGCAAACTAATTTGTTGGCCCTCATCCAAGGAATATTCAAGCCAAATATTATGATTCAAGGCCGGTTGGTTATTGAGAAGATGTCATTAAAATGGAAAAGAGACCATATGGACTGATAATCGACAGATAATTGATGCTGCACCATAGCATAAGCTCATTTGGCCAAGCCCTTCGAGTTAGGTGAGCTAAATGTATGTGAAATATACATATAATTATCGTCCCATAGTTAATATTTTAAATGATCAAGTTCAAAAATAAATTGTTTGAAATTAAGAGAACTTATATAACCATACCTTCTGGAGTAAATGTGTTCGTGTGAACCTCGTCTTGGGATAACTCAAACGTATTTTGTTCGGCAAGTAACTTGGTCATTTTCTTGTAATTATATCTGGAACACACGGCCTGTTTAACAGACCTCATAGGCAGTCTCTGTCTGTCCGATATCTCCATCATAAATGTTTCCAAAGTAAATGTTGGTGGAGCATAATACCTTATATCATCAACATAGTCTACATGAAATATTTCAGGATGTCTCCGAGGTGGTCTGGCAGGAAAACTTTCTGGTCCCCTGGGTTTAAATGGCTTTATTAAGGATTTTCCATCAACATAAGTCCCAAGACTTGTTTTGACCCTGTATAAAGGATCCAAAATAAATTTCTTGTCATCTCTACTGACAAAAGCCACATTCGTTTGTTGAGATCCATGTTGTATGACATGTCTGTATAGATAGTGCTTCCTTGTTGGATTGGATTCTGAAGGTGGAGGTGATATCAAACTAGGTACCACACTAGGCGTGGGCGATTGTCGAATTGTTACTGGGGTTTCACGTGTAGGAATATCTGTATCAAAGTCATAGGTTTCATAAAATGGTTTTACAGGTGAACTTGAGTTCTTTGTTGGGGAAGGTGTGGATAGTGGTGGAAGAGGCTTTGGGGCTCTTGGTCGTCGCAGTAGTTTGGTGTCTTGAGTACTTGAATTCTTTTTATGCTTTGATGAATTTGTAGTAAACACCAGCTGAAAAAAAAAACACAAAAACAACTCATTTGTGTAAATTGCAATACACTTTTCAAAATTGAAGTAATTCAAACCTACACAAACCTCAATACACAAAGGGTTATGATCGCTTTCACTCTCTGCACCCTTGAAACATTTCCTGGCAAAACTGAATGCAGAAGAGAAGTCATTTTAATTGGACTTGAATGGGTTTCAGGAGAAATAAACTGACCAAAGACAGACTGATACACTTCTTTGAAGATTACAAAGGAGCAACATCCAACTTCAAAACCAGTATAACATAACGTTATATGAGAGCCAATGCCTTAGAATAAGTGTTTATTGAGCCTTGTTCCCTCAGCCTGGGTACCTGGAGGTATGCGGGACATTAATGAATCAGAGTTGTTTATTTAATTGATGTTACTATATTACAACAGCTGTCTTCTCTCTCACAGATTGGGTGAGTTCGATGTGCATAGGCCTATTAGTGTTGTGCTAGGGATCTGTCAAGTGCTTATAATAACTTCTGGATATTCTACATGTACCAGAATATAGCGACACGGTTTGTATCCTGTTCATTAACCGGGTCTGCAATGACATTATGGTCACCATTATGGCCTACTTCATTTCAAATAACACTGCTATAAGACTACCAGAGGAAATAACCGCATTACTGGTGGCATTTAATGCAAGTGTTGTAATCGATTAACGTATGGTACTGAACAGTGATTTCTCGTAAGCGAATTATTTTAGAATGTCAATAACTGGAAATTATGGTTACAAAATAAATACACTTACGGACGGTCCACTTGCCGCCATCTTGACGCTGTAACCATACCAACTTCCGTGATTTTTTTTTCTCGTGAAGTCTCGCGAGACAACAATGAGCACCTGCTAAGCATGTTGGGCCGGTTATCAAAAGCGTCTGCTAGAACGGCATCAAGGTATTTTTCAAGTACCTTCCGTTCAAATGGGGAATTCAATGAACCTTTATCTGGACATGACATGCCAAGGGCAGGAGGCATCGCTTCAATGATGCGACTGCCAGTTCAAGACAATGCAAGCGGTAAGAAAACAACTAAGCCATATTTGTGACACGGACTTTGATATCAGTGGCAGCAGTTACAGGTAATCCCTTTTTGGGATTCCTCCTTGGGACTTATGTCCAACGTTTACATGGTCAAACGTCCGATATAAAGGAGTTCCAAGGAGGATAATAGGAACCCGCATTACATATTCAGACAGGATTTTACGCTCACCGTTTCCACTCGTACACAGTTGTTTGTCAAATTATATACGGGAACATAAGTCCCGTCGATATATCGTCTGGACATCAGTTCCGGGCCGTTATGTATTTCGGAATGACAATTTGTCAGCCTTATCACATAAACATGTCCTTCGTGACGTTGCACCCGGATCATTTTTTTTTTTTTTTGTCGTAACGTGTCACGCTTCCAGAAAGAATGAAAAATTGTGATTTAAACCATTCACCATAAACTATTATGAGTATATTTCATTGGCAAATTTATGTATTTTTTTCTTCATACACATTTTATATATCAAACATCCTCCTAGATATGATGAAATAGCCTATCAATTCATCCTCGGATACTTAGTGGCTGCTACCAAATCCTTGTTTCTGTGGTCCATGAGTTGATATTTTCTTTTTATAATTAACGTTTGATAGGTTTGTATGCCTGCTTTGTTGGAGTTCCTTTAGACATTGGAACATCTAATAGGGCAGGGACTAGACACGGTCCTCGTCAAATCCGAGCGGAATCATCACTGCTACGCAAGCTGAACATCGCAACCGGTAAGATTAAAATAATGTTTTTGTCACCCACGATAAAGTCATTAGTGACCTATTTTGATCACCATTTCATCAATACCAGAGGGACATGGCTAAAAAGAGGTCATGTTAACTCAAATTTAAATAAACCTATTCTCTATACCCAGATATTGTAGAATCATATTTACTCCTTTTTACAGATGGAAGAATGCTTTGCCTAAATTGTGAATTTCATGGATTTAGATAGATATTCCTCCATAAACATGAAGATTACAGACAAAATGTATAATCCAAATGAAGTATAGGAAAAATGATTATTATGTACAAAATATCAATGTCTGATATAGCAGTTAGTAAGTAGCCCTAGGGCCATTGCATCTTTTGTACTATTTCACAAATTTTCAATCAAGAATTTTACCATGATTGTGATGCTAATGCTGTTCATCAGCATAAACTGTTCGCATATATCTTCTTCCACATCAATATATTGTTTCATCTAGTCCTTGATAGTTATAAAGTTTATGGTGAAAAGGATGTTGAAAATATATAAAAGACCTTGTTTCATATAGCTTACTGCATTGTATCAGAAAGTGAACATTTACATAACTACCTTGATGTCTGTATAGTAGTTTACATATACTATATCATTGGTATACATAAATGACAGTTTGATCATTTCTGAGTTTCCAAATATAATATGAATTTCTTTCACTGACTTACCACAGTGAATGCAGCAAAAGAGGGGTAGGGATTAATACTAGTAATAGATTATAGCTTATTATGGGTTGGGGGTATATACATGGCACACTTTTCTTTCTTGTGTCTAATTTTTTTTTATCTGTGATAGGAGCCTCTCCGTTTGATTCATTCCAAGTAGCTGATGTTGGTGATGTAAATCTGAACCTGTACAACCTACCAAAGGCATGTGAGGATATCCGTAACCATTTCTCTGGCATTGTTCAGACTGGCTGTATACCTTTGGCCCTGGGAGGTGATCACACCATGACCTATCCAATTCTACAGGCTATCAGGGTAATATAGCAGCGATTTAAACATATATGCCACATCTTTTTTATGCCTCCCCTCTCTATTTTCTTTTTTTTTCTTCTTATTTTTGTTTTATAGGAATTTTTTTGTTTAATAGAGAAAATATCTATCAATACAATCAGCTCTGACAATTTTTAGTCATTACCAAAATATAAAAGACAGACAAATTTGTAGTGAAATCTGCAATTCTAGATTAAGTAGATATTACATACAACACATAATGAACCGACTAAATGAATCCTGTACATTTTGTGTTCTTTCTTGTCAAGTGTGCAGAAATCATTTAGTTTAAAAGAAATTGATTCATTAATATGATAACTTTTATGGTATCATATCCAAAAAATTTAACATTAAGGTCAAAATCCGTCTTTTTGAAATTATTCATTTTTCTCACTACAGGTTTTTAGTGTATTTTATAATTTACAAATTATATGAAAAAGTGAGCTTTATATACAAGATATGTATATAGTTATATATTCACTTGTGTAGGACAAGCATGGCCCAGTAGGTTTGGTCCATGTTGATGCCCATGCCGACACCAACGACACCATGCTGGGTGAAAAAATTGCTCATGGGACACCATTTCGTCGTGCCATGGAAGAGGGATGTCTGGACGGACATCGTGTTATACAGATTGGACTACGTGGTTCAAATTACAACATCACTGATTATGACTGGGGACGGGAACAAGTAGGCTGTGTTATTGCATGTTAATTGATGTAGTTCAGATATCTGCTTGTTTTGATCACCCATGTACTGATACCAGTAGCCAATTTAATGTGACTAGATTACAGGAACTCCTAGAAAAAGGAAGGTTTGTCACAAAAACACTTGGTTTTGGATAAATAGCATCAGGGTTGTTTAACTGCAGTATTAGTTTAGACTATTGTTTAAATACCATGAAATACTGACAAATAGATGGAGATATCTATGACTCCAACTTACAATCACTGGTAAAACAGTCAATAACAAAACTATAACCAGCTTATTTCAAAATTGAATGTGTTTATTCGAACAGGGTTTCCGAGTAGTCCTGGGCCATGAATGTTGGCATAAGTCCTTGACCCCTCTAATGTCTGAAGTTAGAGAGATGATGGGTGACCGCCCTGTCTACATAACCTTTGATATTGATGCCCTAGACCCAGCTTATGCTCCAGGAACAGGTAAAATAATTATTATCATTTTACTTTTGAACATATCACGTGTAATACATTGTTGAAAATATCAAAGTTTTAAATACTGTTATTATTCTTGCACCTGAACAGCGAGATTTTCTTTTAACAAACCTCTGATCAATAAAACAAAATATTGTAAAGAGAGTCCGACCTATTCTAAATAAAAAAGATATTTGAGCATTGTATTGGATCTAAGATACATGCAAGTGTTATAAGAGTAATACTTTGGTCTTTGATACTGAAATGTATCTCAGTTTAGGTAGCTATCTCTAGTGAAATTACCAGGAGAACAAGATCTACGTGCAATTCTTTTGTGATTATTTGTCAATGCACAACAGGTTTCTGATGATGTCACATTCAGTTCATATAAATCAATTGAAGTGACTTGTCATAGGTGCTGTATGTATAGGAATAATGCTTTGATCTGTACATTTACAACAGGACAGAAATTTGCTTATGACAACATATATCATGTCATTTGTTCAAAAGCTGTCGCAAAAATAGAAAATTAGATATAAGAGAAAACCCTGTCATATGGAACAAGTTATCAGCTTGATTATCGACACTCAGACCAGTGCTGCTACATATATTTAATCATTAATATCTATTTATATACAGGTACACCAGAAATAGCTGGCCTAACACCTGCCCAGGGATTGGAAATCATACGAGGATGTCGAGGCATGAACATTGTCGGAGGTGATCTGGTAGAGGTAATACTGTGTTTATTAACCGGTAATCAATAATCCACTTATTTTACTACTTTTTAGCTGATCATATTATTTTTCTTACCTCACTATAGAGTTTGATATTAAGATCAATAAGCAAGGAAAGTTGAAACAAGATTTGGTTGATATCTTAATATAAAAGGTGTTACCCTATCATGACATGTTTGTTTCCACAGCTTTGATGAGAGTAAGTTGAATGATAGTAACAGGTGTCAGTTTGATCTAAATACATTTTGTAACTATACAGTATAATTTTCTGTCACCAGGTGTCGCCACCGTATGACCCCTTTGGCACCACAGCATTAACAGGAGCTAACCTGCTTTTTGAGATGTTATGTGTTCTTCCGGAATGCAAATATCTGCGTTAAGGAACAGAAATTTGAAGACATCATACTTTATATGAATGGAGAGAGATCACATTGTCATATTACAAACAATACACTTGAAAGTATACTACACAGGTCATTTTCTGGAGGAAAAAATAAGAAATATGGAACAGTATGTAAAATCATGGTTTTCGAGGCAGTCATAATCAAATCAGTATTTTGCATTCTCACAGCATTGAAATTTAATAATGTAAATTTTGTCTGGAGATCTCTTTTGACTTTCAACCGATTCCATTCAAACTTGGTAGGCTAAATAACCATGACCTGAGGTTGAGTTTTCGTGAATGGCAGTATGACTCCATAGATATTCAAAAGAGTTAATGCTCCTTGTTGTTTCTATAATTTAAAATCTTTTCTGTAGATATCTTTCATTTTCCTTTAAATTCTTTTCTTTACATAATATTGGATTTTAAGAAGGTATTCAGGTACATGTATGTCATCTCTCTCTTAATGTAGCACTTTTTGGCTAAGATTGATCGAAGTTTCTATATACATGTACCTTTATTTCAGATAAGATGAATTACTTCTCTACTCGAACCACATAACAGGCTATTGTCAAATTGTCAAATGATATTACCATTGTTAACCAGCTTCTTGATTTTAATACTTTGTGTGTATACATTCTTGCATTGCAAACTTTTATTCAACTTTATGAAATGAAACAAATTATTTATCTAATTCTTTGCCTCAAAATGATAAAAGATCATTTTTTTTTTGTATTCATTTATGAAAATCTCAAGAGTTTCAGCAACTGCTTGAGCCTGTTTTTTGGATGTAATTGGAACCCTCAAATTATTAAGGCTTTTATAATTTGAGTTATATGTGTTTATCTAGTTCTTCAATTTGTATATTACAGTATTACCATAGGTTTACTTTTCAGCATTTTCCTCAGTCATGCAATATCTGCTGTTATTTGTTGGTTAGTATTGATAATTTTGTCATAACATAATATTATTTTCTATATTATTTTATTAAGATTATATAAATATAAATATACAGATTATATATAATGTTATAACATTGTGGTTTGTTGGTAAGCATTGATAATTTTGTCTTTATTATAGAGTATTATTTTATCAATAGTTTTATCAAGATTATATGAATATAAATATCATACAGATTACATATATTGTTATTAATTTGTGATTTGTTGGTAAGCATTGATAATTTTGTCTTTATAAAGTATTGTTTTCTACATAATTTTATCAAGATTATACGGATGTGAAAAATTATATAATTATATTCTTATTACATTGTGATTTGTTGGTAAGCATTGATAATTTTGTCTTTATAAAGTATTGTTTTCTAAATAATTTTATCAAGATTATGTGAATATAATCATTAAACAGATTTTGTTATTGTTATTTTATTGCAATATTTTAGATTAATGCTGATTTTGATATTCTGATTTGCTTGATAAGAAATAAAATGTAGAATGCAATATTTTAAGAGTTGTTTTCTTATCATACCCATCACTGATTGAGAACTACAATCTTGACCAATTCTTTGTTGGTTCTCTCAAGATCTTCATCCGTAGAGTGTCATTGGCTCTTAGGATCTTCCTCAATAGTGTGTTACTGGTTCTCAATACCTTCATCCTTAGTGTGTTACTGGTTCTCAAGGCCTTCATCCTCAGTGTGTTACTGGTTCTGGAGACCTTCAACCTTAGTGTGTTATTGTTCTCATGACCTTCATCCTCAGTGTGTTACCTGTTTTCAAGAGCTTCATCATTTGGAATGTTACTGATTTATTGTAAGTGTGTTACCCCTTCTCAGGATCTTCATCCTCACTCTTTTGCTTAGTACTTAGTACGTTATAATCTGCATAGATAACTGATCTTGGCTAAATCAATTGAGATGGATGGCCAAATGGGCCTGTAAGAAAGAGTTATGCTGCATCTCATGTAGCCTGTTGGCATGTTTGTTCATGTCAGTAATCTGAAATACTGCTGCCTTCCAGCATGTTGTTGCAAGCAGATGATCAAAATCATTGACATACTAATTCGGAAGTCTCATTCTCATACATTTTGCCCATGTGGCCATACTAACAGTTCAAACTTATTATCTATAAACCTGACCGCCATTCATGCTGACATGTTTCTGGCTAATATATATATATCATGATCATAGTTTATTCATATCTGACCCCAATATCCATAAAATTAGGTCAACTTCAAGCATACACACAAACATTAATATAACCCCCTGCCCTTTGTTTATTCAGAACAAATGATTTAAATATTGTTAAGCAATGTATTTGACCCCTTGCAAGTGGATCTAGGTAAATTGGAACAAAGTCTTTATTCTTCATATCCTATTGGTCTTACATCACTGATATGTTACGATATTGATGGACCGCCATGTAGCAGTCTGACGACAGATGATGCACTACAACTTAATTTCCCAGGGCAAGGAAGCTTATATATACCTGTACATCTATTTATTAAACAGTATAACTTGAGTCATGTATAACAATCAACATTTTATTTACTTTTCATCATCACATATATTTATATATATATTTGAACACATGTTTGATATAACAAAAAGGTTTTGGCAGATGCACGTCTGAAGTAAAAATCACAGATTTTTTTTTGAAGATTTGTCAGTATACAAGCAAAACATCGCTTACAATAATAGGTTTGTACAAAACCAAATTTTTGTATTGTTTGTTCAGGTCCAGTTATTTAATTACTGTACTAATTTATACAATCTTGTTTAATGATGATTAACTGATGTGGACCTATTCTGGTAAATACTTCATTAAAAATAAGGAAACTAATTTACATATACACAATAAGTATATTGTATTTGTAAAAAGAAATAAGAGGCAAAAGTAAGAATGATGCTTCATTAAAAGAAAATCAGTGGGTTTTTTTTTAAAAGAAAAAAGTGTAAATCATAGGTACCTGTTAAAACTAGTCAACCTAAAGAGACAACAACATAAATAACTAAATAAACATGTCAAAATCATAACTAAAATGTTACAAAGTGAAAAAAATTTATATAAAGCAAAGTCATATTCCACATAACATCCTTGTACAGTTGAGTTTTCTTTTTGCTTTATTATGTTTTCTTGTTGAGGAACTCTATTGAATCCTATACGGATCCACCAGAGGACACTACCGCAAAGTTCCATAAGAGAAGTGTTGGATCATCCATCATTTATTAAACATAGATCAAATGACATCTGCCTTTAGAGAGTCGACAGAAAATCAAGAAAAAATATCTGGAGATGACTGCATAATGATAAATGAAGGATTAAAGTTTGATTTTGATTCAACTCTATGATCACTTGTTACTTTATAAGTTCTTTTTTATAATATACGAGAGGTCAAATGTACCTGTATCGTTCACCTCCTATTCTATGCTTTTCACAAATACTTCAACATTTTGCATCACTGACATTCAGTTTGGTCAATGAGAAGAAAAATTTGAAGCTTTCATTAAATTTGACCTGTGACCTTTTTGATGGCTTCAGTTCAGTAATCAGATTATTGCCCTAGATTCTAGAAGTTGCTTGAAGATTTACACAAATCTGATTCTGTGACTTAAACGATAGGTAGAAAATTCTTTTCACAAACTTTTTTCCAGCTTCAACAAATGAACTCAACAGTCAAATATAATGCTTCTAAGCCTTTCTTTTCATCTGAAGAGAGAAACTCATTCAAAAAGAAAAAATCACACTTAACTGACACATGGCAGATGCCGCACCATGATATCGGCTCATTTGGGCCCTTTTGGGCCTGATGAGCTAATAACCAATAATAAATATATATGCCATATGTTTCTCGCTTATAGCTGGGTTATTGCACAAACTGTAAATGAATTAAAAGATATATTGCACTTTCAAGGTAAGAAAAAATAAATAAACAACTAGGACAAGTATTTACTCTTTCCAAGAAAGATTACTACTATGTCATTCTCAGCTGCCACTATACACTTCAATATACAAATTGGTATTAAACTTTACAAACTATTCTGTTCAGTAAATAAATTATAATTTTGTGTACACATCTTCGAGATATTTTCATCACATTTTTGCAAATTTTCACTAACTGGAAGATAATATGAAATCCGCTTGGATTTATAAAACTAATATCTTTCTATTTTATAGTTGAGAAGTAACATGGAGTCTTAATTTCATGCATAAATGAATTTTTTTAAAAAGTCAGTTATTTTCATAATGATATTTTTGCTATTTTGCGATTCGTTAACATGATCACAAAATTTCAATTTGTATTAATAGAGTTTATTGGTTTTATAAAACATTTATGAAAATATTGACTATGAAAATTACCAGCTTTACTTTATCTTGAATTTAACTCTTATTTATCCAAAATAAATATGACCTTCCCAAATTGTTTTGATAAAATTCATGATCTTTTACTTATTGATAAGCATTTTCTTTTTCTATCAAAACAAATTAAGTCCATAATTACAGAAGTTTGTATTATAAATATTGTGTCCTTTGTGACAGAAGAGAAAATATAAACCTACTTTGTTATACCACATAAATCTTGTTTAAGACCAAACTTGAAAAAATAAAGAGATGATTTTTCAGAATTTGAAATAAAACTTCTCCAACATAAAATGATATAACTTTGTTAAGTCTTGTGCATCATAAAGTCTCATACAAGTATACATTAATCAAAATCAATGTTTCTTTTAAATTATTACATCTCTAATCTTTGTCATTCCATATCAACATTTTGTTTTAGGTCTGAATGCACATTACACAGAATACAAATTTTCCTGCTCCTATGTTCCTTGCCATTACTTTACTCACTGTTGGGTTAGAAATTTTGACTTTTATTGATTTTTTTTTATCTTGTGACTCTTTTTCATAGGAAATCATGTGTTTCTTTTCAAAAGGGAGCAAGTTACCTCTCCTCTGTTGTGTTATCACTGTCATTCATTATCAATACATATTGTTCTGTTCTTAGAATCTTGAGATAGTTATCCACATAAAAAACGGTATCCTCAATGTCTACCATATCTTTAATATCTACCATATTGAGTAAAGGAATTTATGTCAATTTCTCATTTATATTTTGAGAATTTGGAAAAAATCTCCTATAGTTCCAGTTTAAGATGCAATTTAATATAGATTCAGGAAAGCTTTTATTTAGTCTATATCTAGTTGTGGGAACCCCCCTAGCTGATCTTTCCACCATGATTGTACATTGTTAGAAACATTTTCTCCAATTAAGACAGTTTCCATGACTTTTTCCTGCATTGGGGAAACATCCTCCGGAGCAGTCTCTGTCACCTGATTAAGATTAACTCCTAGGGTCTTAGCTCCTGTAAAAAGCAAATTGTTTACTCACAGATTGTTATTCTAATAAGGTTTTTTGGGCCACAAATAATATCACACAAAATGTTAGAAAAAAACAAACATAAAAAACCATTTCAAAATATGATAAAGATTAGTATATGTGTCAGATTGCAATTCTTAACTCCTTTTCTGAAGTTGATTTAGAAAATCTACATTAGACTGCGACTTACACCCATGTTGAAATTTCATTACAAGAGTTTGGATCACCTTAAATATATACACAACATGTACCTCAGTCCAAAAAGCAAATGTATTTTTTGCGCATCTTTATAATCAAACTATAAAAATATATTTGATAAAGACACACACAATTTAGTATCAGTCTAGATTACTGACTTTACTTCACTTCTTAGCTGTGACACTACAAATCACTTCATTATTGATTTGAGATGCCACTATCGCAAACCAAATGAGGCAATCAGATATATCTTTCCAGAACCAGTAAACATATAAAGCTATTCTGGTCTGGTGGATAATATCATATATAATCAAAAAACCAAAGGCAAAGTACAATCCTTAGTTATTTCTGTAAATGAAGAAGACCTGAACGACTACCTATTTTTAATTTCAGACTTGAAACCGCTGGTCTTTAGAAACATGTTTTTAAAGCAAAATTACTTTTTTAAGTATATTGAAAATCCAACATGAGGGAATAATTTAGTGTTCAACCATTATTTCTCAAAGTTGTACAGTCCCAACGGTTTTAACTATTTATCTACAACTGCTCTTTTCGTCTTGGTCACAGAGGATTATCAGAATTCCTCCCTCTATGAAAACAAAGGATTTTAACCACCCATGCACATTTCGGCAATCAGTCAATGTTTCATATAGTTTACAACATGCATAGGTCACTAAAATCCTGTACTTATGTGTGGATGGAAAAAATAATGAACAGAATGGGAAAAAAAGTAGTTTACAACAGCACTATGCCTAAAAGCCTATTCATGAATAGGTCACTAAAATCCTGTGCTTTCATAAAAGGAGGATTCAGACTATCATAAACCTACCAATGTCTGTATCGTCAGAAATGACTAGTAGAAAGCTAGGTAATCACAACGTGTAGAGGAGAAAACAATAATATACAAACCTGTAGAGATTCTGGTGCTGCGTTTCTTAAGACCAGGCCTATCTTTGTCCACGCGGGAGAGTCCATCTCCTAATGAAGGGTTTAGGTACTTTCTGACAAAAGAGCCCTGAGGGGAGAGGGGTGGGGGCTGCACTAAGATATTTGGAGGCTGCAGCTCAACTGTTCCCTTCTTCCTGGTTCGTGGTAGAGTTGGACCCTCATCCTTACTTTCCTCACTACTATCTGCAGCACTGGACGGCTGCTCAGTTACTGTAAACAATGGCTCATTGGTTGCCCGCAGGTTGGTCAGAATGTTGGAATGTTCTTTCTGTAAGTTCAGCAATAAATCTGCATTAACTGAATACGATTACAGGTATAGATTTTGTTTATGTAATTGAATTCCACCGTGGTATCCTAAGCAATTTTTCGCAGAAATGATTAAAACAATTAAATATTTCTATCCTGATAATTAAGAAATCAAGACTATAATTTATACAACACTCTAATAATCCCATTAAAATGGTCTTGAATGTTTGGTTTTGTAATGAATTCTACTTTTCACATAACTTTCTTTGGCCAAACCCTAATTTAATTCTTTATATGTCAAATGAGATTTGCATAGCGAGAGGTTACAAGAAGGGTATTTTATTTATTACATAATAAACATAAGCATATATAACATAATTTTAAAATTTTTATTTTTTGTTTTTTTTTCAAATGACTGTTTAAGATCCTGCAATAAACCCAGGGGACATCACATCTGTCTTGAGTCAGGATGTTGGCTAATTCCACGAAAGTAATACATCATTGTGTAATTTCAATGAATAGAAATATATATGGGTGGGCTTATTACCAGATACAGGTTTGTTGACAAATAGATGTTGTATATAGTGTGCTACATAGATATGTAGAACACATACCGCCCTTATCCTTTTAAGACACTTGTCCAGCCAGTTCCTGATGGTCTGTTTGGCCACTTCCTCCTCTATAGTACACTCAAGCTCCTGTCTCGCCAGTAATTCTTCCAGCTGAAGACTTTTACTGATATCCACTGACCGATATGCCAGCATGCTGTGAAATATTTAATATTAGTTTACTCATGAATTCTTAATTATTCTGAAATAAGCCAATGAATTCAACACATTATTTCTTAGTAAAGTCAGGACGTGGGCTTATTACAATGATATAGCTTTAGTTCGGTTTGGAATGGACGGCAATCAGAAATTATTTTTGTCTTTATGCTTCCATGGTAACAGAAAATGTAGGAAAAATAGGTTAACTTCTGGCACATGTGCAAAGTTTCATGTTACCATGAATGGTTTTAGAGCTACAGCCCAAAATACACAAAATTTGACCTTTTCCCAGGATAGAAGAAAATGTTTTGAAATTTACAACATTTCTTTATAACTTAACTAGAATCATTACATAATTTAATAAGAGTACAAAGTGATGGGTAGTTATTCTTAACACTTTTGGAATCCTGCTCTACAAAAAGTATAACAACTCAGGACTGATATTGAACTTGGTTAGGATCTTGATATAAAAAACAATGACTGAATGACACAAAAATAAGCCCACCTTTACACATAGAGTAAAATACTCACTTCAGAACATCATGAAATGTGACCTCAGCTCCACCATGTTGTCTTTCCAACTCATAACACATGTGTTTGAACAGAAGTCGGTCCTTTTCGAGGTCTACTTCTAAACGACCCCTAAGTAACCGTAGTAACAGTCTCACCTTCCTTACAGATATAACACCCTGGAAACATCAACACTCATCATTACTACTCCCAGTATTAGATATAACACACTGGAATGTATAATTAATAGCATCAATAACTTCAGACATAAACATGTACATGAGAGTGAAAAGCACCTTTTGATAACAATTTAGAATTACTAAACCATACAGCTGTTTAGGCCTACTAAGGACTCATCACTAGTGAAATGTAAAGGTTTGAATCATTGAAACCTAGGAAATGGTAGAAAACTTCAATTGGTCACAATCAATGTCAAAATCTAGATGGGGAGGTGCGCTAACACCGGAATTCATGAATTATCATCATTATGAATAATGAATATTTTCAATGGAAAATCAAATGCATTTGTATTAGCAAGCCTTACCAGGTTTTCAATAGATAAAAAAGCATGATGTGCAAGCTATGATGCAAACTTAAGAGACCGAAGGTCATCATCAATGTATACCTTACACACTTAAACACAATATGCCATTGATCCAAATCAAAATATTATCAGATGACCTAAACACCCTTACAGTTCTCTTAGTTCAGCGAAAATGCACAGTAATTTTAATTATATTACAGTGTGTCGTCACGGAACTAAGAGAACTGCTTGGAGTATGATATTATTCCTAAATAAATGCTAGACTTACCTTCCTGCTGATGTCGACGAGATTCCAGGTGTTCTGAAAGTGTCGGATGTCACTGTAACTGAGCAGGGCATCCTCCTCGTTAGAGTAGAAGAGAGAGAAGTTCTCCATGATGATAGCTATAAGGAACACAACCCAATACAAATTAATGGTCCATCATTCACTGTATAGATGTTAAATTTTGGCTATTATCAACAATTGTCCATATTTGGGCGCATATTTTGCACATGTCATCACAGTGGTATCCATGTATACATGCATATAACACACATTATCTTAGATTTTTATTTCATTGTTGATATTTTGTTGGATTAATTCATTTCAGCCTATTTATAGAGACTGTGAATGTTGCGAAATTTCATCCCCTACATATAGCAATATCTTATGTCTATAACCTACAGTAAATATAACTGCTACACAACAGGGCTTGACTCTGGAAGTCTATATCCATGAAACACAAGAGTATAAAGTCTGCCCTCATGTAACAACAAGAGTGCAAAGTTCAAACTTGTGAACTATGTAGGACACTAAATGCAAAATCATTAATTATCCTCTGTATCTTTTACAATGTTGAATTATCAAATAAAATTAGGAAAACTTACCAACAAGCAGGTTCAGGACGATGTAGGTGATGATGATATAGAAGGAGCAGAAGTAGAGCAAAGAGGCCGTAAAGTTTCCACAATCTGTCTGCCAATAATTCTCACCAGGGTCAGCCAGTGTACAGAACGGAGGACTCACCTACCACAGAGTACACACAATTCAGCCAATATATATAAGGTTTTAAAAAACAATTTCCTTCACTGTTCAAATCTGCATTAAGCTATTAGTATATGAAGGACTTTTCTTATTTTGGCATATCCTTCACATTTAGAAATCTGTTTTAAGTTTAGTCTAGGACAAGATGCTAATTCGGCATCATGGAAAATGATCTGGAGATGTAAACTTACCATACAGTCATGCATAATTTTATTCCAGTCTTCCCCTGTGACAATCCTGAACAGCAGAGCTATAGCATTGGAGGAGGTTCCAAATGTGGCATGCCTGTAACAGGAGGGTTATAGTTCTCATCATAATCTACAGTATAACAGGAGGGTCATAGTTCTAATCATGATCTATAGTGTAACAGGAGGGTCATAGTTCTAATCATGATCTACAGTGTAACAGGAGGGTTATAGTTCTCATCATGATCTATTGTGTAACAGGAGGGTCAAAGTTCTCATCATGATCTATAGTGTAACAGGAGGGTCATAGTTCTAATCATGATCTATCATGTAACAGGAGGGTTATAGTTCTAATCCTGATCTATCATGTAACAGGAGGGTTATAGTTCTAATCATGATCTACAGTGTAAAAGGAGGGTCATAGTTCTAATCATGATCTATCATGTAACAGGAGGGTCATAGTTCTAATCCTGATCTACATTGTAACAGGAGGGCCATAGTTCTAATCATGATCTATCATGTAACAGGAGGGTCATAGTTTTAATCATGATCTACATTGTAACAGGAGGGCCATAGTTCTAATCATGATCTATCATGTAACAGGAGGGTTATAGTTCTAATCCTGATCTACATTGTAACAGGAGGGTTATAGTTCTAATCATGATCTACATTGTAACAGGAGGGTCATAGTTCTCATCATGATCTATCATGTAACAGGAGGGTTATAGTTCTAATCATGATCTACATTGTAACAGGAGGGTCATAGTTCTCATCATGATCTATCATGTAACAGGAGGGTTATAGTTCTAATCATGATCTACATTGTAACAGGAGGGTTATAGTTCTAATCATGATCTACATTGTAACAGGAGGGTTATAGTTCTAATCATGATCTACATTGTAACAGGAGGGTCATAGTTCTCATCATGATCTATCATGTAACAGGAGGGTTATAGTTCTAATCATGATCTACATTGTAACAGGAGGGTCATAGTTCTCATCATGATCTATCATGTAACAGGAGGGTCATAGTTCTAATCATGATCTACATTGTAACAGGAGGGTCATAGTTCTCATCATGATCTATCATGTAACAGGAGGGTCATAGTTCTAATCATGATCTACATTGTAACAGGAGGGTTATAGTTCTAATCCTGATCTACATTGTAACAGGAGGGTTATAGTTCTAATCATGATCTACAGTGTAACAGGAGGGTTATAGTTCTAATCATGATCTACAGTGTAACAGGAGGGTTATAGTTCTAATCATGATCTACATTGTAACAGGAGGGTTATAGTTCTAATCCTGATCTACATTGTAACAGGAGGGCCATAGTTCTAATCATGATCTATCATGTAACAGGAGGGTCATAGTTCTAATCATGATCTACATTGTAACAGGAGGGTCATAGTTCTCATCATGATCTATCATGTAACAGGAGGGTCATAGTTCTAATCATGATCTACATTGTAACAGGAGGGCCATAGTTCTAATCATGATCTACATTGTAACAGGAGGGTTATAGTTCTAATCATGATCTACATTGTAACAGGAGGGCCATAGTTCTAATCATGATCTACATTGTAACAGGCGGGTCATAGTTCTCATCATGATCTACCGTGTAACAGGAGGGTCATAGTTCTAATCATGATCTATTGTGTAATAGAAGGGTTATAGTTCTAATCATGATCTACAGTGTAACAGGAGGGTCATAGTTCTCATCATGATCTATCATGTAACAGGAGGGTCATAGTTCTAATCCTGATCTACAGTGTAACGGGAGGGTCATAGTTCTAATCCTGATCTACAGTGTAACAGGAGGGTCATAGTTCTCATCATGATCTACAGTATAACAGGAGGGTCATAGTTCTCATCATGATCTATTGTGTAACAGGAGGGTCATAGTTCTCATCATGATCTACAGTGTAACAAGAGGGTCATAGTTCTCATCATGATCTACCGTGTAACAGGAGGGTCATAGTTCTATTCATGATCTACAGTGTAACAGGAGGGTCATAGTTCTCATACCTACCTATGTCACATCAAAGAAAAGAAACAAGACCAATTGTTTCATGAACTGTGCATTACAAATTACAATTTGAATCTAGGATTCATAAATGTTTCAAAGAATGATCAGGAATATAGAGTGATATATGCTCAGACGACATTAAGATCAGCGAGAAGGCACTTAAGTGACAAATGGTAGAGCATGATAAGCAATGAATGGTGGCCACAAGATGGTAAGCTAATGTTATCACAACTGACGACAAACTATAAAATAAAAGGTTCTTAGTTACCTTCCAAGGTCGTGGCCATGTTTAACAGTGCCAAATAGAATAACACCAGCATATGCATAGAACATCATCAGGATGAACATTCCCATGATGATAAAGAAACTCTTAAACACGGACATCACCACTGTCTGCATCAGCATCTTCAACGTAGCCTGACGATAAAAATTCTTTAGTTATAAACTTTATCATCAGCATCTTCAACGTAGCCTGACGATAAAAATTTTTTAGTTATAAACTTTATCATCAGCATCTTCAACGTAGCCTGATGATACAAATTTTTTAGTTATAAACTTTATCATCAGCATCTTCAACGTAGCCTGATGATACAAATTCTTTAACTATAAACTTTATCATTTTACAACAAATATGAAACAAGTTCTACATTAACCTCTTGCTCTTCTTATTAGGAAGAGAACCAAAGTGTCCTGAGAAAACACACATGGTTGAGTAAGTTACACACTTACTATCCATGATTAGTGGGAGAATTGAATGTTGGGATGGTGTCAGCTGACTATCTTTTCATATCTGTTATATTCAGTGATTGACTTCTAGAAATCAGCGTTGACTGTAAGGTTTTCAATTTAAAACAATAGTTCAACCTTACAAGTGATGTGACAATGAATATCAGAGAAAGTGAAGTTTTGAATATTCTTCATGTTCTAGTTCAATTGAAAGTTCTCATCCAAGTTATTATGTTAACGATAAGTATTCTCAACAATATGCAACCCTTACTCAAAATACTGTATTTATCGGTAACTGGATATGAGCTCATGTGTGGTGTTGCAGTAGAAATGACACAAATTCAGAGAATAATCTCTGTTCTGTTATAAGTTTACAATTTGGCTTAGGTTCAGAAACTGTGTGGGGCTACAGGATAAGTACAATAGTATAATGAATTAGACCCAGATCTGTTTGAATCTAAAACTACTTACATGTTTGCCAGTAATGGTAAAGAACCGCAGAACTATCACGATAAAGCCAAAGGAATGAGTTTGATCATTCTGAAAATTAAAACATAATTTATGAATTAGATATTGAGACAAATACACAAATTAGATTTAAAGACAAGCTTGTATGTCATTTGCCAAGCAATTAAGCCTCACTTACCCCTATAGTAAAATTGAGGATGATCCAGACGAGCCCCAGCAGGGTGACAAACATATCAAATCTGTTTCTACGACTTGTCCAGTAACCCAATGGTGAAAGGGCTATCATCTTCATCACCACCTAAAAGCAGTTCATTTTTTAAAAATTGCTTACAAAAAATTCTAGCATTTCAAATGAAAAAAAGCAGAGATTAACAATCACCTAGGTGATTTCTCAAAACGGAATGCTTTCTCTGATGCTATTTTCATGATTTGCTGTCTACTGTTTTCTCACCATACAACATAAGTAAATTTGAATTCTAGGAAATCTTACATACTAATTATCTACATCAGAAGTTTTCTTATTCTAAAAATACTCAATAATTCAAAATATCCCATTTAACACCATATCTAGAAATCCGCATCAACAACACTTAACTTTATTATGCTACCAGGTGACAATGAAACCTTGAAAATCATGAAGCATTGATCTTATAACTTTACATTGAATTTTTGAAAATTTTATGTTAATTGTGAATGAAATTTGAATTAACTGATAAAAATCACACTTAGTTGCATCAACAGGATGGTACAGGTGATGTTATTACTGCTGAAATCAACAAAGCCAAACAACACTTGAATGGTTTAGATGATAAAGATGTAGTACACTTACTTCACAGAAGAACATCATAGTGAATATAGCAGATACAGTAGCTAAGGCATATGTTGTTGGCATATTGGATTCCTTCCACTGAAAAACAACCATAACATAACTTAACTGAGTTTTATGTATCAAAGTAACTTAACTGAGTTTTATGTATCAAAGTAACTTAACTGAGTTTTATGTATCAAAGTAACTTAACTGAGTTTTATGTATCAAAGTAACTTAACTGAGTTTTATGTATCAAAGTAACTTAACTGAGTTTTATGTATCAAAGTAACTTAACTGAGTTTTATGTATCAAAGTAACTTAACTGAGTTTCATATCCGTTGGTAACTTTAATGAGTAAATTGTCCTATTGTAACTTAACTAAAATATATGTTCTATGGTAACTTAACTAAAATATATGTTCGATGGTAACTAAACTGAGTAATATGTTCCATGGTAACTAAAATGAGTAATATGTTCCATAGTAACTAAAATGAGTAATATGTTCCTTGGTAACTAAACTGAGTAATATGTTCCATAGTAACTAAACTGAGTAATATGTTCCATAGTAACTAAAATGAGTAATATGTTCCTTGGTAACTAAACTATGTTCCATAGTAATATGTTATGTTCCATAGTAACTAAAATGAGTAATATGTTCCTTAGTAACTAAAATGAGTAATATGTTCCTTGGTAACTAAACTGAGTAATATGTTCCATGGTAACTAAAATGAGTAATATGTTCCTTGGTAACTTTACTGAGTTATTGTGCTATGTCAATTTACAGAGCTATTGTTTCATGGTAACTTGGCTGAGCTACATGATAACTACTAAGCTATCATATTATGGTAACTTAACTGTGCTATGGTGTCATGGTAACTTTATTGAGCTATTGTGCCTTGATGGTAGCTGTACAAAGCCTTCATACAGAGAATAATTACCTATGAATGGTATTAATAGGGACTTGAAATAAGTGGCCCTCAAAGACCCAAAAATATATTTTATATAGAGTTGGGGTATGAGGCAGGCTTGACTATAGTTTTATATTAGTACTACAAGGATATTTGATGGTAGCCTACACAAAAGACACTTACTGGCACTGCTAGGAGGCTGCAGTTGAGGAGAACCAAAAGAACAGTGGCTCGCTTGAACATGGTGTCTTGTGTGATATCATACATCTTAGCTCGGAGACCAGCGGCATCTAGAGAAGAAACACTCCATCATTATTAAAGTAACAGGCATGGGAAAATGTCATGGATTTGTGTAAGTACAAGATGATTCATGATCTCAAAGTTTCCTGAGAAACACCAAATTAAACCTGGCCCTGGTAAAGATAAAACCATACATCTCAGGCCCTGATCTTAGACTAAAATGACTGATGATGTACCAAATAATCTATCATGGAGTTATACTAGCAGAATTATAATCATCAAATATTCTTCAATTTTATATTGATAATAAATCAAATACTCAAATGCATGATCTTTTACACAATATTTTTTAAATGACCATTTCTCTGTGTTTTGAAGGGATTACCTGGTTTAGGAGGTATGTGGAGGGGCTGGGCTAACTTGATTCTGCCTTTGAGATCCAGCCATCTTCTCTGGTCAACAGTCAATAAGGCAGTTCCCTGTTAAACAAGATTTACACATCATACTAAGAACATGAGATTGGAAACTAGTACTCAGATGTAAGAGATGTTTGTAAGGTGTCAATACTATTCTGTCTATTTCTGTGTTATCTTCAAAACATACAAACTGTGTGATCTTTTAAGCAATAAAACCTAAATCCAATTTAAACGCACATATTTAAAGAACCAAAAAAGTCAACTCTTACTAAGCAGCTGGCAGCAACTTGTATTATGAGGTTACCATGGATTGTGTGTCGAAATTATCACAGACATTTACACTTGATATTACAACTGATTTCATCTAGAAGATATATCCCAAACAAACTTTTATTTGATAGAGGTCAAAGGTCAAAATTTAGTTAAGAGTGACTAACTTTCAATGCATGACACACTGCCTCCTCAAGGTGAACCAATACCCAAAGTATGAAGTTCCAGTGCCTAGTATTGTTGGAGATAGAGCTCGAATAAAATTTTCTTTAATGTAGGTCAAATGTCAAAAAGGAAGTCAGAGGGACCTTATTTGATGCATGACACACAGCTTCAACAGAGTGAACCCATACCCAAATATAAAGACAAGTTGTGTAGAAGGACAAGTGGACACATGCAAAAATCTAAGCTCTCCTCAGTTCCTGGTGGGGGACTTACTAGTACTGACCTTACTTATAAACTAGTACTGACCTTATTTTCACTGTAGTTGGCTATGACCACACCTACAAACAGTGTCAGACCAATCATATAGCCGATGAATACAAACACGTGTACATAGATAGCATGGACCTGAAAACAAAAATAATAATTACTACAACAGACACTAGTACCATATACAAAATCTAAATACCATACAGAACTTAACTTCATTCCAGCACAGATTGGTTCAAAGTTCATGGCCTACTTTGGGCCCTTACCATTTCCCATTCAATAACATATGCTGATTACAACAGTGATGTGTGTCCAACTCATAACATATGTGTGATGGTTTGATCAAACAAAATTTCTGGTTGAGCTATAATAGTTTCTTGTTACTCTACATATGTGCATTAAAGGCTATAAAAGTGAGTTTGGCTATAGTCAGACTTAGATCACTTCATTCCTGTAGTAGAGCATGCATATAATCTATAAACATTTTGTGATAAACTTTTTCTTCTTTTGAATACTTTTGATGCTAAAATTAACTCAATAATATAACAACAAAAATAAAAGCTTTGAAGTTTCCATCAAAATATTTAAGATGTTACAGAACTCCAATTTCAATGAGAACTTCTCAACAATTTTTAAAACATAAAAAAAATGATTTTCTTATAAAACTTTAAAGTATTCAAAATGATAATGACAAAAGTGACAAACCGTGCCAACTCGTTCAATGATTACATCCCTCACTTCTAGCCATCCCTCTAACGACAGCACCTCAAACAGGGCTAACATGGCATTACCAATGTTGTCAAAGTTAAAATTATAGGGATTTGTCCTGAAAGTTGAACACAAACATCATTATATCACTTGTGATATCTTTTGACAAAATTTTATTCATCATTTTATAAAGTAACATGATAGTTTTTCTCAAAATGGAATGAATGACCTATAAAATGCATACATCTTAGAAAACTAGGTTTAATTTTTCACAAATTGGAATTAAATTCAAAATTCTTATAGATAATCAAGAATGTAAAACAGAAAATCACACATAGAAACACTAACTGTTAAAAGTTCTGTAAAGTCTTTGTGTCTTGGTATAATTCAACACAAAAACTATGATATGGGTGCATAAACAAATTATCAATTCATGTATAAGATTTTTTAATACTTAAATCATGCAATAATTAAACTTTTTTTAAATTTCGTAAACTGTGGACCCTTACCATGTCCTAGGGACATAAAAACCTGGCTGTTCGTTCTTAAAGACCTTCACCTTCATCTTGGTCACATACACCTGATTTAGGAAGATTCCAGTACAATTCTCCTGTCAGATAAAACAACCAAATAGTGATTAGGCATATACAATTGATAAAGAGTAGAAAAAGGGCGATAACTCTGTAAATATTACATTTTTACATTCACACCTATTAATAACATAGTGTGATTAAGCCAAGCATATTTAATTCATAGCAGGAATAAATCTAACAACAATCTTGAATATAACTGTCCAACTGTTTTACAGAATTTTGCTGAAAATAAATCTTTAGATTTTTTTTGTTTTTTTTTTGGGCAAAATGAGAAAGCAACTTATACAATGTAGTGTTACTGTAAGGTTAACAATAACATCAGTAAAACAACATGTCTCTGAAGTAACCACATATTTAAGTGTTACTGTAATAAAATACAATGCTAATAGTTAAAACTGATTCAATCTTGTACTTGTATATCTTCTTTCTTCTACTACTTCTTCGTCAATACGTACCCTTGTTAAAATGGCAGGATCATTACACCTTGCTAAACGACCGCCCAACAGATGAACACCAAAGGTAGCAAACAAAAACATAAGGACTATCAGCAGAACAGATACCTATGGACAGAATCAAAGATATCTTAATATTGCTGGTCCAAAATTATAATAATATATATAATATAATTATATACATATATAAGATTATGCTAATATCTCATTTCAGTGGACGGTTTGATTTTTTACGTCATAATACAGAATCACTCAATAACATATCAGATCAGTGATAAAAACAGAATTTGATGTTTTAATTGACCATTACTACCAATTAAAAGACTGACAATTAATTCATAACTGATCACCAACCTAATCAACTAAAATATAAATAGAAGTAAACAATGAAATATTTTGTAAGTTTTCCTTTATTATATACCATGTTAACTAACTCATCATCCTTAGTTTGAGTGTTGGTTAATTATCCCTGGTCATGGATACTATAACAACGTCTCATCAATTTTTATCATTATTATTGGAAATTCAGAAGACAATTAAAATGTATAGAAGCTATGAAAGTTCTCCTGCTAGCAAAACCTTAAAAATAAAGCATACATAGAAAACTGTATTGATTTATCAGTAATTAAACAATCTATTACATATGATAGTATTTACCAATAGAATTTCCTTAAATCCCCTGACAAGCTCATATACCACCATCCTCATATGTGGTACGAGTACAAAGATGCGGAGTGGACGGAGACAGCGTAGAATCATAAACACCTGGGCTAGAGAAATGGGAGGGACTTCTTGTGGCATCCAGCAAACAAAGATTACACTCACCTGTAAACATTGAGAAGGCAACAACAGCTATAGGTACCTCAAAACTGTTTCCAAATTACTTATCCACTGTAGGTTTTGTATTGTGGAGTAATTCTTTTTTAACTTTTTTTTCAACAAGTGGTTAATATGAGATACAATATCATGAATAGTTCATTAAACAATTATCCATAAAACAGTGTCACTAACTTTTAATGAGAAGACTTGGATTGATGAATAGGAAACATAATCATACATGATTTGTCTACTTCATGGACAGATTTGAAATACAGTGATAGTAAACTGAACAACCTGGATGTCAAATGAGGACCAGTTTGGAAAAGTCACAGACTCTCTTTCACAGAATAGGTGAGTATTAGACTTCGGTCAAAGATAAAGAGAGCACCTAACTTTCCAATGCAGAGCGAGTCTCATGCTTTTTGTCAGAGAGAAAAAGGGTATCTGCTTTTTTTTACAGAATTGTCAGTGCAAGGACTTTTATCACTGAGAAAGTGAGATACTAGGCTTTCTGCTGCAGAGTACATTAGTCAAATGCTTTCTGTCATTGAGTAAGTGAGTACCAGTGTTTCTTTTAAAATGAGTACCAGATTTCCTGTCATTTAACATGTACTTATCTATCTGCCAGAATGAGTACCCATCTGTCTGTTATGGTATAAGTGAGAACCAGGTATTCAGTCTTGAGCCAACAAGTCACAAGTCTTAACAAGTACAGTGTATAAGTTTAGAGGAAATAAAACTGTACTTACTGAGTATATAAAAAGGTCAAGAATGCCACCAAAGTCCTTGATTACAGCCTTGGGTGTGAAGAAGAACCCATTGGCAAGAACCTTCAGGCCCATCTCTAGACTCATACAGATCACAAAGAAATATTCTGTCACCTGTGTTAACATATAAAACATCATACAGATCACAAAGAAATATTCTGTCACCTGAGTTAACAAATAAAACATCATTATATCATTAAAGGTGTAGGAAGGAAAGAATTTGCATGATTTTCAAGGTCTTTTCTTTTTCTTATTTTTTTTGTTCTTCAGAGGATCATATTGGGATTTTGCTTACGCAATATGTATATAATTTGGTTGCCAATACATAGACCTACATCTGACAAGAATTTTTCATTAAGAATACTTACCTTCAGACTGAGGTGGTCCATTAGTCGGAAGAAAGGCGTCTCAAACATCATAGAAATACAGGACATGATGGTGACCATGATCATAACCCAGTCAAGGTAGGTCACCAGACCCAGCAACTTACTGTAACAAGAGGAAAGTCAAGCTAAATACTACTGGTAAGTCAGGGTGAAAACTGAAGGTGAATTACACCTAGAACTACAAGTCAAATCAAATACTGTAATTACATTTGTAAGTCAGGCCATATACTACAGGTAAGTAAGGCTGCATACGACAGGTTAATCAATGAAAATATGAAAGATAATTCAAGCTAAATAGTCAAAGGTTGAAATTTTGAATTTATGATTGCTATATATTATTTTATATTGTCACAGAAAAATTCTACTTTGTATCACAATATGAAAATATCCATTCTTCTGATGAGACAAATTACAACGTATTCATATAAACATCTTTATTCAGTGTCACTGTTTTTACATCTTGGAAACACTTTTGCTACATACATTGTCTGCTAACAACTTACGCATCCATTATCTGATTACTTACTGTATACGTTTGTACTTGCTGTTTATATCCTTGCCAGTGACTGGGTCTCTCAACATGTAGTTATATTTGGCATTAACTATCACCTGACAAATTTTTCTGAACCGAGTTTCCCTCCCAACAGCAAACAGAGGCGTATCAAAAAATGGATGGTTCTCTCTGAGGTCCTCTTCCTGTTGATTCCTACACAAGTTAGCAGAAAATGACAATGATCACTAAGTCAGTTATATACAGTAAAGAATGCCAACAAATGATCTGTTTATTACAAAGCCAGCCTTGTTATGAATTACTGTCTGGTAAAAACACGCTTGATGTTTATTTCTGCGAGGGCGGATTGTTGTTGTGAATTTCATAATCTTAAAAGACAGACTGTAAGAACCTGTTTATATGTAATGTATGCTGTGATATATATTTCATACTTTAAAAATTCATGTTGGGGGTGAAATTTATGCAGTGAAATGACTTCCATGTATTTAGTGTAAATTTTCCCCATGTGAAAATTTCCACATTTACACTAACTTCATTGCATCAAGACAGAAGATAGAAGGCTGTATGAAGAACAGAATACAAAAATATAAAAAAAAATACAAAATATTTAAAACTGTCAATGCAAAGCATAATAACTGTTATCAAAGTTTCCACCACACCTTTTGATTTCTGCCTGTTGTTTTTTCTGCTGCCACACCTTGATATCAAATTCATCATTTCTTCGATTTACAATGTGAGCAACACCATAGTGTAAATCACCATTTTCTTTAACGGTTCCTGGACTTTTGGTGCTTGTTCTCAAACTGCCTGGACGAGATCCTCTCATACTCCTGATGGATGAAATAAAATTTGTCAGATATCACAGTAACAATGATATATTAAGGCCTTGTAATCTACGATATTATAGTTTTCTTTCTAAAATGTTCACTCATTTCTGTTTATTTTATAAAAAAAAAAAAACAATACAACTTCCAATCAGCTTTGTTTTCCCAAATTTCAAATTGTAATACACTGTTATATTTCATAACTCAAAACTGTAATACTATGAAATGAACACAAAGCTAATGTTGTATCAGACTAAATTAGCCAGATAAACCAATATAGAATATCTGGGAAATCATTAAATATAGAAATTTTCTGCAGTAACATTTCTTACATGATACACTTTTACTTTATGTAGTTACCATACTGATTTTATATAGTGTCCTATCAGTTATTATAATAACATACTGGAAAGTGAAAGTAGGGGATGGGAACTTATTTAGGATAAAGTTAGGGAAGTAGGTAATCATCACCACAGATTAGAATGTGAACGTCCATTAGTCGAGTGTTGACAGGGGATAACAAATTGGATATTTTTGTTGCAATAAAGCATATCTATGGAGTTGCCAGTAAATGCAATATGAAACAATACATATATATTGTCAACTTGATGAGATTATCAAGCAAACGTTTTCAATTAAATACATTAATAACTAATTCTGCCATGAAAGACAATGGTTCTATGTGAAGTATCTATATATGATACTCTTGAGTGTAAGATTCTCTAGTGAATACTTTGTGTACCCGGGTATTGTCATGTTGAAAATTTACTTCTTTTATTTTTTTTTTTAAATATTTTTTAGTTTAGATTTTTTTCATGGCCATAAATGTATATATCTACATATGAAATGTACAAATAGCAATTCAACTCAAAGTCATCTTTCTGAAAGATGACATATATGACAATATATCTATGATTTAAAGAAATCAAATGTACCATTACATTCTGTATATGTGAGAGGGTGCATTCCTGTTCTGTGTAGCTCATGATCCTTTACTATCAGTTTCAAAATGGTTAAACACAAAGTAAATCCACAAAAAACAATTATTTCTAATTTTCAGGCACACACAATCTTGAGATTCAGTCATGCTAGTTAGTTTTCACGTTACAAAAATTATGCTTTCCTCTAAAAACAAAAACCCTTTCTACATGCAATTTTTTTTCCCAACCAATTCAGACCCTATCTACTTAGTCTATATATATTACTATAATGATAAATAATATCATATTAATTCATATGTAAACTTTCAAGCTGCCAATAAATTTTATTTTAGACAGGTCAACAAGTTCAAAAGCTTTTGCAACGCAGTGATCCTATTGTAACAGATCTTTTCAGCTTAGTTTTGGCAAAATAGTAAACATGGTTGTGGTGGATTGGGGTGTCGGTCACTTGTTGAGTGTAGATTTTCATCGGTACACAGTAAGGATATTTCAGCAACGATTTGGCAATATCAAACACTCAGTGACCTCTTTCATGCTCTGCCTTGCAGTCAGTCCCTTTTTGGGGTCTTTCACTTGCTGTATATAAGAATCTCATCTCCACTTTGTATGGATCATTTCAGCCATGTTTTGGCAAACATGCGAAAATTAAATTCAGAAAAGCTGAGTTAAGCTAAACGCCTACTGATATGATCACTACAATTAAATAGATAAAAATGTTTTAATTTTGATTGAACGACTCTCTTCACCCTTAATATTGAAGCATTCTAACCTGATAAAGCTGTACATAGTGACTGTATGTAGGCAACTCTAACAATCCATGCAAGTAAAATCTTTACACAATGCAATACTGTATTAAAATTAATCATAGATTTCAAAATTGTCTGCTCTACTAAACCAGGAGAAAATAGAGTACCAAAACTTAGAAATTATTCATCAATCATTTCTCAGAGAATTACTCAATTCTTTTTTTATATCAGTTTTATATCTGGCTTCATTACCCATTATGAACGATTATTACTGATTGGTAAAGGACAATACGAACACCTGACAATCAATGATACTATACATAATTATGTTTCTCTAAATAAATATTTAGAGTTTTTATACATAAGTTAATTGGAGGTTTGATATCTTGTTTTTACACATGCTATTTCCATTTACATGTACATTGTTTATATTAAATACTTCAGCTTGTGTCAGTAGAGGTAGGGAGGGGAAGGAACAGTTAAAAGTAGCATTATGACCAAGAGAATCAAACACAAATCTAAAATTGGACCATATTCACGTTTTGGGATAAAGTCTGAAAATAAAATATAAAACCTTAAAGTTTTCCTGACGCAGTAATAGCAGAGTAAGAAAGGGAAATTTGTGATTTTCATTATGTATTACAAGTAAAATGGTTTTGTATTTGGGAAAAACAGAATTTCCAGAATTTGATTGTAAATATCAATATGCCTAAGTTTTAGCAAGAATATACCTTCTTTATGATTATTGTTTTACATTGTGTGAACAAATGAAATAATCTCAAGCAAAACACCAGAAAAATTGCTTACAAAATTAATACACCAAACAAAGCAGAATTTTAAAAGATAAAATTGAAACTTGAAAATGTCAACTAGACATGAACGCCCGAGTTCCTATGCAAACCAGAAAATAATGAAGTCTAGATACTGATTATATGATAATGTTTATGTATTTAATAATATACTAAGATTAAAATCACAATTTCTTGCCAACCTGATTCAGATATCCCCATGACGACTGTTAGTGATAAAATCTTATCCATGAATACTGAATTGCTATCGAGATATCACGAATTAACAGAGCAACTGTAGTTACACAATGGGCTAGAAAACTAAAAAATATCTCTCAAATTGGCACTTTTTAAAATATTACAATTGAAAATATTTCAATTTCATTATCATAAAGGCTGACAAGAGATATGATAAGGCAAATCAAACCCTAAGTAAACCTCGGGTACTTTATCCCTTACATCTAAACCAGTTATCTATACCTCAACTGGGGGAACAATACTAATGATTAGACAGTGCATAACTAGGTTCTTCCTACATCAGGTGAGTTTATTACAGTTACAACATATACATGTTCTACTAGTATACACCACATAATAAATACTAATGGATGTTAAGTGAGTGATCTACTAGTCACTGTGTATCAAATTAATTATAGAAGTTTTAATATATCCCTCAATCATTAAATTACTAATCAAACATGTCTGATATTTAAATAATGAACAACTTTTACATTCTATCTTATTGTAATTTCTATTTTATCAGAATGTACATTTAAACAGTTATGTAAATTTAAACAACTTTGTATTCCTTTTAATTTTGGTGTTTAAACTACACATATATTTATTAGAAATTACTGTAATACTTAATAATCTTGATGTTCTCAATATACACTGGAAACCCTGCCTATGATCTGAGATACCTGCGGTCCATACGGAGTTGGTACTGTTGTGACAGGAGAGATTTTGGCCCTGATGCCACCAGCTGGGTCGATCCACACACCTGCATCTTCTGCTGTGCTGAGTCCCTGTAACAATGGTTTTTCAACATCTACATAAGTGACCAATAAAGCATTCAACTAAAGCAGGTGTTGCTGTACTAATCCACTCAACTTTCACAATGGAATTTTAAACCTTGATTGGACATATGAAATTATGGTGTCTCCTACCAGACCATACAGGGTGAAAAAGACTTCCTTGCACACAAAGACCCTGATAGTACTTCCATTCAGGGTAACTAGAGTGATTAATTTAAATTCAAATAACTTGTTTCACAGTTGTATAATAATTTAGAGGTGACAAGGCCCATTACAAACAGTAATAGCAAAGACTTTGCTCAGAAATAAATGCATGCATCCTTTTCTTAGATCAGTTACAACACAAAAATTGAAAAAGTAAATAATTCCACCAACCTCACAATCATTGAAATGCCATTTTTCTTTTCCACCACCCCTCCACTCTTTGTCCCCTGTACTGAATATTTCACCAGCCTCAGCGGTGTTGATTTAGTAAACGGAGTTGTCTCCTCATGGTGTTCCTGTATATCTACAGTCAAGTTTAACTCCTGACCCATGAATTGTCGCATGAAGCTCTCTCGGATATCCGAGATGCTGAAATCTCCTGTCAATTTTGTCAGGTGAACCATCTGAGGGTGATTTCTGGCAGAGAAAGTAGTAAATCAGTTATCAAGAATTTGTAGGGGAAGATTTCTCACAGAGAAAGTAGTAGATTACAAGAATAGCATACAATGAGCTATCAACTCGTTTGTTTATGACAACTGCATTTGGGTACCATATTCATATTATTGTCCTCATTGTAATTATAACTATCGTTCGATTAAAATATTCTAATATAAAACAGCCAAGTAAGACTTACGGAAACTTGGCAAATATCCTCAATCTAAGTGGCATGGTTTCTTGTATTTCAGCACTCTGTTCTCGTGCCTTCCGCTGGAAAAACATTGAATATGAGCAAACAGATAATTAAAAAGAAAAGTGTCTCACTTTTCAATTTCCTTTTCTAAACAGTTATAGTAGAAAGAGGTAAGGTGACATGTGTAATGGTAGAGAAAGGTGACAAGTGTAATGGTAGGGAGAGGTAAGGTGACATGTGTAATGGTAGAGAAAGGTGACAAGTGTAATGGTAGGGAGTGGTAGGGAGAGGTAAGGTGACAAGTGTAATGGTAGAGAGAGGTAAGATGACATGTGTAATGGTAGAGAAAGGTGACAAGTGTAATGGTAGGGAGTGGTAAGGAGAGGTAAGGTGACAAGTGTAATGGTAGAGAGAGGTAAGGTGACAAATGTTATGGTAGGGAGAGGTAAGGTGACAAGTGTAATGGTAGGGAGAGGTAAGGTGACAAGTGTAATGGTAGGGAGAGGTAAGGTGACAAGTGTAATGGTAGGGAGTGGTAAGGAGAGGTAAGGTGACAAGTATAATGGTAGAGAGAGGTAAGCTGACAAGTGTAATGGTAGGGAGAGGTAAGCTGACAAGCGTAATGGTAGGGAGAGGTAAGGTGACAAGTGTAATGTTAGGGAGAGGTAAGGTGACAAGTGTAATGGTAGGGAGTGGTAGGGAGAGGTAAGGTGACAAGTGTAATGGTAGAGAGAGGTAAGGTGACATGTGTAATGGTAGAGAAAGGTGACAAGTGTAATGGTAGGGAGTGGTAGGGAGAGGTAAGGTGACAAGTGTAATGGTAGAGAGAGGTAAGGTGACAAGTGTAATGGTAGGGATTGGTAGGGAGAGGTAAGGTGACAAGTGTAATGGTAGAGAGAGGTAAGGTGACAAGTGTAATGGTAGGGAGAGTTAAGCTGACAAGTGTAATGGTAGGGGGAAGTAAGGTGACAAGTGTAATGGTAGAGAGAGGTAAGGTGACAAGTGTAATGGTAGGGAGAGGTAAGCTGACAAGTGTAATGGGAGGGGGAGGTAAGCTGACAAGTGTAATGGTAGGGAGAGGTAAGCTGACAAGTGTAATGGTAGGGAGAGGTAAGCTGACAAGCGTAATGGTAGGGAGAGGTAAGGTGACAAGTGTAATGTTAGGGAGAGGTAAGGTGACAAGTGTAATGGTAGGGACAGGTAAGCTGACAAGTGTAATGGCAGGGAGAGGTAAGCTGACAAGTGTAATGGCAGGGAGAGGTAAGCTGACAAGTGTAATGGTAGGGAGAGGTAAGCTGACAAGTGTAATGTTAGGGAGAGGTAAGGTGACAAGTGTAATGGTAGGGAGAGGTAAGCTGACAAGTGTAATGGCAGGGAGAGGTAAGCTGACAAGTGTAATGGCAGGGAGAGGTAAGCTGACAAGTGTAATGGTAGGGAGAGGTAAGCTGACAAGTGTAATGTTAGGGAGAGGTAAGGTGACAAGTGTAATGGTAGGGAGAGGTAAGCTGACAAGTGTAATGGCAGGGAGAGGTAAGCTGACAAGTGTAATGTTAGGGAGAGGTAAGGTGACAAGTGTAATGGTAGGGAGAGGTAAGCTGACAAGTGTAATGGTAGAGAGAAGTAAGGTGACAAGTGTAATGGTAGAGAGAGGTAAGCTGACAAGTGTAATGGTAGAGAGAAGTAAGGTGACAAGTGTAATGGTAGGGAGTGGTAGGGAGAGGTAAGGTGACAAGTGTAATGGTAGAGAGAGGTATGCTGACAAGTGTAATGGTAGGGACAGGTAAGCTGACAAGTGTAATGGCAGGGAGAGGTAAGGTGACAAGTGTAATGGTAGAGAGAGGTAAGCTGACAAGTGTAATGGTAGGGAGAGGTAAGGTGACAAGTGTAATGGTAGAGAGAGGTAAGCTGACAAGTGTAATGGCAGGGAGAGGTAAGCTGACAAGTGTAATGGTAGAGAGAGGTAAGGTGACAAATGTTATGGTAGGGAGAGGTAAGGTGACAAGTGTAATGGTAGGGAGAGGTAAGGTGACAAGTGTAATGGTAGGGAGAGGTAAGCTGACAAGTGTAATGGCAGGGAGAGGTAAGCTGACAAGTGTAATGGTAGAGAGAGGTAAGGTGACAAGTGTAATGGTAGGGAGAGGTATGCTGACAAGTGTAATGGTAGGGGGAGGTAAGGTGACAAGTGTAATGTTAGAGAGAGGTAAGCTGACAAGTGTAATGGTAGAGAGAGGTAAGGTGACAAATGTTATGGTAGGGAGAGGTAAGGTGACAAGTGTAATGGTAGGGAGAGGTAAGGTGACAAGTGTAATGGTAGAGAGAGGTAAGCTGACAAGTGTAATGGTAGGGAGAGGTAAGCTGACAAGTGTAATGGTAGAGAGAGGTAAGCTGACAAGTGTAATGGCAGGGAGAGGTAAGCTGACAAGTGTAATGGTAGAGAGAGGTAAGGTGACAAGTGTAATGGCAGGGAGAGGTAAGCTGACAAGTGTAATGGTAGAGAGAGGTAAGGTGACAAGTGTAATGGTAGGGGGAGGTAAGCTGACAAGTGTAATGGTAGGGAGAGGTATGCTGACAAGTGTAATGGTAGGGAGTGGTAGGGAGAGGTATGCTGACAAGTGTAATGGTAGGGAGAGGTATGCTGACAAGTGTAATGGTAGGGAGAGGTAAGGTGACAAGTGTAATGGTAGAGAAAGGTAAGCTGACAAGTGTAATGGTAGGGGGAGGTAAGCTTACAAGTGAAATGGTAGAGAAAGGTAAGCTGACAAGTGTAATGGTAGGGGGAGGTAAGCTTACAAGTGAAATGGTAGAGAGAGAGGTAAGGTGACAAGTGTAATGGTAGAGAAAGGTAAGCTGACAAGTGTAATGGTAGGGGGAGGTAAGCTTACAAGTGAAATGGTAGAGAGAGAGGTAAGGTGACAAGTGTAATGGTTGGGAGAGGTAAGCTGACAAGTTTAATGGTAGGGAGAGGTAAGCTTACAAGTGTAATGGTAGGAGGTAAGGTGACAAGTGTAATGGTAAGGAGAGGTAAGCTTACAAGTGAAATGGTAGAGAGAGAGGTAAGGTGACAAGTGTAATGGTTGGGAGAGGTAAGCTGACAAGTGTAGCAGAAGAGGTCACTTGCCCTATCCTTGCTAACATGAAGTTGTACTTTACCTGTTTGAGTTTTTTGATGTCTTCATCCAACTCCAGATTATCCAAAATGACAGCTACAAATGAGCTGATGACGATCTTCAAACCAAAGTACACACTGGTTTTACACAGCAGTCAAAACTACATTATAATTATTCAAATAACTTTTCAATAAATATTTTTCTGTTAATCATATTTTCATTTGAACAACACATTCAATGATTATTTTTTTCACTTTTTCAAATAAATGATAATTACTTCAACCTTTATTTAACAATAAGGAATCTTAACTTACTACTTCATACAGATTCAAGAAGCAATACATTAATAAAATAACACCAAAAATGTTTCAAAATAATTATTGTATTGTATTATGTATATATGACAAAATATTCAACAATATCTCTGCACTGAACCATCTTCTGCAACATCAGAATAAAGGCGTAAAAAGTTAGCTTGTTTGAACATGAATATATATTGTTACTCATGCACGATTAGTATTTCAACCCAGGTTACACACACCGACCAATCTCATTGGATATATGGGTAGATATCATATAGATAGCTGGTTGTCATGCATCATTACAAAAATATTTATTTCAATTATCATATATGGTCAAGGATACCAGCAGACACCATCAAATGGAGTGACATTCTACCCTAAAATAGGCAACAATGCTGAAGGACTATGTTATCAAGTTATGGTTTCACATAAAGTAGCCTTGGGTTGCATCACCTATCTGTGAGAGTCATAACAATCATATATATGGTGATATTTCAAGTGTTGTCATATAACAACTGTGATTATAAGCAAGACTCATGTGAACAGAATGCAGAGTGAAAAGTGTAGATACCAAAAACTGTATCGTGTGGTTGATCAAACTTGAAAAAACAATTTTTGTTTCTAAGTATTTTTTTTTTCTAAGAATATAAAAATAAAATGAACATCCTTAATGATATTTTCAAGTAAATATTACATTAACCAAAAATATGTTTCTTAGATGAAATTTACAATATGATTGACAGTTCGTGTACTAATCATAATTTCAGATTCATATCAAAATTATTTTTTTCATGACTGGAGGAAAATTACATTTTTCTCTTAGAAATTCATTAGCCAATCTTAAGTATATGCATAAAAACAAACATACCATCCCCATTCTAAAATGATTTGAGTCTAAAAGTGGATGTCATTATCACAAAATCAAGGAAATTCAACAAAAATATTTTTGTTCAAAACAGTTCCCCACCTGGTCATAGCCAACGAGAAAGCTCCTTTCAACTATTGATTACATAGATGCTCGGTAGGCTGTCAAGTCATAGACTTGGGTCAGGATGTAGGTCAAGGCTTATGAAAAAGTTTATAATGTGTTTCTGTGGATGATCTGTCTGAATTGTTTTTTGTATCAAATCCTAGTGCACATACCAAAAAATAGTCATGTCTTTCTCTAAATAACAAAGGTATTTGTTTACTGAAGAATATCAATAAAAAAATCATATCTTGGAAAAGTTTCTACAAGTGACAAAAGACTCATAGGGCATGTCATTATCATATATTTCCTCAATGTCGAGATCTATCATCTGCCTCAACAGGCAAGATGACCACCAATTTTTGGCTAACATTTAAATGAATGTCATTGCAATGGCTTGGTAATTGATGACTATATCAGGGTTAGATAATGAAAATTATCCAATGAAAGGCTTTGTTACATAACAATTATTTTTGAATTAATAATTTAATTAATAGTTTGTTTATTGATCATTATTTCAAATTAAAAAAAAATTGTAATTGAAATTTTGAAACTAAACTTATTTCACTTTATCAATAAAGATTTTAGTCAAGACTTTGTGCTCTATTAAAGAACTTTTGTACATCAACTATTACATCTGTTTATATAATAGAAAAAAATATATCCCAAGAATTTTCAACTTGACATGAAACCTGAACTAATAATACAAACATGAATGTTTCGAGAAAAGTGAGTGTTCTACTTATGTCAAGAAAGAAATAGTTAAAATAATTATATAAAATCATATCTCTACGTATGTAGACCCTTGTGGTGCTCTGTTACAAATTGTATCATCATGTGATGATAAAAACTATCGAAGAAAAGTGTTTTGAAACATTTCATTCAAAAGGAAAATTGTGTTGTCCAAAACAGGGAAAGTAGGGGTGATGCTGTCTTTGTAAAAATAAATGGTATCAGAATGGGAAAAATGGTGAGGTGCTGTTTCTAATTGAAATGCATTAGTAACAGCAATGTACTTTATACTTACAAATCTATAAAAACCCAAACTAAGAATTCATGAAACACTGAAAGTGAGGCAACAAGAATACTTAAAATGTCTGCTCAAAGCATCATTGAATTAAAACAAAGTACGAAACCAACTTGTAAGGTATAGATCTAACTGGTTAGAGACGCAATCATAGTTTGTGAAATAAACACCTTTCTGCCAAAATAATGAATATTTATCTTATTTGCTTTGAAATAAAAACTGGTGAAATATAAATGAATATTTTTTATTTGTATATACATGTATTTGCAAAAGGAATAAAAAAGGAAAAAAAATTGATAGTTTGGAAACAAACAATTTTTACTTTCCTATACCACTCTTGTTACTATGTGTGATTTCATGGTTTTCTTTTTTAAGTTCACACACTTTTCGAAATAATCTCATTCTATTACACAAAAAGCCATATCTTCATCTTTTAATGTCCCACTTTTTACTAAAAATGGGCATTGTTGATGAAGACTAACGTACTATATGTTCCCAGGGTAGAACATACACAGAGCTCCTACATATCTGCCTATTGCATTGTCTGTTGATTATGCTTCTCCAACTTCCCCTCCTAAACATCGTCAAATCCTCTTTACACAAAACTAGAAGCATCAAGCTGATCAAATCAAAGGAGAATTGTTGCAAATAATTTTTTCACTAAAAACTATTGATCTAAATATAGCTCTAAGCAAAACAAAACAAACATCAAACAGATCAGCAAAGCTACTATTATGAACTAAATTTGGCATTTAAACCATTACAGCAAAACTAGTATTTCATCCTGACTTGTAAAAGAAACAAAAACTAGTATTTCATCCTGACTTGTAAAAGAAACAAAGCAGTCCTACTTTCATTCATGTGTTCATAAATCAATAATTAATTTACTGTGACTTGTATTTAAAATACTTTTGTTTTCTTAAACAAAATTGGTATTCTTATAAATAATGAGAAAATTCATAAATTTAGAATTTTCAATTTCTTTATTACCATTAATAAAATGTTAATATTTTCAAAACAGGTCTTAAAGAATGCAATGATCTGAGATGCTTTTTTCTCTCTTCCTTCTGTAATTCAAGTCTTTCTTCATTTCCTTGGACTTTCTGTTATCAATCTGGATATCAAATCCTGTTTATTCCCTTGATTTATTTCTCCCCTAAATGACTTTATTTCCTGTGGTACCTCTAACTTCCTAGACTTAACTTCCTCCCCTAACTGATTTTATTTCCTGTGGTACCTCTAACTTCCTAGACTTAACTTCCTCCCCTAACTGATTTTATTTCCTGTGGTACCTCTAACTTCACAGGCTTAACTTCCTCCCCTAACTGATTTTATTTCCTGTGGTACCTCTAACTTCACAGACTTAACTTCTTCCCCTAATTGGTTTTATTTCTTGTGGTACCTCTAACTTCCCAGACTTAACTTTCTCCCCTAACTGATTTTATTTCCTGTGGTACATCTACCTTCCTGTTTGATCCACAGGCTTAACTTTCTCCCCTAACTGATTTTATTTCCTTTGGTACCTCTAACTTACTGTTTGATCCAGACTTCACTTCCTCACTTAAATGGTTTCATAACCTATGATAACTCTTATCTCTTTGTTGTAATTTTGTATGCTGCTTCCTGTTTAATGCAAATACTTTTCTTCCTCCTTCAACAGACTGAATCTTAAGTGTTATACCCCCAAATTCCAATTAAATCCCAAGACTTTGACTTCTGCATTGCTTTACTTAATTTCCTGTGGTACCTCTAACTTCCCAGACTTAACTTCCTCCCTTGACTGACATTATTTCCTGTGGTACCTCTAGCTCCCTGTTAAATACCAAGACTTTCTGCCTTGTGTAAATTCCTTTGGTACCCTGCATGCTGTACCAGGACTAGACAATACACAACACCACTGACATCTAATTCTCCTCTGATTAGTGCCTCCTCATTGTCCTTTTCCTTCTCATCATTGCAAAACAAAAATCAGAGACTAGTTAATAAAGAACACTAGATACTTCAGAACATTTCATCTACCTTTCCGGTTATAAGAACTTCTATTCTAAAAAACAATAGAGGTGGATAGAATTTAACCAAATTATAATATATACAATGAACTCACTTATTAAAAAAATTTGTATCACAATTTTTTTCCTCAGTTAAGCTGTTCTTATTTGATATCAGAGATCATCAGTATTATCTAGATACAGTCTCATTCCACAAAATGAAATACAATGATGAAATTCATTCAGATTTAAAACATTGTTTGCCGAGAATTGCCAAGTCATCTACAATTTGCTACAGCCAGATTTAATTTCTATACAAAGGTATTAATTCTGCTCTGAAATTAATACATTTTCAAACTTATCAAAAAAATAAAGGAAAAACAAAAACAACAAAACTTTGGGATGACAGGTGGTATACTCATCAGAGTAAGATGTCAGTTAATAACTAGCCTCTGATAACACGTCATGTTACTTACAAAAGAGGAAATCTGAGAAGCAATTAACCAACCTTGACACATGAAATGGGCGTGGCAGTTTTCTACTGCAGCTTTCTAATCTCTAAAACGGTCACAAACTTCTAATTGTAGTCCGAAATAGTTGGACAATTTTATCATTGACTTCTGATTTCTGCCATGAAACAACACAAACACTATACAACTTTACTGTTCTGTATAGTTTTACTCACCAGTGTAACAAAAAGGTGGTAGAATATGAAATAAATTGCTACCAAGGGCGCTACGCTTTCACCTGTTTCCCACATGGTGATTTCCATCACTTCTATCCAGCCCTTATTAGCAAGAATTTGAAACATTGACATGAAAGCCTGCATGAGAAGAAGGAAAAAGGAGCATATAGAAATTAATATGTTTATAAATGGACATATCAACACAGCATGATACCAGTTACCAAGGGTAACCACAGCCAGTTACCTCCAACAGCCACAGCAACCGGTTACTACGGTAACCATATCTAGAGCTAGTAACCTCTGACTTTATAGCAACAGGTTACCACATAACCAGTCACATTGATGCTATAAGTAACAATAGACAAAACGTGACACCGGTTACCAAGGTAACCATATCAACAAATCAAGGTAGCCATAGCAACAGATGGCAAAGTGACGATACAAAAGGTGAGATCTGTGGAGGTAAGTTAGGTTAGTATTCAGTCATCAGCTGTAATGCCAGGGGAAGCTACAATGATGTCCCATGCTTTCCGAAATATTAAAACATAATCTATAATAAAAGAAACAGGTTAGTACAACAAAATAATCAACCTGTGACAGACAGGTTTACAGAAAACTATACATTCCTGAAAATTGCTAAAAGTTAGTTCAATTTGTTTTTTGTCAATACACTTGTATATAACACTTTTTATTAGAAAAACAAGTATTTTGGTTGAACTTCTGATAGACAAGCATTCTTGACCTCTGCATGTTGTTTCACAGAGTAAATTTACTCACACTGCTCAATAATAAGATTTCATCCTAAAGGTTTTCAGAACAGAATGTTTTTTTTGTTAACAGCTATGCTTGAGGTATTACTGAAAAGAGAACCCCCATTTGCAATGCCTCTACCGATCAGACATGCATTCCTACACCTGGTCAGTCATGCAAAATGATATCAGCAGTTAATGGGAGAAGTAAGCATAACATATATATATTTACTCTAATGATCATTTAAATTTAGGAACTTCAAATTGTGTATCTATATAACCCATGGTTAACAAAAACAAGGACATATTTGTTACAAATGAGTACATTTTTTTTTTATTTGTGCTCAAAGAAGCAACTGCCATTTTCCACTTCAAATTTTTCATTTAACTTTTCTATTTAACCTAATGTTTCAACATCAATGGCCAATATTTTCAGTATTCAATACATCTGATGTTAGTCATAGTACATGTATAAGTTAAGTTTCTGTTAATATCCAATATATCTGCATGAATTTGCATACAACGAAAGATATATGTAAAACAGATATCATCTTGTAGTAAAATAACTTCATCTGTACATGTTGCACACAGACTATTTGTGTATACTATACAGAAAGATTCTAAATATGACTTGGAATCTAATGGATAAAGTTTCTATTATTACGCTGTTGTAAAAATTGTCAGCAGATTGCTAAAAAGAAATATTCCATTCATCTCATTTGAAATGGGAACTCATACATGCTAAAAAAGTTAATCAGCTATTTACCAAGGACAATGTCATGCTAATTTATGATGTTACTGAGAGCAAATACAGTTAAACCTGTCAGTAAAAACCCAAGAAAGGGAGATAACCAAACATGTTTTAATACACTAAGAATATGGATGAGACCGTTTGTCAATATGTAGAAAACAAAATTTCATTTTTTGTGTGTGTGGTTTTTTTTCTTCCTTTTTTAAACAGAATTTGTTATAGACAGGTGGTCATTATAGACAGGTTTCAATTCATTCAATTAATGATAAATAATAGTCTAACAGTAAAGCAATGACAGTTAATGTAAATATGCTTCTATGAGAATGCAAGGTAAGTTTGCATATTTTAATTGTTAGCATGATTTTATCAAAAGTATACTAGATTAATAATTTTGTTTATAATTTTTAAAGCAGCTGGTTATATACAAGTATAATTGCATGGGTTATTGAAAGTTAAAAGAAATGCAAGAGTTCTGTCCCTTGTCCCAGGATCTGCAAACAAAACATTCCATGGTCCATTGTAGGAGTACTCACCAACGACACAAAGAGGTGGTACAGACAGAAATAAGAGGCAATTAACATCTGTAAAAACCCATTGCGAGTGTGTGCCAACACGCCATCAAGTACATCAATCCAGCCCTCCTGGGTCAGGATTTGAAACATGGACATAAGGGACTGCATCACAAGAGCAAATAAAAGAGGCATTAACTGGGCATTATTGTTTTTATACTATGTTTACAAAGTAGGAAGTATACAAATGAACTCAAAATTTCATCTGTTTTTTTCACATATCAAACACTAGCAGAAAATGTTTTCAGTCAATATTCCAGTTGAAAGTGAGTCATGGAAATATTTCATGGTCCAAAGAACAAGTCATGGAAACAGTCTATGGTCCTAAGAACAAGTCTTTGAAATATTCCACGATTCAAAAAATTTAAACCAGATGAAAAACTCATTTAAGCGCCTGAGCTGAGAAAAGATTACTACACCGTACATTACACTGCAGGTTAATAGATCATTTGCATATCCAACTGAAAACAATCATCAAATAAGAATCATTTTGGAAAATACATATTTTCCTTTTAAATACAAAGCATACTTTCCATATAAGAAAATTGCATATAGAAAACATATATTTTACATAATTAAAATTACCTATCGGTAATTACCGGTAACACTTTTAACGCAGGATTTTCCATCTTGAGAAGGAACATACTACTGAAATAATGCTTAACATTTCCTCAACTCATTTAAAGTTGACCTACAGGAAAAAAAAAATAGATGTATGATGATATCAAGTTTAAACAGTACAAACCTGAACAAAAGTCTCAAAGTTCCGGAAATCTTTGATTGAACAGAAAAGTTGGAGGCTGATGCTTGAGGCTATGATGAGAAGACACATGGTGAATAGAATGAGGCTTCCCAGCTTCTTACCAGGTCCAAATATCTGAAGACATATATTTGTTATTACTGATATATGCATCACACATTACAAAGGTTAAAATATCTGATGAGTTAGATGTGTAAGAACTGATATACACTTCACAGATTACACAAAGCGAAGTGAGTTGAAATATCTGAGGAGTTAGATGTGTAAGTCTTGAGATACACTTCACAGATTACACAAAGCGAAGTGGGTTGAAATATCTGAGGAGTTAAATGTGTAAGTACTGATATACACTTCGCAGATTACACAAAGCGAAGTGGGTTGAAATATCTGACGAGTTAGACGTGTAAGTACTGAGATACACTTCACAGATTACACAAAGCGAAGTGGATTGAAATATCTGACGAGTTAGATGTGTAAGAACTGATATACACTTCACAGATTACACAAAGCGAAGTGGGTTGAAATATCTGACGAGATAAATGTGTAAGTACTAAGATACACTTCACCAATTACACAAAGCGAAGTGGGTTGAAATATCTGAGGAGTTAGATGTGTAAGTACTGAGATACACTTCACAGATTACACAAAGCGAAGTGGGTTGAAATATCTGAGGAGTTAGATGTGTAAGTACTGAGATACACTTCACAGATTACATAAAGCGAAGTGGGTTGAAATATCTGAGGAGTTAAATGTGTAAGTACTGAGATTCACTTCACAGATTACAGAAAGCGAAGTGGGTTGAAATATCTGAGGAGTTAGATGTGTAAGTACTGAGATACACTTCACAGATTACACAAAGTGGAGTGGGTTGAAATATCTGAGGAGTTAAATGTGTAAGTACTGAGATTCACTTCACAGATTACAGAAAGCGAAGTGGGTTGAAATATCTGGGGAGACAGATGTGCAAGTACTGATATACACTTCACAGATTACAAACAGCAAACTGGGTTGAAATATCTGAGAAGGATGAAGATACACAACAACTGAGTAACATTTCAAAGTTACTGACTAATTAGAAAGACGTTTGAAATTAAGGAGGGCCAATATTTGTTATTTCAGTTAAAATACGAATTTGAATATTGCCCAAAAAACAATATCGGCATTATAAGTACTTGTTTTTTTATTTTAGTTTTGATTTTTTTATTATCTTTACCCCATGTGTGAACAAACATCTGTTGTAAACATGGTACTATATATAAACCGGGAGAACAACAAGGGTCAACCAATTAATTCTTGACTGTGTTCAACATTGTTTAACTTTGGAATTATAATTGTTTGCTGGATAATTTCTCGGCTGGACATTATTGAGGCTGGGAATGCTTGGAGCTGGTTGCTGCCTCAATGAACTAACTGGAGGCTTGTCACATGCCATCCAGATAGCAATTGAGGCAGGGAATCTGGCCCAAAGACACAACAAGGAGTGTTACCATATACCTCAGATCTTAACCGAAAGTTGCAAAGTCCAATGCTCTCGAGTTAGCCTACCCGGTCTTCCCCCACCTATCCTCCTTCCCTTCTTCCCTCCCAGAATATGGACACAACACTCACATTCAGATGCACCAAGCTTTACAGTTGGACTACCTACCTCTATGAGCCATCATTACACAATGCAGTACAGAGGTCTTTATCTCTAATAGGTCGCATGCAATTTTTTAAGATGAAAAAAACTCATGAAAAACAGATAGCAAAAAAATAAAACTGGTCTATTTCCAAGATTTCCATGAAATAACATCCTGAATTTTGGTAAGACTGAATACTTGAACCACTGGAAAAGAATGAAAAAAGAAAAGGAAAAAAATCTTATTGTGATGAATTGCTTTGTTCAGGAACTACCAAGATATTTCAGACTTGTACCTGGGGGATTGAGTTCACTACCTATAACAGAAAGGTCATCTCATCATCAGGAATAGGCTAAATAGGATAAATACTGAAAGTACAGTCATTTTAATAACGCATTAAGTCAACTCACCTTAAAACAGAAATCTTCAAGCATAGGTGATGCTTTTATTAGACGGACAACTCGTAAAACCTACAAATTAAATAAAAGTCCGGTTTCAAATCATTTTGATATCATTTTATTGTATTACAGAAAAAAACAAAAAATTAAACAGAAATTACAATACTCCTGATTATCACATTTTCACTAGTTATGATCCTTATTTCAACATTATTGATAATGAAATTGTATCCTACCTGGAAATATGTAAACTGTGACCTGTAGAGGCTGGGGATGATGTGTAGCATTGTCCCAATGGCCAACAGTAATTCAAACTTGTGGAGTGATCGTCGCAGATATCCCTGTAGACTCAGGCACCAGATCTTAAATAAGGCCTCAAACACAAACATGGCTGTAAACACTACCTGTAAATCAATATTCAAAGCACTCCATCACAGACTTCCTTAAAACATTTAGATTCACAGGTACCTGGGAAAAATTATGGATCATTTGAGCTTAAATTTTCAATTTGGAAGGAAAATGAAGTTTTCAATGATAATAATCATTTTGATTTCTCACTAACTTCTTATTACCTTAAACTTTTCTATTTTCATGAGTATCTCTCACATGGCATAGTGATCAAACTCATATTTCAATACACGAGGAGTAAAACAAACTTTATAATCCGCTATATATAAATATCAAAAACAGGATATAAACTAGAAATTATCTGTAAGACACATGAATGCACCACTCCAATCTATAGTAAGTATCATTGATAAATTTGCAGAAGTTGTCAAATAAGGCTATTGATCTTTTGATCTTGACCAATGATTACTTCAATACAAAAACGTGTAGAACTTCATGATATGATGACATATGTTACATATGAAGCAAATGTATGACAGGTTCTTGTGATATGATACTGCTTCATTCTGAATGAAAGAGGGATGGGATGTGATGTGATGGGACAAGATGGGTTACACTATATGCACCTTTAAAATGACTGAGACATAAAAAACATCTACAAATTAGAAAATGTCTGTAAGATGTAAATGCCCCCATCTCCTATTCAAACCAGAATCTAATTAAATACAGAGCTTGATACTATGATACTATGAGGAGATTCTAAAGATATGACAATGATTTAGAACTCATCCTGAGAAACATGTGAAACTATACGGGCGGGTTAATGAAATTTAAAGACTTGAATACATGCGCTCCTGACCTCTGCATAATAGAATCCATCTAGTTTGTTTTCTGGTAACCGAGTCTTGTGATCAAAGGAGAGGCTGGCTTCTGTGATTGCACTGGCAAGGACCAGCAACAGGAAGAAGGTGTGGAAAACATTGGAACACATGATTCTCTGAAACACAGGAGGTGCCATTCCCTGGGCCTTGTTTTCATCTATCATCACCATCTTCCATGTGTTTCCCTCTGTCTGAATCACCTGTATAACACAAAATCACACGCAAAACCTGATTTCAACTCTCAGAGCACAAAGTAAAGCATCAATTGTATTGTCATATGTAATGAATCTATCCAAAATCCCATTCACAAAAGTAACTACATCATTTCAGACAATGTAGGTTTTCCTTTTTTACCATACTTTAAAGAGACTAACCTGAGAGGAATCAGAGTCAGGAGCACTCTTTCTAGGGCCCCACATCTGTTGAAACTGGACCCGAATCTCAGCAAACGACTCAATTATTACAGCTATGAAAATGTTCTGCAACAAAACAGATGCATCAATGTTCTGTACTTTTAAAACTAGCTTTGATTTTATGTGTCTCCAATCCTGAAAATTTTTAATAATAAATTCATGAACAAATTATAATAAAAAAAAGTTCAATGTGAAAATAAAAGCAAATGTTTCTAATGTACAGGTCAATGATCATTTACTTTAGGCAACATTATCAAAATCCAAACAAAAGCATCATTCAATTCATACTAAACTTAACAAGTTAAAGGTCTGGTCCAGCCTATATAGTACCTTGACAAGCCAGGCCATGAGGAATATAAGTGTGATGAAGTAGACAAAGGCCAACCAGGACTGTAGACTGTCTGTAGTGCGATACAATAGAAATACCCATCCTTCCTGTGAGCCGGCCTCGTACACCGTGAAAAAACTTGTTGCTGCAATGGAAAAGAAATTTAAATTCAAGTACTGTCAGTAGAGGCCGTATGTTGCCAACTTTCCCTGATATCCCGGGTCAACCCACTATATAAACTAGCTAGAGTAACCATTACCTGATTGACTCATCAAAGAGATTAGTTTTTATCTTTGAAGACAACTTGCTTTGAGACACCTCAAGAGTTAACCTTTGGCATTATTGAAAGACACATAGTTATAAGTAGTCTCACTCAACCAGACTCTTGACTATGCAAGCAAATACGCCATGATTGCCTAATTGTAAGCAATAAGGATTTCAGACATGGGGAGCAAAGATATTTTTCATTTAGTTTGAATATACAGTCAATCTTCTATAAATCTTCGACGATTCAAATTTCTTAATGTATTGGAAGTTTTTTTCTCAGTCATTTGACCTACAAAGTGTGACTTTTCAGTTATAAGCATAAAAGCCTGAGAAAAGCAGTGATTTATCCGTCAATCATGCTTTCTCCTAATGTTTCAGACTAGCCATCATCAGAACATCGACATACACCCTTGTGATGTTTAATACCCAAGATGTGTGATATTAGTGTGGTCGTTTCTGGACAGAATACATTACGATATTAATTTATTTTCATTTAAATTCATTAGTGCCTATAAAGTTTATTTGTCAGTCTTGAACTAATTACAATAACATGTGAAGACCACTTTAATGTTGCACATAGTTTGATTAATAATTGATTCATAAAATACATACTGTTTGACATGGAGGCATGAATGTAAACATAAGAATGTCAATTTCTCTTTGATTTCTACTTAAAGTTAAGTTTTTATTTATTCACGAATGAAAATGTTTTAAGATAAAAGTGCTTCTTTTCATTTCAAGTGGTGTTTTGGCATTCGATGAGTTCGTTCAGGTAGAAATGTTGTATCATCAACTAGTCATGAGCAGGAAACATCGATATAGCCCTCTACGAATGATTCGACGTCTCAATGCATCAAAGTTTTATTTGTAGTCCTTTGAACTTTGAAACATCAAAGTTTGACTGTATTTGGATCTATGATTTAATGTAATAATGTTGGCACCTCGAAGATCAGAATTTATGTGGCTTTAACAAAGTGACTAGTATAGTTGATTGAATGATGCAAAGAAGAGGTGTACATCTTTTATGTTCCATGTTACACGTGACCCTGGTTCTGATCCCTTAATCCTTGCTGAAGTTGGTCACTCTGAGATTTGGCAACACTGAGTATAGAATAGCAAGTAACAAAATAAAGACAACATGTTTATTTCATGAATATGACATGGAATACAGAAGACATTGTCAGATTTAACCATCTGGAGGTTTACAGTACATATGTGTATTTCACCTTCTTGAAATAATACATACCAAACTCATCGAATCCATTGAAACCTCTCTCACCGCGCTCCAAAGCAAGTTCCATACAAGTCATGTCGTCTGGACACTGGTAGCCAAATTCTGGCTTCGGAGAGCAATATGTGTCCGGAATTGCAAGGTCCATGATGGAAACATTACTGAAATAACAATAAATTGAGTATTGAACATTTTGAATGAACTGGAAACTGTACCTCAGTGACTTCTAGGTAGGCAATCAAAGCATGGGATTAGCACAATATGGCCTGTCTGTTTTAAATCTATTACTCAAAGCCATTTTTATATATATATATGAAGGTATAGTTAACTTTTTACTGATATCCCCAGTTCTGGGTAGAGACATTACCCACTGTTATTAGTTAGTTTTTCTGTATCTTAAATACAATACAAAAAGTTTTTAAAAAAGTCAAAATTTTCAAGTATATTTAAATAAACATTATCTAGTTCCTAAATCTCAACACAAGATTTAGAACAAGTTGACACAACTTATCTACATTTTCTCCTGACCCATATGCATAGAATTCTTAAAGCAAGAAGCTATAAGATGGGATGAGATATTCCTTTAGCCAGAGGTGAATCTACGTGCTCAGTAGAATTCTTCTTTTTTTACTTCAATCCTACTTAAGTGACCAGTAAAGTGTTTTTTGTATATATATGTTCTTACTTGGGATTGGTGGTGTTGAGAACACAATGATACTTAAGCTCTCCAAAGAACTGCACTCCAAGGATTCCATATAGTGACATGAAGAAGAGGAAGAATATTGTCACATTGTAGATCTGTTGGCCAGATCGTCTGAAAGATGAAAAATTAATCATTACTACAATAAGAAGTCCAGATCTCACACAACGGGGTTCTTAAATCTGTATTTTTTATAAGTCAAATTTGGACAGTGAGCTATGAATTCATACTTTTAAGACTATTGGGTAATTTAGTACAGTGATTCAATAGTGAGAAAAAAAAAATCATATCTAGACTAAACCAAAAAAGTCTGTAAGACAAGAATGCCACACTTCTATGCAAACAAGATCCCCAAGGGGCCTGCATCGCTCACCTGACTAATTAAGCTAATTTCAGCCATTTTATAAAGATATTTCAATTTGACAAATAGTTTCTGATACACTCTTTCCACCCCAGAGGGCCGGGAGGAACTGTTTATACATAACTGATTCCCCCTCAGCAAATAATACTTGAGATCAAATTCTGGCAAAATGCATTGACTCCTATAGCAGGAATAGGCTTTTAAAGAACTTGCAAAATTTCCCTTTTTGGGCCCCAACTTTCAGGGCCCTGGCGGCCAGGAGCCCATACTTTTACAAACTTGGTTCTCTTCACCCAAGGATGCCTCTGGCCAAATTTGGGCAAAGTAGGTTTTTAAGGAATTTTCTCCATTTTCTCCCCTCACTCCCTCCCTATAGGGGTCAGGTTCCAATGTTTAAACACAACAGATTTCCCTTTCACCCAAGACTACTTCAGACAAAATTTTGGCAATATCCATTCATTCCTAAAAGAGGAGTAGGAGTAGCCCCCATTCCTCCCACCTCAGGGGACTGAGACCTAATGTCTATAAAGGATTGATTCCCCTTTGCCCACAAATGCTTCAGACCAACTTTTGGCAATATCCATTCATTCATACAAGAGGAGTATGGTTTTTTAAAAAATCTCCCTTTGGGCCCCTCCCCTCAGGCCCCTGGGCTGAACGAGAACAAATATTTATACAAACTTGGTTCCCTTCCCCTAAGGGTATTTCTGACCAAATCTGGTCAAAATCTGTTCAGTGGTTCATAAAAAGTTAACAGACACCAGACGCCTTGCCATGGTATTAACTCATCAGATCTTCAAACCAGGTGAGCTAACCAGAACTAATATGAACAAAATTTGTTATAAAGGTTCTCAAGATGAAATATGCATTGATGACAACTTCACAGTATCAGAAACATTAGGTCTACATCTGCCCAAAATGCTGATATTGATGGATGCAAACTGGGGCAATGGTTGGTAGATTTTCATTTTCTGTTATCAGCAACATAACCTGTAATTTTTGTTAAATTTTCAAATTAACCCTCAAACTTTGCATGTGATACATATCAGTTTAATTTGTGTCTAGTCTTATATTAGGAAATTAAAATAAACAATCTTCACTTACTTGAATATAGAATTTATCCTAGCCTTTGGCAATTGAAACTTGAGAAAAACTCTGAAAACTCGGATAAGGATTAAAGGTCGGGGACATCTGAGAATGGACCAAAACTGTCCACCAACACCTGTCATCTCAAACACCTACAAATGAAAAGAACCAAATATGTATAATGCTAAGCTTTATATAGCAGTTGTACAAGTTCAACTGCACAGGAAGCTAAATGGTACAGTACAAGAGTAAGATAATTTTCGCACACGCAATACTTTTCTTAGGAAGAAAACACAGTTATATAGTTTGTAAAATAACAAGCAGGACTTGCTCTAGATTAACTGTTTGTACATTTCTGATGATGACTGGCCTAGCTATCCAAAACATGTCAACCAATAAAATCTACAAAGTGACTGAATACATGGTGTTGATGTTCCAACCTTCATCTACTCGAATGTACATTTGTGTTCTTTTGTTTTTTTTTGTGTTTGTTTTGGTTTGTTTGGGTTTTTGAGCACAATCACCTGTCTCCTCTTATTAACCAAACAGCATATGCATGTAGCACAGATGAACCCAGTGAACTCTGGTCAAGAATATTATAAAGAAGATATGAAATTTGATCTAACTTCTAATCTGCTAATATTGGCCTGTAATCTAGTGACTTCACATTTGATTTTCATCAGCTCCGTTCTAAAATGTCCTAAACAAACTATTTACCTATTAAGAGACAGAATTTTTCACCCTGACTTTGACTCTAGCAATCATCCTTTGATCAGGATTAGACAATCTTGCTTTATTTCATTGTGGTCAACTCTGCTTCATTTCATAAATGAATTTTAAGTGGTTAAAGCTCTTATAGTTTTACCTTGACCTATGACATGATGACTTTCACCTGCTGAAATTAAGTACTACTTATTTGATTTTGTTCATCTTTGCTTCATATTGTCCTAATGAAATATTTATATATATATATCTGAATATATAGAAGCTGTCACCTTCTGCTGGAAGTGAGTCGTAATTTATTTAAAAATACATTTATTTCTATCTACATGACTGAATAAATTTGAATCAAAATGATGTTAGTGGACAGCTACATGTATACCTTTCACATAAATTACCAGGTGGCAGAAGGGAGGAAATGAAGGTTGCATTGCAATGTCATTTGATTGTTGTAGTGTTTCTTAGAAGAAAAAATGTACACATAAAAATTTACAATTCATGATTTCACACACCGACTTAAAAATAAATGAAAGACTTTCACTTAATTCTATTTGAGTGACATAGAAATGGGTGTACTCAAAGTACTTACACAAGTACCAAAATTGAGAAAGAGATGTACACTTGGGATTTTTTTATGGGGTCATATACCTGTAAGTAGGATTCACACTGCCACTGTATAGATAATGATTCCATTTGTTTGTAATTAAAACTGATCAGAGGTTTAATCAGCCTATCAGGTAGGACGTAGGACAGAGACTCTGTGCTACTTACATGGAATTTTAATTAAACATAACATTGAGACTCTGATCTTTAACCTTTAGCGTTACATTGACTAGGAACTTACCAATATCTCTTGTACCATACACCCAGAACTTACCTGTAGTATCACAGACACCCACAGGCAAAATACCATAAAACCATCAAATTGACACCATCGATCCTTTAGGTACGGAGCCTCACCCTGAAATTACGTTAACTCTGTTAATCGAACTTAAAAGACGTTTACATCAACACTAACACCTGTATAGGTTCATCATAGTATTCCAATTCTATAGTAATATTTAAAATAAAATCACCATTTTGATATTATACAAAATTGTTGGACTAAATGTTTTGCATTTTATGCTTTTGAAAACATTTACAATTACAATTTTCTAAAATATAACATTCATATAATGTTTTAGTCATCCTTACCTTCCATATTCCTCTTATATGCATCTTTGCTATCATCTCAGCAGTGAATAGAAACGTTACAATAAGGTCGAAGGCAAAAGTCAGGTATTCCAGCTCCTTGTAGTAAGCAAATGTCTTGGGAGTGTTCATACTAACGGACATTATGCTAATGAGGGCACAACCTCGTAACAACCGTCGCACCCACGGTTTGTTTACCCAATCAATATCGATGTTGTCATTAAGGTTCTCATCAGGCCCATAGTCAGCCAGTGGATGGCTATCCTTGAAACTTGTCTTCCGATTGACCAGCATCTTTCGTTGTCTGAGTGGACGCTGGAGATGGAGAGTAAAGCACGGGAGACAACTACCAGAAAACATTTAAACGGCTGTTTTGTGCAAACAGGATCTGCCTCTAAATCTAAATCTTGCTTGATTTTATATATGCAACTTAAATCTTGCCTTTTCACTTTCAGTTCCAATTGTCCTTAAAATGTTCATATAAAGTTCCATCTTTCACATTTTCAGTGACGAATTCTTTCGTTGTCGAGCAGTACCTGGGAAAACAGAAAGGGGTAGATGACTGAGACAAACTGCAATTGATATGGATTAAATAAAAAAATCATGATAAAGGCCTTTTGTGATAAATAATGTGAGCATTGTCTGAAGAAAATCTAGTGATGCTGAAAATGTGGCATATATGACAAAAACCCTTATCTGCACCACTTCAGGATGATACATTCTATAGTGCTTCAGAGAAAAACTTTAAATATCAAAATCCAAAATGGCCCTTTTCAGCCATCTTGAATATCTGGTAAAAGTGATGCTTTCTAAAATCAAGTGTTTTATGGCATCATATATAGGAAATGCTGTGGGAAATCAAATCTAAGAATTATTTCTGTGTAGGTTATTCCCACTGAGATTTCATGAAACAGATTTGACATCATGGGTGCATTTAATTGGTAGTCATGCTTGCTAATGCATTGACAGAAATAGTCAAAATGCAGTCAAGTGTTAGTTGCAGTCTTCTCGCTTACTTGGAGACAAAATCTCCCTTGTCGAAGTCTTTTAGATTTGCAGTCCCTAAAATGGCACAGTGGATTTCCCTTCTGGAATTCCTAAACTGTGAACACCTGGTTATATATAAATTGTCATACTGCTGGATGTTTATCGGTAAATATTAACCTCTGTTGCACTATTTATAAGCATGCTGTTATATACAGTTATTCAATATTTCATTGTAAATATGTCATAGACACCAGGACCAGTAATCCCCCAAAGAATGTATGTGATATTGTAACTCTGGTAAATACTAGCTGCAATATACCGCTCAGTTAAAGAGAACTTTTCTTTAGCTTGATCGGTTGAGCACGAGATTAGTATGTCAGGGGCTTTGGGTGTGAATCTTAGCGGAGACAATGAAATAAAAGAATGACCTCCGTTACATTGGCGCATACATAAGGACTCTGGAATAATACTTAGTGTTACTTTCACAAGTACCAGTGTAACCTCTCGAAATTTGAGGGTGAGTCATAACCCAGGGAAGGAGTATGTCATCCAGGTAAATGCTAGCTTCAATGTACCACTCGGCCAGAGAGAACTTTTCTAGCTCAATAGGTTGAGCATGAGACAAGCCAGTGGTCCATGGTTCAAATCCTAGCAGAGACATTGAAATAAATTATGACCTCTGCTACAACATTGTAGCAAACGCTACCATAAAATCAATGAAGGGAAATACATACCAAGTAATTATATACATGTACACTGGTTTTTTCACCTATCTAATTGAGACCTGGATTATGTTACAGGTGTAGAAGACATTTATGTGCTAATATTGTATTGAAGGGCGGCTCACACATATAGTCTTACATTGCAAAATCAGTGATAAATAACTGCACATATAAGTGTAACAGAGGCTATTTCCATGCTTCTGCTAGGATTTGAACTCAGGACCTCCGGTCTACTAGTTCGACACTCGACCGATCAAGCTGAAGAGAAGTTGTCTCTAGCTAAGGTATATATATATTGCTGCGAAAATCTTAAAAGGGTTACACAGGAAATCAAATCATACACATTTAAACGTAATTGATGACAAAGAAATTATTATCTTCGAAGAATTATGAGCATAACATACATATTACGTTTTGATCGGTCTTTAATAGCTATAATTCTACCATCCCTGACCCTTCATATTGAAACGGATTTATCTTCCAGTGCAAGTCTTTGTAATGTAAATGTATAACTGTAGTAGCAAGTTGCATCGACTGGTTCAACATCATTTATATACATATGCACCTGTTCTTCAACGACCATCACCCATTTCCTCCGAGTTCCTGCAAAATCTCCATTTTTTTGCTTTCTTCATGAACCGGAAGTCTCTGTGTAACTAAAAGACCCCGGATGTTCAGGCGCTGTAGCCGCCTATAGTCCGTTTCAATATATGGCGGTAGCCTTATGATGGCGGATCGATAATGAATATACCGTTGTGTTGGTTGCAGTGCCGTGGACATTCCTGGCTACAACTGATAAAATTCATAATAAAAAGTTCAACGATTAATAGGACTATACATGTTTCGTCCACTAAATCTATCTATCTATCTATTTATCTATTTGTTTGTTTAAAAATATATATATATAGATCATGTAGATCCTGTAATCAGTCATGCACTTAAATCTTATGATACCAATTTGGTAAGTATAGACAGAGACGTATATATCACATATATACGTCTCTGGTATAGACAAAAGAACATATCCACTGCAAGAATAGTTACCGCGAACAGTTTTATCAATGTCAATGGATGTAGTTAGACCCGGATAAATGACTGTAGGGATGATGATTACAGCAGAGATGATATCAGATGATATCAATATTCCTCATGGGAAAGAGACAACAATCCCAGTGTATGAAAACTACCAGAGTTAAGTCATTTGTCAACTCGCACATGGGGGTTAAAATAACGAAGGTAATTAGTGTGTCGGTCATCAATCCTTATCAGTATGATATACTTTCAATTGCACACATTCCTATCAAATTTTAAAGATGTTATATTGTGCATATCAGAAACTTGATTTAAAGTGAAATGATTGATACGTTGATATGTCCTATATTAGTGCACTCAGAAATTATGGGATTTGAATACTGTACTGTAGTTGGAAAAAAAATTACAGTTCTGTAAAAAAAAATCTTAACCTGAGGAAAAGTACTCCTAATTTTTTGGTTTAAGGCGAGACTGGACGTGTATGTATATATATTTCTGGCGTATGCATGACAAGAAATTGTAAACATATGAAAGGTTACCTTAAGTTTACTATCTTATATATGATTGTAGAATATTAATATATATATAAATTACTTACATGTATGTGTAAGTTTGCTATCTGATCAGTTGTAACTATTTGTAATGATGCGGAAGAGATTTTTACAAAATTTCAATAACTTGTGCCCAATCCCCTTGTTTCAATTAAATATGTATTGACTTACTTTGTTTCATACTATTTAAAGTAAATTAAATTTCGTTATTTTTGCGTGCTCGGGGTTTTAAATGCACAATCAGTGACAGACAACTATTAATGGCGCGTCCTTCGCAATAACTGACCACATATGCACTCATATAATAAAATGTAATGTTTTTATTAATAAGATATTGTTGGCATGAATAGTAACACTCTGATTTTTCTGAGAATATTTGAAGTTGGTTATTTTTTGTTTGTGATTTTGAACATGGATATTTATGCTATCACGAATTTAATTTCAAAGTGAATCTTATATGTACCATACCATTACGGACTAGTTGATGTGTAACGTATATATTCTCACGGAGGAGAAAAGTGCGAGACCGACATTTTTGACTCGCCACGATACCTTGCGCGTTGCGACATTTGTTACAAAGGAAAAATTAATCAATGTATATCTAATCAATATATCTAGATAACTTTAAATTCATAAAGCGCATACTTTACTATACTAAAACAATGAAGAAATATCGCAAGTAAGGGTCAAGTTGGAATTTCTTCATTTAAATTCTCAGTATTTATTGAACTCACACAATATAACAGATATTACGATTAATGATGATCTGTTCGGTTGTAAGTAAGAATATGTATTTCCAAATATGATGCTTCTAAAAGAATTTTTTTCAATTGAAATAGGAAAAAAGAATATTAATCATCTCATGAAATTGAAAGCTGTCATTTTATTAAAGAGAAAGAGGGGAAAACGATAAATGAAATAAATACTTTCATAAAATTCAAAATGTTTTAATCTAGATATAATGGTCGATGATATTTGTTTTTTTATTTACTGTAAAAGATATATTTAGAAAATAACTGTAGACCAATACAAATCCGGAAATTTCGTTACTTATGACCTACCTAGCGGGATCTCTGAAATCGGGAGATTATCCCAATTTTGATCCAGACGATGGGGATGCGGGGATGGGGAGAGAAAATCGGGAAACTCCCGACTGAATCGGGAAAGTGGAGGTATGTATATATGTCACCAAATATAACAGTTTGGATAAATTTCAATAATGGAAATTTTTCATTGGCACATCTTAATACCATGTAAAGTTATATCAAAAGTCAATGTTTATTTCACAAAAGGTCACAGGTCGAACAACTCATCAACATCAATCAATATTGTTTAATTTTCGTTTGCATATCTAACTACTATGTAAAGTTATGTCAAAAATCCATATACAGGTTACCGAAGGTCAAAGGTAAGACGGGTTATCAATATCGATCAATATTGTATATTTTTTATTTGCACATCTTACAACGTAACGTTAAAGGCCCAACCCAAGTTTCTACATCGTACAACACATAACATCTTCAATAGATAATCTGTGTGGGCACGGTTTTGGGTTCTTTACACCATCACGAGCGTATATTTGCGATTTCGGCACAGTTACTAGGTACCCATTAGAGACTAGCGAACGTTTCATCTAAAAATTTCTACCTATATTTTCGAATTCGGCAGGTCATAACTTAGTAAATTCTTGGCCAATCTCGTTTATGAAACGCTCAATGGAAAGATGAGTACATGTAATCTTAGATCTACGGATCCTAGAATATCAAAAACATAATTTGAAAAAGGTGTTCAGTTTTCCCTTCTCGGAAGTTCGATTTTTTCTCTATAACAATACATTTGTACGTAAAACATATGCCGTGGATTGGAAATTCGAGTCGGGCCCCGTTTTCCGTGAGTTGACGATTCCTCGTTCTTAATATATAGGATTCGTTAGAGCCTGTTTACAGGTCGATAAGGCCATATCACAAACCATACAAATAACATCTGTCTCGGATTACAAACGAATACATTTAATATAAAGAAGTGTGAAAATGGCTGACAAATTCTGATGAGTCCACATGATATACAGTACAGACATTAGAACTAATTAACCACCATGATGCATAATGATGGTTCGGCAAAGAGCAGTCGCTTTTGTAATGGACTAACAAGTTTGAAAGCCGGCACAATCAATGACGAACATGTATCTCGAGTATACAAGGATATATATTTTGTCGCAACAATGTACTCTCGAGTGACTGTAACGGAAAAAGATTCTCTTCCAATGCTTAACCAAACTTGTGTATTCTAAAACTGAGAAATGAAAAAGTAACAACGTTGGATAACATCTTTGATTTATATCATTATGAACCAGGGATGTTTACTGTGTGAATAACGAAATACATTCATTGTTGGGAAACATTTTCTCTGTGATTTACAACAGGTACATTTCGTAAAACTTTTTTTAAAAGTTTTAGTCAAAGTCTTAAATTCATGTCCAAAATGAATAGTACCGGCTCATCGAGTGATCAATCTGTAAAAACACCATTCGTAGCCTCAGTCATGATATCTTGTTTTGCTGTCACCTTAAATGTGCTATCGGTCGTCATCTTATCAAAAAGTGTGAGAATGGACAAGAGAATTAAAAAAATGGTTCGCAATCTTGCTGTTGTCGATGGGTTTCTCGGATGTTTACCAGCAATTACAGTGATAAGTGATCATTTCGAATTCTCCAATACCGTTTCAGGTTGTTATATTCAGCTACTGTTGTCCCGCTTTCTGACATTTATTAAACTGTTCTCGGTAACTACTCTTGCAGTGGATAGATTCGTCTGTCTATACTTTTCAAATTGGTATTTGAAAGTTGTAAGTGCGCGATTGATTTTTGCCATAACACTTGCCACGTGGTTGATGTCGTTTGGAATCACAGTTGGAACCTATGCTGGTAGCATCGGCTTTACCGAAGACTGCTTCAACGAAAACCAATCAAAGAATTTCATTGTTGTTCTTGTTATAACCATGATCTGTGGACTCATCATCACTGGCACTTATATAGGTGTTTATATAAATATTCGAAAACACGCACGGAACATAAAAAAACAGTCAAACAATTCTTCTTCAGGAGTCCTTTATCGGTCTACAATCATTTTATCGTTATTAGTTTTGGTTTTCATTCTGTGCTACACGCCTGCGGGAGTTTATCGAACATTACTATATGTGAACCCTGACCGGCTCTTTGAAACGAAATCCGTTCGTAACATAACGAACATACTCTTTCTGCTAAGCACCATCATCAATCCATTATTGTATGTGATGCGATTTACAGAATGTAGAATACGCTTGACCAAAATATTGTGCCTGTGCAACCAACCGTATCTGGAACACCTTGACTGTAGGCTAAAATTGATGAGTGCTTCCTTTTTGTCGGAATCCTCCATGCCGCCTGGTGATAAACAGACGTGTTCTATGGAAACAGAGAGTTATATTTAGTAATTTGACGTACACGTTTCTTATGATTATTGAACATTTGACAGAATTGTACTGTATTGAATGGAGTCTCTCTAGCTCATCCGATAAAGCATGTTTCAGTTGCTAACATGTACTACAGAACAATGAAAAGTCGGCCAGGATTTGTAAACTCTCGGAAGTAAGGTAATTTTGCAGAGAAAAAATATTTTTTTACATTGTATTCAAGAAATGCACATTATTGTAGAATAGAGAAAATAAGAGAAAAAAAATACTATATTTTCTGCAAACTGTTAAGGTTAAGGTAATTTTGTAAAGAAGAAATATTTTGTTTTATACCATCGCTATCAAGACACACATATTAATGTAGAACAGAGAAAATCAAAGAAGAAATATTACGATATTTTCTGCAAACTGTCAGACGCCTTTTTTTAAAGAATTAATTTTGCTTGTTCATATTTGAGAGCAATTATGATAGATATTAGAAAGTGATAATCAGAAGACAATCGTTGCTGGCTACAGCAAAGTCCAATGTCTACGTGATTCATTTGAGAGTTGCCCGAACCGAGGCAATG